AAGAAGGGGAAAGCGATGTTTGTGGAAACACAAGCATCTGTGGACTATGTTAGATTTCAAACCAAAACTACACAAAAGTGTGTTAAACGGACAAAATGACGATGGTCAAACTGTCTATCGGCAACCACCTAAGCCAAGATTCGTTTGAATCCTGGGTCCCACAGGTTTACATGTCTTCTGCCTAAGCGCGCCTAGACCCTGGGCTCTATGCCATTCCCGTTGTCGGCTCGCTCCATTCTCCGCACATCCGCCGCTCGCCTAATCCTCCGCCGACGCTCAAATCATTTCCAATGACTACCGGCATCCCTCGCCACTCGTCACATATCACCAGCCGACGTCGGAGTTTCCGTAAGTCATCACCGGCAACTCCGCGGTCACTCTTCGTGACCTTCCTATTTCTCTCTGTCCAACTCCACTACCATCCCGTGCTCGACACCTCGCACGTTGCCCACAGGTATGTCTTCTCTTACGCGCACTCTTCCCTGTTCTCATTTGTTGTTCCAGTGGCTTTAATTGCTTGTCTTCGACCATGGCCAACAGCATTGTGTTCACTTCACTTCACACGGTGAGCTCCCAAACACGCCTTTTCTTCATGCGTCTAATTGACATTTTTGCTTTTGACCTCAGTGCAGTGCTGGCGGCCAACGGACTCAAACGCGGCCACCAACAAGTAGACTCTCGGCTTCTTCCTGTGTCTGGTAGCGCAGCGCCCTGCTCGCAACTTGGCGCACCCTTGTCTAACCACCCACACAACTACACTCTGTCTACTTGACCCCTCATTTCCGCGCACACTTTAAACAGTTGACTCAACAGCACTGACATAGTATGTCTTTCTTTTTCTCCTTCATGTGTTGAGTTCTCATTGTTTTCCTGCAGCTCCTCGCTTGCGTCTACAAATTCTGCTGTTTGCTGGGCTTCAAGCGTGTGCTAGCAGCCAATGCCTCACATGCTAGAGCGGCGCGTGCTTATGTGACGCCAGGCCATAAGGTCAGTTTATGTTTTTTTGTCCGTGTTAGCCGTGGCACTGACAGAGACTTCCAGCAAGCCGTCTTCATGACGGGCTCCATCATCATTGTGCATGGTGGCGCGTGTGGCTTTTGCCAGCCCTTACAAACTTTTTTCTCGTTGACCAATTACCATTTGGGGCAGGATTTTGACATTAAATTAGATGTAAATAGGTGATTACGTAAGCAATTTCCCATCGTCATTTTGATTTCAAAAACTCACTTTTGTTAGACTTTTTGCCGCCGGAGGCGACACATAACCGCTTGGACTCAATGCTGCGGCTGCTGCCATTTGCAGCAAAATCCTACCGGGTATGATCAAAAAATCCCATTGTTGATGAACCATCAGCCTCGGAGGTTATGTCCCGCCTGATGCCGCGTTCCGGACCCGTTGCCGGGCTGCCGGCCGTCGATCCGATCAATGATCCGGATTTTCCGGTGATTTTGGCGTGCACTTTTGCGCTCAAAAAACACGTCAAAACAGCTCATTTTTTGCGGGATTTTGCTGCCGGAGGCAAACATACAGGTTGGCCTAACAAAGTTGCCGTTGGCAGCTATCTGCTGCCGACCCACTTCTTCATGTGTGTGGACTGTTTTGTTTCTTCATTCATCGCCTAACCATTCCCCCAAGACTTCCACTGTGCGGCCATCACCCGCTGGTAGTCTCCACCATCACCATCACTCTTTCCTTCTCCGCGCCGTCACCCCCATCCTTGTTGCTTCACGCCAGCCAGAACAATGGGCTAATTCTGGGTGTGGTGTACAAGATCAGTCACCAACACGACATACCTTGGCGGCGCTGCTGCTGGTCTGGCTTCCGGCAGGCCAATACCAGTCGTTACCGTGGCTGGCAAGAGGCCAACCCGACACCAAACTTTCCATCCGCCACATGCTATCAATCCGGCCTGCCCTACGTGTTCTCCCACAACGCTCTCATCTTACCCTGAAGCATTGCCCCGCCAGCGGGAGATCACGAGCAGTCCCGTTAGCTGCTGTGCAACCTTGCGACATCAGTGTCTCAGCGCTGCGATCCAGTCCCCGTGGCCTCCGACTTGTGTCCCGCCGCGCAACACAACAGTGCCGCCTTGTACGTGCCGGCCCAATATTATTTCATAGTGCCCTGCCACACTCGCGCAATTGCACGCAACTTCCCGCCGGCTACTCGGCACACAACCCCGCTCTTCTGCTGTGAATAATCAACCCTCTCGGTGCCGCGATGCCATCGTCACCGATTTTTTTTTTCTCAGTCCTGCAATATCGTGATCCGAGAGTGAGAAACACGCCGTCAGGCTTCCTGCCCGCCCTCACTTGGATTGTAGCTCAACACCATCCGAGTGACGACCACATTAGTCCGCTTCGTTGTCGTGCTTGTCGACCCACGCCAAACGCGTCTGGGTGCTCTTCAGCACCATGCTTCGGTTCCCGGGCCTCCCTTGACACAGTCTTACGCGCCATCCTCAACACTGGCGCTCTCCCACACGCCCTCATTGCCCCGCAACACGTTACTCATCGCCCAGCCGAGAAATCAGGAGCGGCTTGCTTGCCCAACCAACTCTTGCGATAGCGCTGCCATCCCCCATCCCCACTGCTCACGACTTTCCTCACCAACCCTTTGAGTCCCAAAACGCGACTTATAGCGCTGCCTTCCACGCCGTCCCGCAAAGACTATTGCCGTTGCATCCACTTATTTTTTTTCTCAGTCCTGCAATATTGCGATGCGAGACTTACGCGCGGACCTTGAGTTTATTACCAATCTGCTTGAATTCTAACTTACTTTTTCTCAGTTTTGCGCCATCGCGATCTGAGAGAGCAATCAAGGAAGCCTGCGACTTTGGCCTTGCCCGCTTCAATCACTTTGGCAGGCCAGCATTCCTCGCCAGTCTCAGGCCTTGCAATTTTGGCCTGCCCGCGACTGCACTCGCTCCATCAAAAGGCGTTCTCGGCGAGTTCTCAACGGAATTTCACCATTTTTGTTGGAGGTGGGAGGGACGGAGTGGTGGTATGCGGGGATGTCGAGCCGATGAGAAGCCGGTGGAAGCGGGAGTGGGATGCGCAGGGAGGAGGAGCTGATCGGGGAGGTGGACGCGACGCGTAGTAGATTCATGTAACTCTTGGCAAAAAAAGGTATATAACTAGAGCACTCGCGCGAGCCTTAGCGAGCTGCGAGCCTTTGCGATGGGTGAGCAAGCAGCGTTGAGGTGAAGCAACGGATTCATTCCAATGGTATCTAGGACAAATGCAGTACATGGTCGGGTGCGTGTTGAACGTGGCGCAAACTCTAAGCTCTCACCCGCTCTCCCAACAAAAGCTTTGACCTGGCACCGTCTTAGCACAGCCCATGAAAAATGAGAACTAACCTGGCAGTCGCTCTGCAGAGGAATTTGGACCTTGGAAATACCCCTGGGTACATTTCGCCATATCTGCTGCTGATCGCCACACTCCAGTTGGATGTCTCCCCGCTTCGTGAGCAGAAAAACTGCCCAAACAGCATCTTGCGTCATTTCACGATTATGTGGTGGTCCGACGGGGTCTGGAGTTTCAGCCATCGCAGGAAAGAGTCGAGCCCAAAGAAATATACGGTCTTGCGAAATAGTGTACGTCCCAGTTTTGAATGCGTTGATATAGAAAGCAAACAGATCAAGCCAGGGTGTATGGTCGTAGCCCGTTGTCCACTCTTCTGAACCGGGTTGCGACTCTGACGACAGGAGAGGTCCGATGTAGTGCGATTCGCCAAAGTCATTCCAGGTGATGGCTTGCACAATATCGACTTGTTGACGGTGTTCTATCAGTTGCTCCCAGCGTTTCGTAAGCATCCACTCGTCCATGTAGTAGATCATGTTCTTGTTCAACGTTGCTGACGAGTAGTGTGCGAACATCCAAGGAGAAACACCGGCCATGTAGGTGCGACCGCCAAGATCGTTGATCCAATTCGAGTCTGAGTGGAACGAGATGTTGGAACGCCCGACAGGCCAAGCTGAATTCCACTGAAAAATGTAAGCCGCCATACAACGAGTTTTTAAACCCCTACATTGAACCCTCCGTCCATCGCTGCCAGGTCATGTGGAAACCCGCCATCTTGCGCAAAAAACGACGGCACGAAATGAATCATCCTCCGAGATCTGCTCAAAGCATACTTCCAGCCATCGACGACACTTGCATGACCGAATGTGCAGTCTTGCCCAGAGAAAGTTGATAGAAGAGGCTTGCCGTCATACAGTTGATATTGAGGATCGTCGAAGAACTGGCTGATAGCGTCCATAAAGCCAGCGTCGTCTTGGGTGTTGCAGGGTATTGAGTTCATATCGAGCGAGATGAAGAGGTTGAAGTTCTCATGGCGACCCGCCGCTTCAAAGGCGCGTTTCAGCTGACCAACTTGCCACGCGTCGTTGCCAATGTTGAGCGCAAAGGCGTCAAATCCAGTGTTGTCGGCACGTTGAATGTCTGTAACAACAATGAAGAGCAACATTGTTTGAAATCAATGTTCGTACGGGTCTCCCAGTCATCTACTCGGTATCTGTTGGTATTTCCCACCATGTAGTGTGCAACCACGAGTTTAGAGGTTGTTGGCGAGGTCGGTGGCGAGTCTGTAGGCGAATCGGGCGGCGAGTTTGACGGCGAGTTTGACGGCGAGTCTGAGTTATCGATAACGGAGAACAAATCACCAATGGGTGAACCCAACACCATCGGCGAGAATAGGTATAGCAAAGGAAGGACTAGGTTGAGCATCATGATGTGGTGGTGCGGCACAGAGAGAAGGTTGGTGACACGGTCACGACCACATATCCTTACTGCAAGAGCGATGCTTGTCCGCCTAGTAGTCTGGCCTCCCTGCCTTTATCCGGCTCCTTCTCTTCTCGTCGTTCCTTGGAGATCCTATACATACGCTTTCAGACGCGCAGGCAACACCGAGTAGACATGTTGCTGAGCATGTGGATCTCAGAGAGTAAAAGGAGCTCGATCGACTAAGTCAAAGGGGTCTCTTGTCACCTTCCGCCCATGTCCAATTCATCGTCTTCCGAATCCCCGCATAAGCCATGGACCATCTGGCTCTGTGGGGACCTCGTTGACATTTCTCCTCCATATGACACTCCCATCTCCAAAACGCTTGATGCCCTCCGCTATCACATTCTATCCTCGCCCATTCTATTGGACATAACCGACTTGACCTTCGATGACCCTCAAAACCGCGCTTCTACCCCTTTCCGCGAGCGTCTATCGAAAGTATCACGCTGGTTAATGGACGACCCGCCGCCCATCGAATTCGGAGACACCGGAGAGGCCTACGCTAATGTGATTTGCCCAGACGGTAGTGCGATGAACGTTCTCGGGCCAGTCAACCAACAACATGAAGTCAAGTGCCGCGAACAACCCCGAATACGCGTGGCCAAACGGTTCTACGACGAATTTGCCAGACTAAACCAGGGTATCGTTATTCCTGGTTCCAGAGACCAGGCTTGCCTCAAGTATGAAGTCTTGCCCGACCAATTTCTGCTCCGTGCTGACTGTATGTTCTCCCCCCAGTGTATTGACTTTCACTGTGGCATGGACAATCCTTCACAAACTTGCGCATGCTGCTCGATCAATTATTGGTTGCTCCCCGTCTCCCGACAATGGAATGTATCGGCCAGTCACAGGTGCAGCGCTGCAAGAGCAGGTTGCCCACACTTCAGATAGATCCCTTGTGAGGCATGGAGAACATGGGTGGGCGCTTGAGCGGCGGACATGTGGCGAGACATGCCTTGTCTTCAACCATAATTTGATTACGCTTTCAACATTCGATGCACAACAAATTCTAGGCATAAGTGTTGAAGTCTTGGTGGGACAATTCCACTTTATTTCAGGTGCGTCATTTGGACTATGGCGTCGAACATGAGACTGAAATGTGAACCAGTAAATGATAAGGATGTGTTAGCAAAACTGGCCGCCATTGACTGGAAAGATATCGTGGCAACTGTGAAAGCGCAGCCTGCGTATTCAAACCTTTCCACGACATCCACCACGGTCCTCCGAAGCGCCCCGTTAACGCCACACGCATCGGTGATTGACCATCATTGGCAGTCTTCGACAACGGCGGAAGAGCAGATTTCTCCTTCCCCCGCGATGACAAACTTGAACGGAGAACCATCAGACGGGATAGACGGACTAGCAGGGCATTGGAAAGGCTTTGAACAGCGGTTCGGTGGTAAACGGTTGGCAAAGGTTTGTGAGGTGCGGATGTCGTAGCTATGATGTCGTATCTTTTTGGGGGGTGGCATGGTTTCAGCATCATCATCTGCAGCTGGGTTGAGTAATTATTCATACTAGTAGACAGTAGATTGTTCTCTCCAAAAATGATGAGGAATAAGACACTGACCTCGAGTGATCACGTGCTAGACGCGACGCTGAGTGCGACTCAACAAACCTAGACAATGCAGCAAGTGCAGGCACTACTTATCTTCCTCTGTGCTCAGGCTTTCGCAAGCCAAAACCACGAGGTTGCCCTTACTAGTACAGCTATTGAACTTGGGCAACAAATGAGTACTGGTATGCACATGGAATTTGATCGCATCATAAACATTGATCGATGTCACACATCTTATCACGCACCATTAAAAACTTGTTGGCGACTCTTCTCAACAACGGCTGCATGTTTCTCGAGGATCCTTTCAACTCTGGGATGCCCTTTATTCTTGCAGAAATACAACACTATGGCCGAGTGGTTAAGGCGACAGATTAGAATATTAACTCATCTGTTTCGGTTTCCGAGCGCAGGTTCAAATCCTGCTGGTGTCGCTTTTTCGTCACATTTAAATCAATTTTATTTATTTTTTGTCAAGTACCGACTTACCACGCTATGCGCTGTCCCTACAGCTAAGCCTATGCTAGGCCTCCCAACATAATTTATACTGCAGCAATCATGCTTTGAGGTGGGCAAGAATACTCCGCCATTATAATGTGAATCACCATCATTGCACAAGGTCCAAACATGGCTCTTCCCATGAACCCAACGCACGTACCCTTCGCCACCTCTTCTCTGCAAGGCGCTTCGAATTGCGGGACAACCCGACCACTGGCATCATATCAATTAAATTGCCGCGGCGCCGCCGCCCTCAAAAGTTTGTTCATATTCGGAACGGGTGTGTGTGGAAGCAGTTTGCAACTCGATGCCTAGTTGTTTCACTTCTACGTTGGGCCATATACCCCAGACCAGGATTCAAAATCCTTCGCATCCGTTGACTGTGCCTAGGTGCTCGATGATGTCCCATCCAATTCTTTCTCATGCTACGGTGACTTCCATCTCATTCCAACCTTCAAACAACCGTCAGAGACCGACATTCTTCGGCGCCCACGGCTCACCTCGCATCATGGATGGGAAGATCTACGGTCGACGTTATCGCTCAGAGTCTTGCCACCACCACCTCCCCCCAGCTTCATGCGGCTGCCACACTCTTTATTCTTTCTTCTACAACTCCTCTTGGTCTTTGGTGCTCCAACGAACACGACCATCGACGATTCCAATTCTAGTTTCACATTCTCAGGCAACTGGAACACCGTTTCTCCCTCTTCACCCTGTCAAGTCTGTTCTTCACGGCCTGATTCATCTCGCACGCACGATTCAACATGGCACGACGGCAACATCAGACTGACCGCGCCTCCAACCACTGGATCACTGACATTCACTGGTCCGTCTTATTCACGTTTTCGAGACTCTCCTTCCATCTTGTTAGACAGGTACGGGCGTCTACATATACGGAATCGACCAAGCCATCAGTCAAGCGGACATTGTCTTCACACTGGGGAGCACACGAAAGACGCACCACTACACCGGCACAGAACAGTACGCCCAAGTTTTCCTGTGATTCAATCCAACACTTGTTAGGTTCAGCTACAATGCACTATTCTTCTCGGCAACCGGACTTTCTTCCGGATCCCACACCGTTAACTGGGAGCTAAATATCAACCCTAATACAGGGGTGGAGGTTCAGACCGCGTTGTTTGATTACGCGGTGGTAACTTCGGGTGAAAGTGTTGGTGGAGGGGGAGCTACCGGTGGTGGTGGTGGAAATTCGGCCCAACCTGCGAAGTGCGTTTATCTTACCTTCTTCAATTATTTCGTTGCCCAACTCAAGCAGGAGTGATTCGCCCGGTACCACTTCATCGTAAGTCTGGTGCTTCCCAACTTGAAAAAATATTAAAATTCCGTCCAGCAGCACTGGCCTTTCTCCATCTTCAAACCCAAGTTCTCATGCATCGTGCGCTTTGCTCACTTCGGCAAATAAATTGTCTTGAATCGTGTATAGCGACTCTGCTTCGGCATTTTCGTCGAATCGAAATGCCGCGACATCGTGAGTTTCATTTCGGACACTCCGAACGTTGCTCATCTCGCTACAGAATTCCCTCGTCTGTTCACTTTCCTCTCCCGATCGGTGCAACTCACCTTCCGACAGAGGGAAACCTGGAGGAGTAACTGGCGTGTCCCAGTATGTGTCCCAAGTTTCCTGTCTCCTTGCCTTATATGCCCTATTTTCTAGAACTGTTACGTGTGTGGCGATTATCCTTAGGATATCCTCGTTGACTCAAAACGTTGCAGTATCAGCGGAATCGTCACAACTATTACAGCCAACACAGAACCGACTTCTTCTTCAAGTTCGAAAACGAACGTTGGTGCAATCGTTGGGGGCGTAATCGGCGCATTAGCCGTCGCAGCGCTTGCCGTTTTCCTTCTGCTCTGGCGACATCGACGCCTGCAACATGCGCGATTAGAGGACGACAAAATGTTAGCCCGCTCTCACTTCCTCCCATTATCCGACTATCCCATTCGGGCCGCAACAAACACGCCCAATTCACCGTCTGATGAAGGAGACCAGCATTCGCCGACCGTTTTTTCATCCCAGCTTGAGCCCACCAAGGCAGAAAGGGAGGGTTTGAGTGTGGATAATGCAGCAACATCGACGACATCACTTTCGCCACAAGCCAGATTAGTGGAACCCATGAACGCCGCCACGAGGAGAGATTTGTCGCATTTAGAGGAGCGTTTAGCAACTTTGGAAGCACAACTAGCTGAACAACAGCCACCTCCGTACCTGCGAGAATAGCGCATACTTGAATATATACGGAGGTTAAAAAATAGCAGCCCCATTCCGATGCCAAAGGTAGTTGTTGGTCTCCGTCTTTAAATAAGGATGGGATTCAGGTAGAGAGCATCTTGAGAGCGTAGAGTACAAGCCGGTCCTAGTCGTGTAAATAAACATCGCGATTGCTAATTCATCGCCGTCGAGCTGCTTTGCTCTGAGCGTGCTGTGGTGGTGGCACATAATCCTTTGGACGCCGGAAGAGTAGAATGTGTGGTTCGGGAGCTGGATGAATGACACATTGAGCTGAGGCAGGATGAAATTGGGCAAATAATTACCATGGACTTCAAAATGCTCCCAGCCAAGACTCTGGGTAATACCAATTCCACGCCACTCCGGCTCAGACAAAAGACGGAGCGTTCCCGACTCCTCGTTGAAGAATTGTTTCGGCACCAGTCGGAGGAGCTGCTTAGGAAGGATGACGTGACGGTATTCGTAGTGGTCGTCTGTATATCGATCGGAGTAGTGGATCCTGCCGGTGGTTAACGCGCTTTCTAGCGGCTTGAAGCTGATACTTTTCGATGTATTCCTCGAGTTTACGCTGTTCTTCTTGCTCTTTGGCGAGTGCCGCGTCCATCGTGGGCTACCAGGATAATCAGCCTATCCAGCCTGAGAGCATCGAGAGTCAGCTTGCCTGATAGCGTTAATCAGACAGAAAGAAAGGCAACAAGGATGCGATTTGAGGTCAAAGGCCACACGACGAGTCACATCACGCTGTCACATAGTGGACCCATCATGTACAACAACTTTCTCCATTCATCGTTCCAGGGAAACAGCATCGACTTCGAAGACCAGAGTAGGCGACGTCAATTTGAAAATAAGGAAAACTGAACTCTCATAGTAGAGTCGTCTCCGTCTCCTCGCGAGAGAAGCCGTTTTGCGATGCACCACCAGGACCCAATCGATGAGTTCGATGACTATATGGACGACCCCAACGAGGAAAATTACACGGATAGCTACAATCCTGGCCACCCACATGACTACGACGAATACGAAGAGCTGGAATGCGATTTGACGCAATTCAACGCCCCAAGCGACACTCGTCACCACTATCCACCACTTACGACTGGTCGACCGAGGTTCCAAGCTTCAGCAGTCCATTATGACTCCCCGCGTACCCGACCGCCATCACCATCATCATCACGAGGCGCTAATCCTCTCAACTCAACCGGCATTCGACTAACCCCCATTTCCGATCTACGTGAGCAAACAAACTAAAGTTGTTCTAACGCGTTGACCGTCCACAGCGGACATGTATCGGGGAATATTCAAATTTCCGGTTTTCAATGCCGTTCAGTCCACTTGTTTCTCGACCGTATTCAGTTCCGATGAGAATTTAATTGTGTCCGGTGTGTCCATTATAATTGCTCAAGTATGATTCTCACTCGTTTAGCTCCAACTGGAAGTGGAAAGACTGTCCTGTTCGAACTCGCGATAATACGAATGCTTAAAGAGGTTGGGAGTAACTTCAAGTGTGTCTACATGGCTCCCACGAAAGCTCTTTGCTCTGAACGACAACGGGACTGGTCAACCAAATTTGCTTCTCTTGGGATCAAATGTGAATCTGCTTCATGGCACCATATCTTGATCTCACTTTTCAAGGTTGCGAGTTAACTGGAGATACTGTTCAGTTTGGCAAAGGTGTCTGGGGCGATGCGAAAGCAGCGACCATCATGTATGTTCAATTGTTTAAAATTACTAATCAGTGCACTACCCATATTGACAGAATCACCACTGTATGGTTTCTAATCATGAGAAAGAATATGCACTTATCCTCACAAAAATTAGGGCGAAAAGTGGGATAGTTTAACCAGAAACTGGTGCGTATGACTGTCGCTTCTCCTTGCTATCACCTCTTAGTCCATGTCTAGGTCGGAGCATGGACACATCCTGTCCCGCGTTCAATTGTTTCTTGTAGACGAGGTGAATTCATTTTAAACAAACCTAACCCGAGTCTTGAACGCTTCCAGGTACATATTCTCAACGAGTCGCGTGGAAGCACACTTGAGGTTGTTATTTCTCGGATGAAGTCGCGGGGTAGCAGTGTTCGCTTCTTGCTTGTATCAGCGACGGTGCCCAACATCCAGGACATTGCATCGTGGATCGGAGACAAAAGGCGGGAAGGCCCCGCAATCGTCTTTGAGGTATGTCGTATATTCATCTTGAGGAGGACCTAAAGTCAACTTTCAGTTCAACGAAAGTTTTCGACCTTGCAAATTGAAGCGCCACGTGATCGCGATTGACAGAGCACGCAGTGATAATGATTTCTCTTTTGCGCGCAAGATGTAAGGCCTCCCAAATGCAGAAGAAATTACTAATACTCAGCAGAGACCATAAACTTTTCCCTACTTTGCAAGCGCACGCAGTAGGCAAACCGATCCTCGTGTTCGTGTCCACGCGCAAAGGTTGGGTGTGCTCTCAGATACGTCGATAATTTATGACTCGATATAAGGAGTGACGACCACAGCAAAACAACTAATGACCGACTATGTTGATGCAGAAAAGAGCAGGAAACAATTGCCCTGGTCTCATGCGATGCGGTAGGTTTGCTGGACCTTATCCAATTGGAATTAACAGCACGCAGTAACGAATATGTGTTCCATGATCAAGCATTGAATGGTCATTTTTTTCCTCGTGCTTCGCATCCAACTGCTGATCCTAGTCCCAGAGTTCAGCAAATTTGGTATTGGAATTCATCATGCGGGCATGACTATGGACGACCGACGAGGAGTCGAAGACTTGTATTTGAGAGGCGCCCTCCGTGTGGTAGTTGCAACATCGGTATCATCCAACCAGTCTTCACTTGCTTGCCTGATGTTCCAGTAGACTCTTGCCGTCGGCGTTAACTTGCGTAGGTCTCGAGCTCGCACTGTTATCAGTTCTCTGATTTCTGTTTTAGCTGCACACACTGTGGTGATTAAAGGTGTTCATATATTCCAAAACAATCAATCAGGCGAATACTCCGACTTGGATGTGATGCAAATGCTCGGACGAGCGGTATGTCTCTTACCTAAGTTCATCTACATTTTTTCCTCAGCGCGCTGTAGGGCAGACCACAGTTTGGTTCGTGTGTCCCTGGAACCGCATTCTCAATGTTAATGTTGCACAGACACCGACGGTGTCGCGATTATCATGTGCGAAACAGAGCTTGAGAACAAGTATCGCGAACTCGCTCAAGGCAAGACAACCGTGGAAAGCTCTTTGCATCTAAATCTGGCTGAACATATCAACTCTGAAATCGGTCTGGGTACCATTACGAGTATGCAGTCCGCGAAAAGCTGGTTGCGGAGTTCCTTCTTGTTTCAACGTGTCAAGAAGAACCCTGCACATTACTCTCTGGGGAAAACCGAAAATCAGTCATGGGAGGAGCGCATCGACGAGATGGTCATCGATAGCATCGGAAAACTACGTTCAACGCAACTTATCAACGACGTTGAGGCTGGGATTAACAGCGACGCCCTGGCGTCGACCGAGTTTGGCGACATCATGAGCAAGGTTCAATTCAAGTATTTGTATTTGGTATCTACTGATAAGAGTGCTAGTTCTACATCCGACAGTCCACTATGAGTCTCATTTTAGCGTTACCGGAAAAGCCTACATTACGTGAACTAGTAAGTTTCCTTGGAAGAGAGAACCGAAAAAGTAACGTCCCTTGCAGCTTGAATTGATTTCAGCATCAGAAGAGTGAGGTGTCCCCATTATTTCGCTCAAGCCAACTGGTCATAGATTGGCCGAAACCAAATTGCGCGCATCAGAGAAGACGGCAAGCTTCCATTTTCAACACTATGTCTTGCCCATACTCATGAGTACCATAGATATTCAACAAGCTACGACGCCACAACGACATCCGATTTGAAGTCAAAAAGGTCGAAAAATCATCGGACAAAATCTTTCTCCTCATTCAGGTTGGTTCATCAATTATATCCTTCACCCATGAGCACAACGTCTTTGGTAGGCAGTTCTCAGCGGCATCTCCCTCAACTCTCCCGACTACAAAGCCGCTGACAGTCAGCTAAACCTGGAGGCTTTTGCGGTCTTCAAACACGTCTCCAGAATTGCTCGAGGTTGTTAACATTTGTTTCTTGATCGCGTCTCATACCAAATAGTTATTGTGGAGGTCGCTCTCGTAAGGAAGCGTGGCGCACAACTGAAACATGGGCTTGAATTGTAGGATTGTTTGTCGTCGCATTTCACGACTCTCACTTAAGTTGTAGAGTGCGATGCTTAACTGCAAAAGCATGGGAGGACAGACCGGTTGTCTTGAAACAAATTGAGTCGATCGGCGAAAAATCGTAAGTTGTCCTATTTCCCTCGTCGCCTTGTCCAATCATCTGCAGCATCAAAGTACATAGAATGCGTCGAATCGGCAACCTTTGACCGTTATCCACAGGTACTGGCTGAAAACGGCATCACGACACTGGCGCTTTTAGCGAAGCAAGACGCACATAAAATCGAAAATGTAGCTATGCTTTCTGTCGCATGGCATATCATCAAACCAGTCTTTCAGTTGCTGAATCGACGGCCCCCTTTCGGCCTTGAAATTCTTGCGGCTGTTAACGAGATACCCAAATATCATGTTGACATTGCGGAGGTCGGAGTGCACTCTAATGGCGGTAAAGACCCGGTTGAAATCGACCTGGCCGTCACATGTGGTCTCACAAACAAAACTAACAACACTGGGAAGCTCAAGAAGCAGAAGTGGACGCAGATGACTTCTATTCTCACTTTGACCTCGGATTTGGAGCTTGTGGACTTCAGAAGGATTCCGTCAGTTTGCCTATATCTCACACCCCCACAATGCTGACTGTTTTGTTGTAGAACGAAGGCCCTTAAAGACGCTAAAAAGTTTGAAATTACTGCCGAACTGACGAAACCTAGTCAATCTGTGATGGTCCTAATAACTTCGGTAAGTTCAATGGTCAATATCAATAAACGTTGGGTTAACGAGCGCGCATTGAGGAATCGATTGCTGGGGCTACTGTCAGTCAAGCATACAAACCGAATCTGTCCTACACAGAATATCCTACACGCGATACCCGTCCGCCCACCGCTCTTGTGTGTTTACTTTCCTTGATGCCATCAATCTCAAACGTCATCAGGACCTTGATCTTGCCGGTCTTGAAGATGATCCTGAGTTCTGGAACACGGCCGTCGATGCAGAGGGCAACTTTGAAGAACCTCTCAAGCAACCTATTTTGAGAGATTTAACCCAAAGTTCGTTTTTCCTCTGTCTGCATGGCCAGCGATTGGACGGATGATACTCAGCCCACACACAAAAAAAATCGACCGACCCGCCTGCATCCTCAGCCTCAGGTCCAGAAAAATTGAGTAATGGAAACTACAAGTGCGTTTGCTGACGTGGTATCATCGGGAGGGACCGCTGAATTTTGTCAGATGCAATCACCCTTGCAAGGACAAAACCAAATGTCGACATTTATGGTGAGTATCAAATAGTTCAGCCAAGCTCCCAGGACACTGAAGCATACCAGCTGTCGTGACGGCTTACCTGAACTTCCACGTGCTGCAAAAAGACGGTTAGACGATAATCCCAAGCCCGCAGAGCCAATCGCTGCAAAGAAACCGAGCAAGGTTACCAACAAGCCGGACAAAACTATTCAGCAGCTTGAGCAACTACACGAAAGCACGAAAGCCAATCTGAAGCTTGTACCGGGCAGTCGTTTGAAACTAGAGTCGCCTGACGAACTAAAGCGCAAGAACAAAGTCAATCTGGATTTCAGCGTCAAGCTTTCGGATTTGAAGGATAAAGAATCGCTTCCAACCTCGTTTCCTCGCTTGCAACTTGACGATGATGATGATGACCTTCCTGAGCCTCAAGAACTTGTCCAAGCTGCGAAGTCTGGTCTGAAACGGCAGCGAAACTCATCGCCAGATTACTCCGACTCCGAACTCGACTCTATGATCCGACATGTGCCTTCTGAGACGATGAAATTCAAGTCGCCCAAACGAGCTCATACTCCCAAACGCAAGAACCGCAACGAAGAAAACTTCCGCCCTTTGAAGAAAGTACACCGAGAAGACGTTGCGGTGGGCAACTCTGTTGATACTTTCCAGCCCAGGGAGCTGATATCTAATCATTTAGCCATCGCCGGAATCAGCGTCAAACGAGTCGCACGACCATTCGATGGCATACTACGATGTCCAACCTCTTTTCAATTTCGCCGAAGACTTCCAGTACGGCACTCCCGAGGTCGAACTTACGCTGCCTTCCACACCTTCACTGACGGATGACGACCGCAAGACGATCAGCGACATGTCTCAACCAGTTGCAACGCCGGATGCGCCAGCTCCAATGCCCACACAAAAGGCGGATGGACCTTGCAACGAGGACACGAATGAAGACTTGATGGCGTTGGACGAATGGCTGAATAGCGGGGCTGTGGAAATCGTGTGATCGTGAAGGAGCATTATTTCTACCTTGTGGACCTAGTTAAAGGCATCGTGCATTCGAGAGAAACCAAAACTGAGAGTCGACCGGCCTTTGCTGACAAAGCGGTTTGACAAGCCTTTCCTCCAGCCAGCTTTCTGGAGCCGCATCCAAATGTTGTGCTTGGAGAATTCATTACTTATTGCGCGTCGTGATATCCTTGCCATGAACTAGGGGCCTCCAGCATGGAGTGGGCCAGGGTTGTTTGTGAACAGTCATCGGCGATCGCCAATGTCTTCAGTGAACGGGAACGACCATGGACACCAGGTGCGCCTACCGTTTATTGCTACTTAACCGTGTTAACAAGACTCAACCGCATTATAGCTTACACCTCCAAAATGGCATCTACCCAGTCAATTCACCTCTTTCCATGCCTGGGGTACCCCCCAAATTGCCTTTGTGGACAAGACAGATGTCATCGCGCTTTTGCCTGAACGATTTCGATATCTGCTCCTCCTTCCTCCCCGCTATGGCAAAACCATGCTCGTGTCCATGCTCACTTTGTACTACGGTCTTCACGGCTTCTCCGACTTTCCGGAGCACTTCAGAGCGCTCAATATCGCCAAGAAGGTCCCAACCCCACATAACCGGCATATCTACCTGTCTTTCGACTTCGGCCCTCTTCGTGGACAAAAGACCTTGGACTCGATTTCATGCGCGCTGGATGATGTAATAGATGTCGCGTTCTCTGAACTTGGAGTTTGCTATCGCTACCAGCTTGGCATAATACACTGGGCCGAAAAACGTCCCAATGAAGTTGTGTGGTTACTGGTGTCGTTTTTTCCTTCCCATGTAGTTCGCAAGTTGACGTTTGCCCCAGGATCTTATAGAGCAAAAGGGCTACTCGCTATTTGTCAGCGTCGATAATTATGATGCTCTCTTTCATCCTGTTGGTGAACCCATTTCTCAAAGCTTCTACCGCGATGCCATTGCGCTGTTGGAGGCGCGGTTTTGGACCCCACTCCGTGCGGATGTTGTTCACAAGCTGATTGTAACGGGTGTCTTTTTACTTCCTGGGCTCGATCTGCCGCCCAGAATACCCGCCGAGTTCATCAATGGTTGCGGATTCACTGAGCTGGAGGCAACTAACCTAGCCTCCCTATTTCTTGGCCAATCAATGGATGTAGATCGGCTTCGTTCGACCTGCAATTACTCTGCTCCTGGCAGCACATATTCCACATTCCATCCTCAACTTGTGCTAGATTGGATAGCCGTCCAAGATTCTCCAAATGACGAGGAACTCTACGAGTCTTATGCGACACTGGCCGATATGCTCAAGTGCCTACCTACTTCTTCCTCGAATCCGAATGTCGCCTCGCAGGACGGTCTGATCGCGTTGCTCACTGTCGGTCGAGTGAAAATCACGGAACTCGACGCTTTTGCTGAAGACGACCCCACCAAAATTACGTGGGCTGCCATTCTGCAAGCTGGCGGCTTGATTCCTGATGCTGAAGCGGACCACTATAAGATTTTCAACAAACATGTCCTCTCCTTGGTGCGTGAACCATACGAATCTCACATAAGCCCTAATTGACTCATTGCAGATCCATGCTCAGGTTGATCGCCTTGTGCTCAAACGCTACGATTCAAATTTCGCATTTATGATCACGTGGGGCGATTACTGTATCTGGAATCGCACTGCACCGTTCACAGGTCTGCTCGCCAAGATTCTTCACGACATGCTGCGCTTCACGTTCTTTGGTCTCCAGCCAGAACCCACATTGCTCGGTGTCTTCGAGCTTATATTCCGTTACAAAGAAGCTCTGGAGCGTTGGCCGTTGTTGCCATTTATACTACGCCCTCGACAAGCTGACCCCATGCCCATCACCGTCATTCTTCCCACACGTAGCTGGCTCCCAGAATTTATGGATCTAGAGCTTGTCAACTTATCTCTGGAAGGGATGTGGTATGGCCTGCATGCCAACGACTTGGACCAACGCCGACCGACACCAGGGGAACTCGAGGCGTTGTTTGATCATTTTTGTGGACTGGACATTCCGGAGCTCGTTCAGCAACCGTATCGAGCCTCGCTGAATGACTCGACCGTTGTAACAGTCGAGAGCTTTACCAACTGCGTGGTGACGGCCCCCCGGTTTGTTTCCGTTGGCGGCGCCCATGTTGTCGGTTCACATTGGTTGCCTGACGGTGTTGTCGAGAACTGATTTAGTGACACCTGAGTACTAACTCAACTCTGACGACGTCTTGTAGTATAATAGTCCCACGCCTGGTTTCCAGTTCACGCTGCCTTCGATGCACTGACTGATGACGACCGAAAAGCCACTGGAGACAGATGAACCTTGCAACGATGTCGTAGCGGATGATCCTGTGGATTGCTACTGCATACCAGTGAAAGAGAGTGGTAGACATTTCTCATCACACGTTAGACCCACAAGAATTGAGAATTTTACATGTCAGCCTTATTAAGACCAGGCCAGCTGCTCCCGATCGAGTGCCAAAACTACTAGCTCCACAACTGGTGCAAAGGGAATAAGTGATAAAGGTGTGGCTACCGGCTATGCACTAGTCATACCATCAACATGTCAAACTGGCAGTAATATGCCCGGCGTGACAGGACCACAATGTTCAGTGAACTTTTGAATAAAATACACTGTACATCCAAAATATGTTTACCAAATGTATGCATTATCCAGTGAACTTTTCCTCTGTTCAATGAACATTTAAAAGGCCTGGTGAATATTCAAAAAGAGGTAAGGTTCACTGAATATAACCTATTTGTTCACTGAATTATTACAGTTTGTCCATTGGATATCCTCAATATGTTCACTGAACACAACTATATTGTACACTGAATTATTACAGTTTTTCCACTGGATATCATGAATTTGTTTACTGAACACAACTATATTGTACACTGAATATTCTGGGTTTTCCTCCTAGCTGAATCCCATATTATATCCGTGTTCACCGAATGCCACTGAATTCACTGACTATACAGAATGAATTTAAATTATTCAGTACTATTGACACTGGCCCAAAATATCTCATCAAGCTCACGAGATCTCTTGGATACCTTTCGTTCTACCTCTTCCTTATAAAGCATCATCAAAACATGGACACAAAAATCATAGTTAACATCGGACATCTGCCGAAGTTGTGCCTCAAAACCGTTGAGCCATGCATTTAGTTGCTCTGCAGTTTCAGTATTGAAAGCACGAGTCAAATGTGGATGGCCCTGTTCATCAGTCTGTACCGTAATGAGATCTGGTTGTGAACTGTTCGATGGTGCCGGGTTACACCAGACACGGCAGAGAAGATCTGTAGCCTGATGGTTAATGTAGTGCCAGGCATCAACGATGAGCTTGGTGCCAGTGATCCACAAGTTGTTGCGGTCTTGAGTAACAATATGACGCAAAAGGCTGCATGCATCGTCGTAGGCCAAAAAACTGGGTCGATGATCAGGATAATCTGCCCAGATAGCATCTAAAATACGCCAAACGCGTGAAGGAGTTTCGCCAACAAAGACTTTGCCCCAGCCGACCGGACAACCACAAGCCCATTGCACAGTTTGCAGGCAATATGTTGTTCTGGCACGAAACGTATGCTCGACATCCATTCCCAAAATTCCATCGAGTTCAGGTAGGTCGGGACGAATTCTTGTATCACCAGGCCCAGAATGGTTGTTGCTCGTATTTGCCTGATTTTCTTGTCGGCGTATGATGCGCCGAACACCAGTGAATGATAAACGGAAGCGGGTAAGATACTTCTGATACCACATCTTGTGAGTAGCACTTGCACAGGTAAGTGCGCCAGGTTCCGAGACGTGCAGACCACATGAGGCAATGCCACATAAGTCGCTTCGGTCTAAGTGGTGCTTGCAAAACCGTCCATTTCTATAGTTGGTGAGAGGATTTTCGCATTCTTTTACTGCACAAATCTATAGTTTGAATTTAGTCATGAACGGCTCAGTAAATCAATAAAACGGACACGATGAGTTATAGTCTTGCCATCCATTACAGCCATGCGGACATAACCACGTTTCGAGCCAGGTATACGTTGTTGTTGAGCCGGGAAACGTGCAAGACCAGAAGGTATTGTAGCTACTTCTGGAGCTGGGGAATGAGGTCCTTCCATGAGTGGTTCAGTATCGGAGTGAACTTGTGAATGTTGCTATATAGTATATTCAGATGAGGGGACTTGATCAAAGATTTGTGGACACGCACCGGTTCAATACCAACAATAGCCTCCTCATCACCAGACAATACCCCAAGCTCAATATCATTGAGATCAGAGTGGTATCGTTTGAGATGAGTGCAGTCCAGACAGCCATGGTCCATTGCTCCCGCAACAACCCCACCATTCTTTCCAATAGCATCTCGTACTGACTCCGAAAGCACATTGGCAGTAGAATGTGCAGGGACTGCAAACTCTTCAATCAAATCATGTGCTGACAGTAGACGCCGACTGAAGTGTTCCTGGTAAAGTCGTTGCGATTGGCGTGCAGTTATAGCCGTCTTGGTAGGTACAATATCATTGAGCCATTCTGAGAATGTTGACCAGCCTACATGGAAACGAAGTAGAGCCTTCTCCTGTGCTACAGCAATGCGGCGGTGTATCCAGACACCATGCTTTGAGACACGAAGATAGTTGGCATCAGACTCAAGGCGTTGTTTGCGTTGGAAGGAAGTGCCCGGAGGTCGGTAAGTAATACGGTCGGGGTAGTACTCTGATTCACATTTTATGCAGTAGGCGACAAAGAGGGTGGCGGTTTTCCAGTTGAAGTCGCGATCAAGAACGCGCACAGTCATAGGCTTTTTATAGCGTCGGAGGGTACGAGGGTGGAAGTTATCAGCACAAAAGACACAGTGGAGGCGGACGGTGCATAAAAGAATTGGAGGCTCAGGGAAATTCATGGAAGTTGTGTCATCTATTCCTAAGATTCGGTATAGGGAGTCGATTTCGCCAGACAACTTCGAAGCAACCTCGACTGAGACATCCGGATGCTCTGGTGGGAAGTCGGGATGCTCATGATGTGAACCACAAGCCTCTCGAATAATCTCCTTGAGGCTCGTGAGCCAAGCGGTACGTTGCTTCTGATAAGGCTCGCGCCGCTGATTTTGATGCAATCGGAATAAGGGATAGGCAGTAATAAGAGCGGAGGTGATGTAGAGGGCACGCTGAAGGGAGAACTCTTTGGGCAAGTAGAATTGCAGAAAGGTGAGGAAGATGCTGACCGTTGGAGGCAACATCACAGTGCCAAATCAGGCAATGATACGAACTCTACTCTCAAGAACTATAGATTCCCATATTCTCCTCACGAAGTCAAAGTCCATATTCTACTGTACACCCAAACGTGTCAAATGCCTAGACTACGAGCCAAAGCCGACGAATATATGGCATCGTTGGGCTCGAGAACTGGGGGACAGATGGGGGATACATTAGTCTCAATACTAACTAAGTTTAGTGAAGGGACATACAGCGGTTGGGCAGTATTGGTACTAGGGAACAGTCTACATATCATGTGTACTGTTCCCTCAGAGTTTGGCATGCCGCGTGCCCAAATCTCCATCGTTCCGGACGAAAGTCGGCAGGCAGTAAGGGGTGGGGCTAGTCTTGAAGCTCCTCGAGTTTCGCGTAAGACGAGCGAGCGGTTGATGCGTGGAATGCACACCAATATTCACTATATTTCCGGCACAATCAGCTCATCTTTGGGTCGTTCTTGCCAGAAATTAACGAGCTAGTAGGTGGAATATAGCGATAATCACACACCAGGTTTCGCGCGAGAATACGCAGCGGTCATCCCATATATGCACATAAATGGTTTCCGGGCATCGGGAGTATTTCGTGCGCCTCTCGCCTGCGCGTGGATCGTTCGGGCTGAAAGTCGGTGAGTGAGCGTCGGGTATGTGAGGCTAAACGCTCACCAAGTTTCGCGCCGACAGGATGAGCGAGCGCTGCGTGGTGAGCCTTACACCATCTGCTTGTATATCTTGAGCTATTCTAGCCCATTCTTGCATCGTTCTGGCCAGAAAGCGGTAAGCAGTGAGGAAAGGCACTAAGACTAATGCCTACCAATTTTTGCGCCGATACATACAGCGGTTGTTGGGTTATGGCCAGGGCCAGGCGCATGAGGGAGAAGGTGACTGAGTGGGAAGGACAGAGAGTGGTGGATGCTTGGGAAGGTGGAAAGAGATATGAACTGAGCTCAAAGGCAGCCCAGACGACAGAGAGAAAGCAAGACCACTCCCAGGGACCAAGTTCTAGACCGATCTCGCAGCTGTGGACACAGCTGACTTGTGCCTGGGCTACTGCCGGAGCACTTCAGGGAGTGGGGTGTACTCGCCACCTGTACCAATCGCAGTAGCAGTGGTTAGAGTACAAGGGATCAAATACCAAACACAGTCACAAGTTGACCGTAATCATCATGTGATCCTTGGAGTCTCGGAGTGCAGCATATCAACGCATTTCTCGCATTTCTGAGGAAGAATACAGTATAAGCTAACTACTATGCATCAATAGAGTCACTGTCCACATCCTCAAGGGTCTGCTGCTTACGCTTCTTAGCGCGATCCAGAGCTCGAGTGATTTCCTCCTGAGTCAGCTCCACCTCTTTGCGTTTTCCCTTGCCTTTACTATCCGACGTGGAGGCTTCTTGGTCCTGTGCTTCTTTCTCCCTCATCTTGCGTTCCTTCTCCCTTTCCACCTTCTTTGCCTCGACACGCAGAGCAACATATGAATTGAAAGCAGTCTTCTTCATACTAGCAAACATAGCCTCATCCTCGGCACTTAAATTTGGGCTTCGATTGATCCAGTCGTATGCAAGTGGCGCCAAAAGTAGGTCGGGATTCGTACAGAAGTCACGGTCAGACTTTACGATGGTATGTCCAATGTCAAATGCTAATTCGATTTCGGCCTTGTTGAACGTAAGCCCACCGAAGGGGGAATATTCATCTGCTGTGGATTTGCTTATCAAAATGCAGGATACTCAAGTATTATCACATACTAGCAGGGAGACGATACTTGGGCCCCTTGTCAGGGTTCTTGAAGTGTTCCTTGGCATAATTGCACCCGTCAATCAGTCCCCAGTATCGAGAACGAATAATATCCACCGTATCTGCCTGACCGTACCCATTAGGTGGTGCTCCGAGCTTTTCTGCAAGGAATTTGATGGCTGGGGTGCGTTTAGATCCTTTGCCAATGCTATGTCCAATTGAGGGACGTTCGCGGGCCGCATCCAAAGGGCGAAACTCGGGAGATATACTGGTGGCAAAACTCGGGGGTGGAATGACTTGAGCCTTGGATGAGAGTTGATATAGGTATTTGCATTCTAAATGAGATCACATACCGGAGCTATGATCAGTTTGTCTGTTTTTGGCCGCTCCAATGCAAAACGAAAGATGAGAACATTTTCATCGGCATCAAATATAAGCCGGCAACGATTTGGAGCATTCAACTGCATTTGAGGCTCAAACTCTCCACGTAATGCGCCCCCAACATTACCGATTGAGGCAGCAGCATTAGGTGGGCGAATCTTGAGTTCGTTGAACCCTGCGGTGATTCAGTCATAAGCGCTAAATCAGAGCTAGTGTTGACGTACCATGTGAGGGGCTCAAAGCGCAAAGGACAGCGGGAGCAAGCTCAGTCCATCGACCAAAGAATTGATTATCAGACAGTCGCTTCTCAACGCGAAGGTTTGGTCGTTGTGGTGGTGCAACCCAGGCTCTTGCAATATTCCCATCTGGCATGGTAATATCGGCACCCACTAGAATAAGACAAGAACAGGAAGCAAAGGCTTTACATCCAAACAATTAGCACATACCGGTTAGCGTGGCCTCAATTTCTGTGTCCAAATCACCAGGCAGCGGACTAACAAGTGCGAGTTTGAGATTCTTGTTCTCAGTCTTCTTCTGGTTCTTGCCCTGTGCCCCTTCTTCACCTTCATCATCACTGGTAGTATCGACAGAATGCGGTGGAGGACTTGACGACAAGCGACCGCTGGTGCCAGTGGCGTCAGCATCAAGATCACTAAGCTCAGACATGTCGTCAATAACTGCTAAAAGTGAAATGTTAGACCAGTCAACCTATCCAGCCTGACCATGAATCACATACAGATTGCAGCATCAACCACAGCACCGGCAGTTCCAAGGCGCTTGGTTCTGGGTGGTGGGTCTGAAGAACGTTGATCAACCAGTAGTTTATTGGCAGCGCTAATTCCCAGACACAAATGTTCAGTAGCAATATTTGGTTTTGATACTTGCAACGCACCGAGTCATAGAAGGCTTCTGCTTATCAGCAAGAAGATCTTCATTGTCCTTCACAGCGCTGGTTCTGGGTGCAGAACTACCACTGGTTAATGTGCCTACGCCAGTAGCGTCCCGAGGTCGATGAGCAGAGAATCGATCAAGTGCCCTGTCGGTCGATGTCGCAAGTTGCTTCTTGACTGCAATGAGCAGCTGGGGCTTCAACTGTTTGTCAATGCCAGGAATTTTGAGGTGCACGGCCAGCGCTCGAAGCTCAGGCAACTTGAGCGAACCAACAGGTTGGCTTTTGATATCATCCAGCTTGGGGAGAGCATTCTCATCATAGGGAAGAGGGGGCATGGTGCAGAAAGCTGAGTCAGTCAGGCATCCGACACTGCCTTTCTACTGACCATGATCACGAGAATAATATTTGAAAAACCCAAGCAAATGCAGACATGATGTTCAGTGAATATCTGTGCAGTGGCTGTCAATTAAATGTTCAGTGAATCTCCTGCAGATATAGTGACAAAGGATGTAGTGCTTGTTCGGTGAACTTATCTACAAAGTCAGTGGGATTCAGCGCACAAACGCTCAAAGGACACTGAATAATACTGAACAAAGTTGAGATAAGATCAATGTTGGTCGGTGCATAAGTTCATCCACAGCCAGTGAATGTTCAGTGCATTCCGGTGGAATTACAAGCCATGTACGGTGAACAAAGGAAAGGGTCGATGAACATCACAAGAAACGTAAGATTTGTCACCGAATGCCACCAAGAAGTCAGCGGCATCCACCGGCAGTCAATGTTCTCCGATGTACACCGGTGGATCCTGCATGTCCGCGCGTATCACTCCAAACTGGCCAGGTGCTCACCCAGGCAGCAGATATGGTTCAACCTCTCGGGAAATCCCTTTGGATTCTTTCAAGGGTCCACTAGAATTAGCGTCCCCCTTTGGTTTGTCGCGTTCCAGACCCAAACGCTGACTGACTGTTGAATTCGAAGATGCGTCCGAGTCTGACTCATCAAGTTCTCCTTCAACCAACTCCTCTGATGTGAAAGAGAATCATGTACACCAGGTTCGCCTACTAGTACCTGATTGTTGCCACCGGAGACTTAACTGCACGATAGCTTGCACCTCCCAAAATCAAATGGTATCTACCTGGGACATTTGACTCTTTTCAAGACTGGGGACTACCCCAACTTGCCTTCGTGGACAAGACAGATGTCATTGCGCTCTTGCCTGAACGCTTCCGGTATCTGCTCCTCCTTCCTCCTCGCTATGGCAAAACCATGCTCATGTCTATGCTCACTCGGTACTACGGTCTTTACGGCTTCTCTGAGTTTCCAGAGCGATTCAGAGCGCTCAATATCGCCAAGAAAGTCCCAACCCCACATAACCGGCATATCTGCCTGTCTTTCGACTTCGCCTCTCTTCGTGGACAAAAGACTTTGGACTCGATTTCTTGCGCGTTGGATGATATAATATACGACGCTTGCTCATATCTTGGAGCTTCTTACGGCCTGCCGCTTGACATAACAGATGTAGAAGAATGGGCCGAAAAGCAACCTAATCCATTGGTTTGGCTATTGGTGTTGTCTTTTCCTTCCCATGTAGTTCGCAAGTTGACGTTTGCCGTAGGATCTTATAGAACAAAAGGGTTACTCGCTGTTTGTCAGCGTCGATGATTATGATGCTCTCTTTCATCCCGTTGGCCCGGGTGAACACATCTCTGAAAGCGTCTACCGAGATTCCATTGCGCTGTTGGAAGCGCGGTTCTGGACCCCACTCCGTGCGGATGTTGTTCACAAGCTGATCGTAACGGGCGTGTTTTTACTTTCTGGGCTTGACCTGCCGCCCCAAATACCCGTCGAGTTCGTCGACGGTTGTGGGTTTACCGTGCCAGAGGCAACCAACCTTGCGACCTTATTTCTCAACCAATCAATGGATGTAGCTCAGCTTCATCCGACCTGCAATTACCCCCGCTCCTGGCAGCACCTATGCCACACTTCACCCTCAACTTGTGCTAGATTGGATCACGGTTCACGACCCTTCGACCAAGGGAAAACCCTTCAAGTCTTATGCAACACTGACTGATACGCTCAAGTGCCTCCCTACTTCTTCCTTGAATCCGAATGTTGCCTCACAGGACGGTCTGATTGCATTGCTCACTGTCGGTCGAGTCAAAATTACCCACTTCGATGCTTTTACTGAAGACGACCCGGCGAACATTACATGGGCTGCCATCCTACAAGCCGGTGGTTTGATCCCCGATGCTGAGCCGGACCACTATAAGATTTTCAATCGTCATGTTCTCTCCTTGGTGCGTATGCAAGAATCTTACATACGCGACTAACACCACGAAAGATACATGCTCAAGTTGATAGTGATGTGCTCAAACGCTACGATTCACATTGGGAATTCATGTTCAACTGGGCCGACTACTCTATCTTCAATCGGAGTGGACCATTCACAGGCCTGCTCGCCGAGATTCTCCCGAGACGCAATGCGCTTTACGTTCTTTGGTCTCCAGCCAGAACCTACCTTACTGGGTGCTTTCGAGCTCATATTCCGTCACAAAGAAGCTCTGGAGCGCTGGCCGTTATCGCCATTCATACTAGAGCCACAAGACCAAACTGGGCCCAAACCTATTCACGTCAATCTTCCTCTACGCGCAGCCGCTTGGAAGAATTCATAGATCTTGAGCTGGTTAACTTGTCTCTGGAGGGGATGTGGTACGGAATGCACGCCAACAAACAACGCCGACCCACACCTGGGGAGCTAGAGACATTGTTCAATCATCTTTGTGGACTGGACATCCCGGAGCTCATTCAGCAGCCTTATCGAGCCTCGGCGTTGAGCGACTCGCCGGTTGTGACAGTCGAGAGCTTCACCAACTGCCTGTCGACAGCCCCCCGGTTCGTCTCCATTGGCGGTGCCCATGTTGTGGGTGTTGTCGAGAATTGATTTAGTGACATCCAAATCCTAACTCAGATTTACTCCAACCAAACACACCTCCCAGCACGCATTAGATCCGGAGAATTTTACGCCAGGTATCTGGTGGCGAGTACATTACTTACTAATACAGTTACATGGAACACGCTTCAGAACCGTTTGAACATAGTCGCACAACGAGCTATTAAGCTCCGCGATCACGCCACTCGTCACAGCACAGTTTTTCTCAAACAAATCTCGTACCGCAGGAGGGCAGGTTTTGGAGGGTCTGAGCAACAAAATGAGGATAACTCGCAGAAACCTGTCGCATTTTGGGTGTCGAAAACGCAGGATCGAGCAGGATTTGTGGGCCAAGCTATGGACAGCATTCTTGAGCAATGGTGTCAAATGAATCAGAGATTGACCAACAGCCTTATATGCGTCGAGAATTCGATTGCGTGTTGTGATATCTTTCCCGTAAACTCGGGCCCTCCATAACATGTAGTGGTTCTGGTGGGTTGTTTTGATTCGTGAACAACATTGGTCGTAGTCATCGCTAATGTCCTCGAAATGCGTGTTTTTGAATTGGTGAATATAGCGAAGCTTGGTGAACTTGATCTTTTGCTCTTCGCTACGGAGGCAATGTTCATAGGCGAAGTCAATTGCAGCGGTGGCAGACAAGATGTGGTCGAACAGAAGTTGGGTGCCTTGGAGCTCGGAATGCTTTTCAAGGACCTACGTAGTAAGGTGTTTAAAATAGTCATCGAGGAACTGAAAGCCCCTTACATTTTCGAGTTGAAGTAGATGCGAGTAATCATCCAAGTTTGATGGTGGTTGAGTGCTCGGTAAGGTACAAACGACGTTATCGCGTTTGGTCTCGGCAGGGAAAACATCGCTCATGGCTTCCATCTGGGCAGGGTAAGTTTTCATATCATTAGCACTTGTGTTTTTACCCAGGCAGAGTGCCACTCCCGTTTATTGTTCGTCTCCGGAGGAACAAGAAATCCTTTACTTGCTCGCACCCATGCAGCAAGTTCACGGTCCTCTTTCTTGAGATCTAGATCCAGTCCGCCAAGGAAGAATGACTTGTATTCCGCCGTAGTCGTGGGCGGCCCTCGCGATTTTGCCATAAATGCCTTGAACATCTTGTTGACGATCGGAGAGTCACTGTTGCGCTACGTTCAAACGGTGAGCAAGGATGTGATGCTCTAACATTGCAAGTCTGACCATTTTTTCGCTGGCATCAGACCTGCGAGCGAGCTTGTTTCGCTCACCAGACTCCAACTGTACATCGGAAGACTTTCGTTTGCGAGTTGCTGGTGGCCCGGGTAAGCCAAGTTGAAGGCGCTGCCCAGCACTGGTTTGAGGCTCCTCTGAACTGGATATGCTGTTCTCTAGCTGCGAATCTTTGCGAACCGAGGTTTCGAGTGGAGAAAATCTGGGAACATTTGCTCGGGTAGCGGCATCATGATTTTCGTCGCGTATGCCAGAAACACGGTCAGACGTCGACGCTTCCACCAAGCTGTAATAAAAGGAAAACATGGGTTGAGGAGAACTTACTAGGGATACTACGACTCTGAAAGTTCTCAAGAGCAGCCAAGATATCTTGTGGAGACAGATCGCGGTTGTTCAACTCAGGAATGACCTTCCACTGGTCCGAAAACCGAAACTTGTCGTCTTCGTAAGCGATACCCACCATCTTCAACGTCGAAACGAGTTGCTGGTGCTTTTGTTCAAGAGCTTTGCATCGTATGGTTGCTTCATCTGAGCTCCGCCGTAAGTCGTTGTACTCGTCCTGTAGGCTCTGCAGATAGGGCCGGAATACGTCGACAACACTGTTGGCTGTGTCCTCAAGGGTGGGTCGTTGTGGAGGCATCAGACAAAAAAGGCTGATTCTTTTTACGTGTAAGAAATTATTTCGGATTTGTGTATACTCGAAGGACGTCACGGAATCTGTCGTCCCAAGCTGTCTTGGTTGCTGGACTGACAATTTCCCAGCCTCGTAGATCTCCTCGCCACCTCTTTTCGTTCTTTAGCCGCTCCGCTCTCAACTCCACCTCGGTGGGTGGCGGGTTGGCAGTCTCCTCCTTGGTAGGCTCCCGTGTGCCTCTCGCCAATGCTCTGGCTGTTTCAAGTTTACTCTTGAGCTCCGTATAATACTTTTCGCGCGCTTTTTCGGTCTCCTTGGGCAGGTCAAAGAGCGATTTCTTGAGCCACCGTTCACAGGCGACATCGAATTCGAGGTCCGATTCGCCTGGCGTGATATCAGAGAATAACGGCGTGGAGAAGGGACGTGTTTGGCCCATAACCACGCTGTAGGCAGCCTCAGCGCCGTTCCGTACATCGTGTCGGCGGTTAAACCACTGCCAAATCATGAGCGGAATTTTCGTGAAGCCCAGCAAGTCCGTGAATGGAACTAGGGCGATGGGCGGTAGCGAGGGCACAGTGGGAAGAGACGGCTGAGAAGTAATTTGAGTGGGGGGCAGCAATATTGGCGGCAATGGTGTTGGCTCTTCGTCGGACTCATCAAACCGACCATCTGCTTCAAGCTCTTGCGCAAGCATTTCCTCCTTGTCCACCTTGTCCAGCGGCTCAGACCAGCCGCGTTTAAGTCCCGTCATAAACTCTTTGAATGTTGGCCGCCCAATGATCATAATACCGCCTTCTAATTGGTGTAGTCGTTCCTCTTCAGGCGTCAAGTAAGACGGCAGGGCTTTGCGATAGTCTGGGGTTTCTTCTAAGCCAGCTTCAACTCGTCGCTGTGCCTTAATGCTCTCTGCTACGCGTCCTGCCACGTCCCCAAGACGTTTCCCGCCAACCATAGTGTAGTCGACAGCCGCTGCGACGAGTATTGGCTAGTTCAATTTCAGAATGGAGGGACAAAAAGGCAACACGCGCGTACCTTGACATACTTGCGGAAATATTTCAGCGGCTGGTCGTAGTCCTCGTCCCCAGGCCACCGTCCACCATAAACTAGGACTTTGCGTGGGTGGTACATGGATCCAACGGTTTCGTCAGCAAAGTCCTTGACTTTGTCGATATATTCTTGACGAATGGCACGACATTGGCGGCGGTCATAAACATAGAGGCCAATGCATGACGACGTGAAGGAGTAAAAGATAAGCCAGTTGCGTGAGGGGAGTTTGGGTCGTTTTTCGAACCAAGAAGGCGGGATTCCAGTGTACTTGAGCAGCGTCCGTGCGCCAGACGCAGCGCTCATAAAAGTTTTTGTTCCGTCACAAAGTCCAAATTGGTCAACAACTTTTGATCCGTCAGGCCAACTATCGATCTACTATTACATGCTACTACGGAAAAAATATGTACCTACTCTCGTTCTGACGCCCGCTCCAGTTGCTGCCGCTTGCGAGAGCCACCACTTTCGAGAAGGTAAGTGCACCAAAAGAGGAAATAGAAGATGAACGAACCCGCTAGTGTCAAGACCGCGTTTCTTACCAGTCTTGGCCTCGTCAAGGAACTGATTCAGCCCAAAGACATCACCAGTATCCTTCTCAAACTGCACTGGACCTTCTCGTATTTCTTGGTCAGCGGCACCCTCGAACCCAACTTTCGGTTGCCCAAGACCAAACCGGTCGTTATCGAGCGCTTTGCCAATACCCTCGTCGGTTCCACCACCAAATGAATCTTCGTTGCCTTCAGTAATGTTACCGCGAGCTTTGTAGATTGCAGCAGCGGCAGTTGAGCCATGGAATAGCGGGCGGTCGTAGAGGTTGTATGAGTCTTCGTCGGCAAAGCTACCTGACAGCGATTCCTGGTTGAACAACCGCGAGTCGAGCATGGATTCTTTGGAGAGTGTGGGCTTGGCAAGACCAAGGGCAATTTTCTCTGAAATGTCGCGATTCTGTTGTCGAGCAAGTTGTTTAGCCCTTTGCTCCGTGCCCATATTATTCATTCTCATCTCTCGTTCACGCTCTCTACGCTTCTCTTGGCGCATTTGGTCACGAACACGAGCAGCGTCCTCGTCCTCTTCACTGCCCTTGTCTGACTCATCATCACTCCCACTGTCACTTCCGTAGTTCGCGAGCGACGTGTTCATTGCTGCCTGGCTTGCGACAGTGGGTTTCGCAGCAACACCGGCTCGTTCTTCCCGTGCCCTTTGAGCCATGGCGCGTAGATTCTCTTCTTTCGACGCTTTCTCCTTCTGAGCAAGCTTTTGTTGCATAAGCGATCGTTGGCGGACCTCCTCGCGGGCATGTCGGTCTGCGACAAACAAAGCTTCGGAAAATTTGGCAAAGTTGTCGTTGATGCTCACGTCCTGCAGGCCACGACCATCTGCCGCCAATCGTTTGTCCAGTGGAATGGTGAAACCCTTGTTGTTTTTCCAGTTGGATATGCATGGCGGAATCATCCATTCCTTCTGTTCTTGAGCAGTCGCTTTCCGGGGAGGACTACGTAGAACGGGAGGCGGTGGACTGGGTGGGCCACGCGGAATCTTTTTATGTTTGAATCTCGGTGGCTCCAATGGGTCTTCGACAACTGTGGACATTTTGATGATGCGTTGTTGGAGGGTAGAGGATCCGTTTTGTTGGCCTGGTGTGTACCGAATGAAGGAAGCTTGGCCACCAGTATCCAGGACATTCTTAGGTTGGGCTGCTTTGATTTTCCCCGAAACTAACTTCTCCAAAGCCGCCCTCGTCTTGTCAGCGGTTTCCTGCACTTCATCCTCCGACGGCCTGTCCATATTTCGATCCTCATCCGTGAGGTCTTTCCGATGCAGTAGTGGCACGAGGTCTTTGAATTGGGATTGGATGATTTTGTCCGGTCGCTGGCCTTGGTGGGCAATGGCATCATAGCGGACGTTACCATCACTGTCGACCTGAAGGGCAAGGGTGTTCCCAGACGAGCCCTGAACAAGTGAGTATGACTTGTGAGCCGGTGGGAGTGCTACACACCTTCTTCTTGCCCATGTCCAGCGGATATTGTGCGACATGGCATTCGGGGTACGACCCACCGTCCGCTATCGAAAGAAAGTAACAATCAGTACAATTCAATGCACAAGCCGACACGCACCATAATCTGCTAGAGAGGATGGTCTCCAGCCGCGTCGTTGACCATAGGGAGGGATAGTGGGGCGAGCAATGAGTGATTGAGAAGGCGCTGACGCTGGCCGCGAGATGTCAGCCTCCTCCTCGAAAGATTGTGAATGTATTGGAGTAGGAAGGAGTCTGAATAAATATGACTTTAGCGAATATCTGAGAGGAAAACAAACGACTTGCGCTGCTAAAGCCGCCATGATGAATAAGAAAGATGATGGTTCGGGTTGAGTGTTGTGACGCCGGCCGTGACACATGGTATTCGCTGCTTTCGGTTCTCGGCTTCAAGCCTTCAAGCGCACGTTCGAGTCAAACCTACTCGGAGTATCCTTATTTGCCCTCTTAACTTATCTGTAAACCACAATTTCCAACCCCCCATCCACCAGTTGCGACTCCAAACGCACTATCTCAGTCTACATTCGACTATCTCGAACGTAGACTCCAGGACAGCGACCTGAGAAGGAGGTTTCTCCTTCGCTAGGCCGTCTGCCCCGCCCAACACTGCATGAGCCTCCACTATGCCTTTTACTCCCGCAACATTTCCTTGTTCCGCAGTCTACTCGATGACGGTGAACGCGGAACTCACTCTGCTGGCAGTCCGAGAAGCAAATCGAATAAGGGCCCCAGCGTTTTGAAGGCCGCAATGGGATGTGATGTCAATTCCTTCGATTGGCTTGGCCGTACCGCTCTCCATCTCGCATGTGCAGCCCCAGACGCTCTGGAATACGTCAGGGCTTTGCTCAAGCACCCATTCGTCAATGCCAATCTCCCCGACAAAGAGAGCCATTATACGCCGCTCCATCGGGCCATGTATCATGGGAATATTGCCGCAGCGTTAGTCTTATACCTCATCGTCGCTGGTTGAGGGCTTCAATGATAACAGGCTCTTGCTTCTGCAGCGGTCTGATATTGACACATCACTCAAAGACTTTGAAGGGCACACCGCGTTTGACCTCTACAACTCCACTGTGAATGGCACGGCTCCAAGACCCTCACCCGTTGCAGAGTTGTATACGTGGGGTGTGAACAGGTGAGTCAAATATCTTGCGCTGAATACTCGCTGAATGTCTTGCTAGAAATGCCGCTCTTGGGCAAGATAGCGGTGATAGAAGCAGCCCAGAGTCCGTTTGCATTCCGAAAGTAGGCCCAGAGCCAACTTCGACGAAGCGGTTTCTTCCTCTTCGGGTTCGTCAAATCTCAATGGCGAAACTCCACACAGTTGTCGTCACTACGGAGCGCAAATCCAACCTTCGAGTGTGTGGTTTTGGCAGCGGAGGACGGTGAGTCACCAGCCAGTCTCTTTTTTTTTATCTTCTCAATCCTGGTTAGCCTTGGGCCTGGTCAGCAAACGCAATATCGCCTAATCCCCGTTCCCATATCCACATCCACCGAAGTCACGTGTGTGGCACTCGGTCAAGACCATACATTGGCGCTCACAAGCAATGGCGAAGTGTTCAGTTGGGGCTTGTCTCGCTTTCATCAACTAGGTTATACTGTTGAGCCATCGCCAACCATGGGGAAACTCGAAGAACCCGTTCAATCTACTCCACGCCGTATATTTGGTGCTCTCAAGAAGGAAATTGTCAAGGGTATTGCGGCATCAAAACAGTCTTCCGCTTGCTTCACTGCAACTGAGGTCTTTACCTGGGGAACCAATAACGGACAGCTCGGTAAGTTATATGAGTCTGATTTTGCGTGATCTCATTCTGCGCAGGCTACGATAAAACAGCTCAACCTTTCCAAATCTTGCCAAGGAAGGTATCGAAAATATCCAGACCCGTTGTAGCAATCGCTTTGAATGTAATTTGGCTTTTCGACGCTTATTGGTTAACTTATGTTGAATAGGACCACGCGATGGCCTGTCTTCTCGACACACAAGAAGTCTTTTGTGTGTGGAACGACCGATGCTTCAAGATTAAGTATGTACCTCAGTCACATGCCCTCCCTCTTAATTGATCCATTTCAGCTTCCCTTCGCATGCCTTTCCATCCGAAATCCAGCCATATCGGCCGCCTCAGGCGAAACTTGATGCCCATATCGCCAAGATTACAAGCTCGGACGACACCATTGCGGCACTGTCGTCAAATGGTGAACTATTCACATTTTCGATTCCTGACCCAGGCGAAGCCGAGTTGGGTCGCAGTCATGCCTTCAAACCTCAGCGCGTTTGGGCTTTGCGGAAACAATTCAGTGCAGTCCGAGATGTTGCTCTCGGAGCTGATGGGACCATCATTATCTGCACCGAATCAGGAAATGTGTTTGTTCGAACCAGAAACACCAAGGGAGCGTCCACGAATAAGGCATTCAAATTCCAGCGGGTGCCATATATACAGCGAGTGGTCCAAGTCTGTGCCAACAACGCTGGAGCATTTGGCGCTCTTCGCGTCGACTCGCGTCCCACGCCGATTCGTGTTGAGGGCAATACCATTGTGGAGGATTTGACTGCCATCCAGCCATATAGTTCATCGCCGCCCCCGAAGCTCATCGAAGATGAGAGTCAACAAGCTCCAGAGACTCCACCGTCCATGTTTGCTGTTGAGGACCACGAAGAGGCAGAAGAGTCCTCAATCGAAGCTGACTTTGCTCGACTGTGGGCGTTTTGTCGTCTGTTGAAGACAGGCTGTATCGACCCTCCTCGGCATGGTGCTGATGTTTTGGTTACCGCCAACGGGAAAGAATTTCCTGCCCATCGAGTTATCCTTGCCGCACGTTGCAAGGCATTCCTATCGGTTTTGGCTGGAAATCCTATTCGCGGTGATCGTATCACCATCAAGCCAGTTCCGATCACCGGCAACACCGGCATCAAACTTGGACTTGACTTCCAAGGTTGTGCTCCCATGACTATCCTCATTCTGCTGCATTACTTGTACTCTGATGATTTATTGGCAATCTGGGACGGCCGTATCGTGTCGGCACTGCAGATCGAGCTCACAACGCACAATATTAAACCCGCCCAAGTCAAACTAGAGTTGCAACACCTTGCGCGACTCCTGGAAATGACCCTTCTTGGCGAGGCGTTGGAGGCGCAAGCAAAGCGAGTGCCTACACCGTCTCTTGGCTGCGACCTCAAGGAGTTGTTCTGTGTTTGCCAAAGCCATGTGAATCCCAAGTCAGCGATTGCTCCTGATGTTATACTCCAGTTGGCCGACAGAGACGTCTCATGCCATTCCGCCATTCTGCGATCCCGTAGCCCCGTGTTCTCGGGATTCTTTGACGAAGCGGACTGGACTGCTAAACGGCGGGACAGTAACGGTGTAGTCAAGATCAACTTGAAGCATCTTCGTTGGAGTGTGATGGACTATGTTCTCCAGTATATGCTATGTGGAGTTGAGTCCGAAATGTTCGAACACTTAGGTGAAAGGCTTGCTATTCGTCGAATGCTGCAGCTGATTGTATGACAGCATTTGCTAACTCAGTCGACGATGCACTAGATTTCATGTTTGAAGTAATGGCCATAGCGGTAATTCAGCAGTACAGGGCGTTTAACTCTGCTTATATCATCCAGGACGAACTCATGCTAGATCGCTTGGTGCTATTGTGCTCGGAAGTCATCTTGAAATGGACCGATATCAACCATGCCTGTTTCATTTTGGCTGAAGCTTCTTACTATCACGCGGAACAACTGGTCGACAGTGTCCAAGGGTATATCGCTGAGAATTTGGAAACTTTTCTGGAGTGCAGCATGCTCAACGACTTGACACCGTCCCTCATCAAACAACTTTCCCATTTTGTGAGCAGAAGGCAAATTGAGAAGAGCCCCAAAGCAAGGACGAACTTCGTCATCGAACGAGCTATGACATTACATGGTGATTGGCTGGCATTACAAGACATAGCCGAGCCCATCCCACTTTCGACCAAGGGTGCCGGGAGGAAACCACCATCGTCCCCGGAACTGGGTCCCAAAAGGCGACGATCGGGAATATTATCGAACAGCGCTGTTATGGTTCCGCAAGCTCCGTCGACCGCGATGGACGAAATATTCGAGATAGACGATGCGGAAGTGGCTCCCCCGAAACATCCTGCCCCAGTTTGGAAGGCATCATCTGTACCCAAGGTTGATATGAAGAGTGTCATGGCAGAGGCTGTTCAGAGTCAAGCCCCTACCCCGAAGCCTGGCGTCGCTTTATCCTCTTCGAAAAGCGCGAACAGCTCTTCGTGGAAGGTTTCTACGCAGTCCCCTCCAATCACACCTTCAACTAGCTTGGGTCGACCGTCTGGTGAGGCCTTTCCCACATTGGTGCCGTCTACGCCTCCCTGGCAACGGCCTCCACAAACGACACAAACCGGTCTTGGCCCAATCTTTACCCCCCACTCGACAAACGGCCCCCTCAACTCGGCCTCCACCTCCGTCTGGCATGAGACGTTCATCGTGAGCTTCTTTTCAATTGTTGTGTATTGTGTTTGGCTGACTCATCGTTCAGAGGTGGGACCAAAGCATGGACACAGCCTCCTCTGGCCCCAGTCGCGTCTTCATCTACCGCAACAGCCTCAGTGGCCTCCTTCGCTACAATCCAACAGCTACAGCTTGAGCAAGAACTTGGCGCGTCTGTTGGCCGCGACAAGAAGTCTCTTGTGGACATCCAGGCCGAAGAGGAGTTCTTGAAGTGGTGGGCAGAGGAGGAACAACGGGTTAAAGCGGAGGCTGATGCTGATGCTGCTGCTATCGCACGAGTTCTTGCTGGCGAAAATAATGGCTCGGCCAATAAGTCTCCGAAACGGACGAGGAGAAACCGCGATAAGGGCAATGAACGCTCTCAACCTCGGCCTATCACTTCAACCCCACGCTGGGCGTAGCTTAAAATTTGTTCTAATATTTCGTGTAGCCTAGATTCAGAAAGGAAGCGTGTAGACATGTAGACTAAGTTGACCTTTGCTTTGCTTTGCGCACACTCGAAGTTGGTGATTTTGAAAGCAAGTCGTATTCTGTACAATGTCTACTGCCCTGGAGTACCCGATGCCCCCTCATCCGCCCGCGACGACATTGCTGCCTGACCAGCGGCTGTGGCCGCAAGTCTGGATCGCTTTCTTTCAGCCTCTGTGAATGAGTTCAGAATACGACTAGGCCGTGGTCGCCGAAACACCAACCTGCTTCCTTCTCCCGCTCAATCCCGGCAACAATAGCTTCGATTTCAGGCAGATCGAGATTCTGACGAGCTCAATAAGAGTCCATGATGAGGATGGGTCAACTCACCGTAACCTTGCCATAGCTTTCCATGACGCTGATTTCAATGTTCTTTGCCCCCGTCTGGACCACCTCAAGGAGACTCTTGACGGTAAGTTTGATTGTCTCTTCTCGCGAGAGATCGTCTTTGTGGTTCTTCTCGAGGAACTCGCGGACAGTTTTCGACGAGCGACCGATAGCATTCGCCTGTTGACTGTTGGATGTGAAGGGGGCAAGTCCTGCGAGACGCACCTTCCATGCGCTATATATTCCACTGGGCTCAGTCTGGTAGAGACGCGGTCTGGTGTCGTCGGGGTCAAAGCCGACGATCAGTGTTGAAATTCCGAATGGCCGTACACCACCGGATTGCGTATATTTCTCGTGAATCTATCAGGCCAATTCTGAACAGACACAAAAATACTATGCACCTGCTTTATTCCGGCAATGTGTTTGGTGATGTACTCGACCGTGACTGGGTCTTCAACGGTCAAGCGGTGGCTTTGGCATTCTATCCGGGCTTTGTCGATCAAGACACGTCCATCGGCGGTTAGTCCTGTGGTTGTGTTCGCGGGAGTCGAAATTGGAGAAAGAGACACGACCAACCAGCGAATGCAAGGCAGACGTGGTCGTCAAGCATCACGACCTTGCGAACCGTTCGGGGATCTTGAAGTTGCAAGACCGACTTTTTCTCTACTCCAAGCACCACAACATCTTTGCCGCGAACACCGACCTAGATAGAACATAAGCCAATCGCGAAGTGTGGAGTGTAGTTGTTGCTGACAGCACAGGTACCCTTGCGGACCGCTTCGCCAGCGTATTCCACCTGTAGATGACGCGAATGAGTTGGTTTCGATTGGTTGCAGTGAGTGTGACCTGGAATAGATGGCCGTCGGGAGAGAATACAGTGAGTGCTGTAGGCGGTTAAGGTTCGTCGTATTTTGGCTCTTGAACATGACCCACCTCGATCGTAGGACCTGGACATGAGAGCAGCAAGAACGAGACGCGCGTTCAAGCTCGTGACGAATCGCGTAACGTCTCCCGATTTGGGAATTCTGATGGGGCAACCAAATTTAGCCCAAGATGACGATGAGAAGTGGATTACAACAAGTGTGGAACGTTCATGGATGCCAGACTATGTACATGGAAGTGCTCTCCCTCTCTCTCTTATGCCGTCTCAGTTTCATCGCGTCCCCGCTTCAAAGATGCGGCGGAAGGTGGAGCCTGTGCTGCACCTGTTACTCCGACAACAAGACCTGACTTCTTCAGCGCCGGTTTCTCACTGGAAGACAATGAAAAGTACCTTTAAGCCATCCGTTTTCTCTACGAAGACCTTCACACTCGCGCTCAAGCTCATTTACCCGGCCCTCCAGCTCCTTGGCACGAGTTTCAAGGGCTGCCTCGCGTTCTTTCTTTTTCAAACGGAAGCGAGCGGAGGCAGCGGTGTTTCTACGGCGTTTGTCTTCAGCAATGCTAACAGCCAATGATGTTGCATCTTCTGGGCTGTCGGCAGTCGACGAAATGGAGGCTTTACGAGTTCGCGCACGTTTGGCTGGCGGGGTTTCGAGTGAAGATGAAATTTCAGTGGGTGGTGAAAGAGACGATTGGGGTGGAGCGCCGCCTTGCACTGCGGAATGTAAAGCCAAAAGCTGGACGATAGACGGAGTGCCTGGCTGTGTGAACGTCGCTAAGAGATGATTGAGATCAAATGCAGGCTGGGCCTCTGGGGGAGCGATCAGGTTGGCATGGCCCTGATGAAGCAAAGACTCGGAAGGATTGGGTGAGTCCAGCTCGTCGTCCATGCCACGCCCATGATGCCGTTTGTGAGGCTCTTCAGGCAGTTGGGGGTCGTCATTTTCGAATACCAAAGTATTCCAAATATCGGGAAATGGTGGGCCGGAGAGCAAGTCTTGGGCAGACGAGCTTGAATGAGATGGTGGGTGAATAAGGTTGAGCCCTTGGAGGCTGGGTGGCGCCATTCTTGCGCTGGAGCACTGGGCGGTGGTGGGTTTTCGTAGTAAGAGAGTAAGCCCGGATTAAGTTTAGGTGTCTGAGTAATCGCGTCGGTCCGATAGCGCCTTTTTGATGCATCGTCATGTGCAACAGCCTTTTTTCCATCGATGTTACCTCTCCTTTAACCGCTACGCCGCTATATTCATACGGCACAGGACATAAACTAATGCAGGCAGTCAAGCTGGTTATGAAGACAGCCTCCACTACTCGAAAATTAATGAAGAAAAATGTCGCAATTGGGCAGAAAATGTCGCAACAGCCCTCATGATCGAGCGATCAGGTCTCTCCCACGCGGTCTTCTGACAATGTGGCAGTTGAAATCACGCTGAACGAGTCAAAGACTTTTTACAAACCGAGGCACCGAGGCGCTCACGGGCCGCCGGGCCCGGCGTAGCATTTCATCCAAACCTTGGACTGGCGGCAAAGGCACGCTAGGGAAAACATGAAACTCAGCTAGAACATGAATAGAATGACGTCTTTAGAAGTCAGTTGTGTGGCGCTGGGCCGCCGCTGGCCCACTTAGGTCGATCTTCCCGTCCAGAGCTTGGTTATAATAGTCTTGAATCTTGATCGTGAGTTTCTAAATTTCTCCACTGTCCAGATCGTGGGGCTGTGAAGAAGAGTCGCTGTCTAATGATTCTCAGCTAGCTTGTAGTCTGTATGAGCAGTAAACTCGCCTGAATACAGGAAGTCATCCTAATGATCCCATGTCTTCCTTGTACCTTTGTGAGTTGAGATCGGGTTGAACTTCCACGCAGCGCAAAAATACTCCGAATTTCTAAGTCTTCAATGCTGGCGCCACGGGTGTGTTGTTCCTTCTTCTCCCTTTTACATAGGGGCTCACGGCCCGGCGTATTACAAGCCGGTCGTCACAATCAGATGGACTTGATGCCAAATCAGATGTCGATCCGTCACACTCAGAAACACCCAAACTACGCGACGTGTCTGGATACGTGCATCCGACTATATTAGCTGGTCCCCTCTCCTTGTAGGCAGTATGGCATCTTCTCGTGTATCGGCCAAGCATGTGCTCTACTCCGAAATCTCAGCAGTTACATCGGCAATGCGGAAAAACTCTCGATGGGCTTCAGCAACTCATTTGCTCTATGCGCGCGATTCGGGTTTGGGAAGCGACCTTGGTCTGAGAGTGTCGAGCAGCTCTCAGCCGTCCAGGAGAATTACGAGAGAGGCAGATCTTATGCTCGGATTCGAAGAACTGAAACGTGCAGTTCGGGATATTCAAGGTGTGTGTCTGTACTAGTTGTTATATGCGACTGACGCTGGTAAAGACATTATGACAGTTCCTCTTCCAACGCTCCTCGCGCCTTTCTTTGCCATAATCCGTTCTCCGCTTTCGACAGGACCTATAACTTCCGCTGCGCTTGCATCCCTTCATAGTTTCTTCGTTTCTGGCCTCATTTCGCCGCAAGCGCGGTCTCTTGAGACCGCATTAGTCGATCTCAGCAGCACCGTCTCACACTGCAAGTTTGAAGCTAGCGACTCTTCTGGTGACGAGGTCGTACTTTTGCGTATCATGACCGTCATACATGATTGTCTCTGCGGGAGTGTTGGCAGTCTACTAGGCGACATTGAAGTCTGCGAAATGCTTGAAACTGTTCTCACCACTTGCTGTCAAATGCGTCTTAGTGGTATGTGCGACTATTTCTCGTCAAACCAAATACTCAGCTTGACCGTAGAAACGCTTCGTCGCTCGGCGGAGAACACAATGCACGCTTTAGTTCGGACCGTATTTGGCCGCCTACACTCTTTAGACCCCCGGACTGAAGAAGAAAAGCTTCAAACGGCCGATGAGGATACGCCGGAAGCCGAATTAAGGATGACAGTATCTTCAACTGATGTCCCTTCAGTAGAGGAAGACAACTCACAAGAACTGGTCGTCGAGCCATCTCAGTCGAGCATAGCAGATGATGCCACTGAAGCTGTTGCTCCAACACCCTCAACGGCAGCAACCATCGGTCGTCCGGAATGTATGTTCACCTGCCAACGACAATCCAATTCTCATGGGTTTCATAGACGGCCTTCCATCGATCCTTGAACTACTACGAGTTTTAATCAACGTGCTTGATCCTAGTGATCAGCAACATACGGACTCGACCCGACTCGTCGCTTTGGGCATCCTCAATGCTGCGTTCGAAGCCTCTGGTTCACGCATTCCCGATTTCCCCTCATTGTTAGCCCTGATCAAAGACACTGGCTGTAAATTCCTCTTCCAGCTGGCACGGTCTGAAAATCTTGCGGTCCTTCAAGCTGGTCTTCGCGCGATATCGACTGTGTTCGACACGATGCGCCAGCATCTGAAGTTGCAACAAGAATTATATCTCGCGTTCACAATTGACAGGCTTGCCCCACCACCGCCTCCACCTGGAAGGAAGCCTCCGCCGCCTGTCACTTCTCCCAGACCCGGTACCCCAGTCCCTGGAACACCGATATTAGGACCACCAGAGCGGGATGCCGAAACCGGTTCCGCCACTCCAACAAGAGTACTGGTGGCACCGGCCCGTGGTGAAACTCGGGATCTCGTATTGGAGACTCTCAGTCACATTGCTCAACATCCGAGCTTTATGGTTGATCTTTACATCAACTACGACTGTGACATCAACTCTGAGAACCTATTCGAGCGGCTCATCGACTTCCTCACCAAAGCTATTTACCCTTCACATTATCCCGGTGGACTAGATGCGCGTCAGCGCAACGTGCAATACCTCTGTCTCGACCTGTTACTTGCCTTCGTCAACGATATGGCGGCACGCGCTGGCGGGGTGCGTCTTTCTTTCCTTTAGTGCGCCGTACCCATCTTCCATTTCAGGCATTAGACCCGTGGTCCGCGGTGAGAATGCTCACCTTTGGATGCTATACAGAATGCTAACAAAGACAGAATCTTCCTGAAGCAAATTCTTTACTCACTGCCAAGTCGCAGAAACAACTCATCGTTGCTGCTGCCGCACGATTCAACACGAAACCAAAACATGGCGTCGCTTTCTTGGAAGAAAACAAGCTCATATACGCAAACCTTCCGCCAGACGGGCCGGAAAGTGCCAAAGCACATAATCTTGCCGTGTTTCTGAAAGGATGTGCTCGACTCGACAAGCGACTTCTGGGAGACTATATTTCTCGCGAAGAAAATCTTCCACTACTCAAGGCGTTCATCGGTCTATTTGATTTCCGTGACGTGTGTCTGGCTTAAGTTGATAAAATTTCGTGCTCACGCAAAGCCCAGAAACCCATTGCAGAAGCCATGCGCGAGCTTCTCGAAACCTTCCGTCTCCCTGGCGAAGCACAACAAATAGCGCGGATCACCGAAGAATTTGCTTCAATCTATTTTGCTGCAGGCCCTGGTAACTCACTACGCATTTAGTCTGCTCTTGTCGTCTCAATCTTCTGGCAGCGGAAATCCAAAACTCAGACGCTGTTTATGTCTTGGCGTATTCCATTATCATGCTCAACACTGACCAACACAATCCACAAGTTCGGGTTAGTCTTCGCCATGAGCTCAGATTCTTGTACTCACCAATCCGTAGAATCGAATGACAATCGAAGATTACAGGAAAAATCTGCGTGGCGTCAATAACGGAAGCGATTTCTCTCTTGAGTTCTTGGTAAGACCTTGGACTGGATGTAAAGCGCGCACCACTGAGGGACTTGCAGCAAAACATCTTCGATTCGATTCGCAAGCGCGAGATTATAATGCCAGAAGAGCATTCAGGTCAACTTGGTTTCGAATATGCTTGGAAGGATCTGCTTGCCAGGTCAAGAGATGCAGGTATATCACGTGCTACCAACATCCATCCACAATCTAATCTAATCTAGGCGATCTAATCATCTGCAACACAAATCTCTTCGATGTTAATATGTTCAAGGCTGTTTGGAAGCCGGTCATCTCGGCTATTGCATACGCGTTTATCAGCTTCGACGACGATTACATCATTCAGCGGTCGATAGCAGGCTTCCGCCAATGTGCGACGTTGGCTGGTGTCTTCCAGCTTCCTGATGTCTTCGATTTCGTCGTTGTGTCGCTTTCCCAGGCAACGAGTCTTTTATCGGAGTCCGTATCAGGCCAGGTACCCAACTTCCCTGTTGTAGATGTTGAAGGCCAGTCTGTGACTGTGTCAAACCTCTCAGTAAAGTTCGGCACCAATTTCAAGGGCCAATTGGCTGCTGTAGTCTTGTTCAATATCGTAAATGGCAATGGCAATGCCCTTCGAGAAGGGTGGACCCAGGTAAGCGCTGTCCTCTCAGCTGTTAACAGAGAAACTGAGACGTTTAAAGATCTTCGAAATGTTCCAAAACCTCTTCTTGCACTCATTGCTACCGCCTCAAATGCTCCAAATGGAGGATTTCCTAGGAGGTGCTTCTGTGATTCCTCTTCGCGGGGGCCAGCCTCGACGCGTTGCGGCCCGGAGTGATGGCGGATTACTTTCCGCACTCTCATCCTACTTGATGACCCCATATAGTGCGAGCTCTGATGCTCTTATTCCCGATGCCACCGATGCAGATGTGGAGAACACGCTTTGTGCTATCGACTGCATCTCCTCGTGTCGTCTAGACGAGCTGTACGGCCAGATTTTGTACGACCATGATTCCTTGCTATCCATCATGACTAAACCAATTCCCCAGGCAGTTAGATGTCCATGCATTAATTGCGGCTGTTCGCGCACTGGAAGCTTTAGCTCATGAACGAACTGTGACAAAACTCAAGCAAGAGTCTGATGAAGACAGCGCCCATACCTTGGATGATGAACCCCATTCATTGCCGTATGACCCAGCATCGGTGTTTCTTCTAGAAACCATGGTCAGCATCGCATCACAGACTTGGCAACACATCGAAGAGATATGGTACTCATCCAACTTTCGTCCTACTATTGACCTAGCTCACTGCAACGCAGGCCAATCGTCAACCAACACGTGACGGACCTTCTCAAGAGTGCCGTACACTACAGCGTCCTGCTCATCGAGCGTGCCGTGGTAGGACTCTTGCGTTTGTGTCTGATTATCGCCAAAGTGGTATGTGATCGCTCTCGCTGCAGAACTCAATTCTCATAGCATCGGCAGCCATCGCTCCAGGAGCAGATTTCTGACTCGTTGGATTTGCTCGTCTGCCTGCCGCCCACTGTGTCGAGCTTGGTCTCAGAACAGATTGTTTCGGGGGTTGTTTTACTTGTCCGAGAGCACAAGGAGATCATCAGGTTTGAAACCTTGTTGTTTACTGCTTATTACGACGACTCAAGTATTCATTCAGCTCCAAGACCAAGTGGAATCTGATATTTGCACTTCTTCGTTCGACCATCACACATCCAGAAGCTTCTCGCGACTCTTTTGAACTCGTCACTCAGCTGGTGTCGGATGGACCCGATCAGACTGTGGTTCTGGACAACTATTCCGGGTTATTGACGATCCTGGACGATTTTGCATCCCATGCTGGTTACATTACGGAAGCACATCAGCGCCAGGGACGGAGGCTGGAACCGTTATCGACGACCAAGTGTGTGCTTTGTGGATAACCGAGACAAACAACGCTGATATATACGACTCTAGCTCCCCTTCTGTTGAGCGAGGCACCAAGGCCATTGAACTGATCGTAAACCTGAGAAAGTTCATGGCTCCTCTAGCTGAATCTACACCCTTAACGAAGTTGCAAGGTACGCAGTCGTCTTGAAGGTCGGCATTAGCATCTCATTAATTGATAGCGTGGCGAGAGTTGTGCCTGCCCTTACTGGGATCACTCGGTCGTCAATCCACAAATGCCGCACGCGAAGTGCGGCAAAGTGCGATGAGCCAGCTCCAACGACTGCTACTGGGACCGCACGTGCTGTTTGATGATGCCGAGTCCATGCAGGTCCAGATAGAGGAGATCTTCAACCGGGTTATATTCCCTCTTCTGGACGACCTCCTCAAGCCGCAAATATTCAACCGCGACCCGCGTGGGATGCCCGAGACCAGACTGCGCGCATCTGCCCTGTTGTGCAAGACGTTCATAAATTACGAAACACGTGACCCGCAGGCCAAAAGCGACATTCGCCTGCTCTGGATACAGATCCTCGACCTCTTGGATCGCTTCATGCACATCGACAAGAACGACCAGCTGGTAAGTGCCATGATTTTCGCTCGAGCGAAGCTGACTTGGTTTCCAAGTATGAAGCGGTCCCTGAATCGCTGAAAAATGTTGTGCTGGTGATGAACTCTGCCAACATTCTTGTGCCCCCTGCCGCGGACGACCAGCGCGATGAGCGACAGCGCACGCTGTGGAATGCCACCAATGAGCGAATAGAGCGTTTCTTGCCAGGTTTCATGGCAGCAGTCATACCCCAGGAGTCTTGATAGAGAACAAAAAAAACCCATCTGTAATTACGATAGAGTACTCCCCGTCTAAATGAACTTCATCTTTGAAGGCCTGTGTAAGCTTATTGAGCACCCCCTAGTCAAGGTTCACGAAAAAGCACTGACCGCACTCGGATATATAAGCCAATAACACAAGCCAGGGGACCAATGGCATATGCTAGAATGCGCATGCTCAATGGGCTGTACTTGTGCCCCCAGCCAGACCAAAAACCGCCTAGATGGGCAGTGACCATCAACAGCACGAAGAGCACGTAGCCCGAAAGGCGGTGGTATTTCCAGACGGCCTTGGCCTTTGACCCGCCGCCAAATGCTGCACCGCCAAACCACACGCTGCCGCCACCGAGCAAAACCTGGACGAAGATCCACGTGAAAGTCGCAAGCCCGAATTTCTGTTTGGCGTTCAGGAAAGAAAGGAAGGAAGGAGGAAGGCTTACTCCGTGCCAGCTCTTGAAGTGGTCGGCCCCCCGGCGCTCCTTGTTCCACCAAACTGCAGATGTTCCAATCACGATTGCGGGGAGCGCGACGAGGATGATCGCGTATTGATGGCGCGCAAGGCCCGCTGCCTTGGTCTTGGGCTGCGAGGTCGGTTGCAAGGTAAGTATTCCTGTGAAAGGATTATTCAATTATTTGGACGATAGACCGCGCGACTGGCCATAGACAAGAAGCACCAGCGAGAGCGACTGCAACAACGGGTGGAGCGCGAAAATGCCGACAGCGAGAGGGTCGTTGACCTAAGAGAGACGATTCAGAAACCGTGGAAGGTGGCGGGGACGTTTCGTTTTACCAAGGTGATGACCCAGCTTACGGTTGCAAAGAGCTGGAAACCACGTCATTAGCTGCGACACATGAGTGGGGGTAAGTTACGCCAATCCCGAACTACAGGGAAGGTTAAGGGGGCGTTGCAGTCGTGGCTTGACACGCACGAAAGCAATGTAGAGCGCAGTACCATCGCCTTTGCGGCCCTCTCTGGGTAACTGTGCTTCAACTCTCTTGGGTAGTCCATTCTGGGTTTGTTCAGGGAGTAATAGTTCGTAGTCTTCGGCATTGGGGTCCATGCTGTCTAGCTGGCGTCGAGTAGATCGCTGCATCCAGTTCCACGTCAATGACAAAAGACACTCTTGCTCAGCGGCGGTCTCACGACACAAGGTACATGGGCGGAAGGGACACGATATAAACCAATCACAGACGCGTAGATTACAAAGCCGTGGCCCCCCAATCCTCACAAGTCAAATATTCATAACTAAGCACATTAGGCAGAGATCTAAGGTATGTCAACGTGGCCATGGGGTATCGTGAGTATTATTCGTAATGGGCGGGCTGCTTTTACCCAAGAATGGGCCAGCTGCCTTCCTCCTTCCACTTGTCCACAACCTCCTTGACCGTTTCGTGGGTAAACTCGGCTTTTTTGAGTTTGTAACCAGTCACTTCAAGGAGTTTTTGGTTGCTGAATGCAACGACATGCTTATCCAATGCATACTTGTCCATATATGCGGACAAGGGAGTGTTGGGGATCGGTGGGTTTGAGGTTGTGATCATCTCGGTCCACGCAGAGACGTGGTGCTCGTTGATGTCTTCAACAGCGTCAGATTTCAGCTGAATCAAGCGTCAGAAAAGCAAGAGGACTAAGAGGATAAACTGACATTAAGGACAGTATTTTCCACGAAATTAAAAAACTCAAAGGTTGTGCCGAAAAACGACGTGACGGTCTGCCCGACGCTGAACAGCGTGCTGTTCGAGTTGTCGACCTTGGGCAAAACGTCAATGTGAGAAAAAGATTCGGGTGCGTTGACTCACGAGGTTGAACAAGGGAGCGACAAGCTTCTTGTTCGCTTCAGGCATGCCCTTGACTTCGCCTACCTTGCTCTTGTCGTTGTGGAAGATGATGATCTCACCCGCAAGGCTGTCTGCCTCCTTGCGACCCAAAGGGGCCATCCACTCGGCGCAAGCCCACATTGCGCCAGCGACATCGTCTGTGTGGATCGTATTGTTTGGGTTTTTGCCCGGTGACCACATCGAACGCATCGGTTTCTTCATATAGCCGTAGACCGATGAGACCGTGATAGCAGACGTGATGATGCCCCAGTTTGTGTAGGGTCCATAGAGAAAACCACTCCGTAAAATTACGAGATTAAGGCTGGTTTGGAAGGATTGAATGAGAAGGGGCGGATACAGTAGTGACCAGAAGAACGTACTCTTCGATGTCAGCTAGCATTCGCAACGCCTCATGCCACCAAGTTCCGCAGACACCAAAAGGCTTGATATCCTCCTTCTCATCATGCGAACCTTTTGTGGAGGTTTCGTAGAAAGGCAGAGAGAGACGGCAGTATGCCTTGACCTTCCGCTTGGCCGCCTCGAGACCTAGCAACCATGCGACGTTGCACGTCCTGTCGATTTGGATCTAGTAGAAAAAAAAAATCATGAGCCAACCGGTGACTTGAGCGGAGGCAAAAGGATAAAAAAAAAGTCACCATCTCGCTGCGATCGAACTGAACCTCCCCAGTAAAGTCAAAGACATAATCGTAAGGCGCCTGTCCCTCCGGGGGATCAAACATTTGGGCGATGGTCGCTGCAGGGAAGCCATCAGAAACGACGCGCAAGCAAATTTGATTAAAAATAAGCGTACCAGCCACCGTCAGGTTTGCTTGCCTGTACTCGACGATCTTCGACTGCTTGAGGATCTTTGGAAACTCCGCGCCAATGTAGCTGGGAGAGAGTTAGCCGGATTCGTGGCCACTGCCGAGTATTACTCACGTCGTGGGTGGCTCAACAGAGAAGCGGTCGACGATGCGGACGCTCTGTGGCGATGGAATGAGTGGGATGGTCTCCGATAGAGTAGGAAAACCGACAGAGACAAGCGGCTCGCCCTCGAGAGGCGCAAGCAGACTGACAAGAGCCCGTGAGCAGGTGTTCAAACCGCCTAGCCTCAGAGTGAGATAACTCTCGACAAGAAAAAGACACTGCGATACCGAAAATGAGAACATTGGGAGCCGACATCTCCAACGACGAAGGGTGTTATGGGGAGCAACCCCAAGGTTGAAGAAGGAAAGTGATGGAAGCTCAATATAGCAGTCACGGCCTCACAACCAGTATTATTACAGCAATTCTACAGCTCCTCTGATATGTAGCGGTAAACTGACGAGAAGTCCTTCTTTCCGAGCTCGGGTCTGACCTGAATCATCTTGGAATATAGTTGGAGAGCAACATCTCCCATGGGAAGCGCCGTTCCAGTCTGGACAGCACAATCCCTTGCAAGGCCCATGTCCTAAATAAGAGTTTGAGAAAAAGAATCGGAAAAGCCATGGTGACCTTTTCCATTAACATGGTCGCAAAGCCTCCCTCATAATCGCGCTCGCTCGGAGGAGATTTCTCAGGCCCAAGGGCATGGGGCACTGGATTGTTGACGGACAACGACCAGCAACTGCCCGTGCTCGATCCAATCACGCTTGAAAGCACGGCGGGATCGAGTCCAAGTTTTTGGCCAAGTAGCATGGCCTCTCCGACGACTATTTGCTGCACACCAAGGATGAGGTTGTTGCAGATTTTTGCGCCAAGACCAGCGCCGGATGGACCACAATGAACAATTCGTTGACCCATCAAGGCAAGAATAGGTTTAACAGCCTCAAACGAGTCTTGCGTTCCGCCGACAAGAAACGCGAGGGTGCCTGCTTTAGCGCCAGTGACACCGCCTGAAACTGGCGCATCGACCATCTGGGCACCAGTTGCAATAACTTGCTGTGCTACTTGCTGCGCAACAGCAACATCGAGGGTCGTCGAGTCAATGTAAATTGAGCCCTTGCTTTCGTCTGCAGACAGACTGCGAAGGGCTGGGATGATGCTGCCGTAGACAGTTTGCACTTGCTTCGATGACGGAAGCATGGTGACAGTAGTTTGAGAAGCCATAGCAGCCCTGGCTTGCTCTGATTACTTTTGCTGAGATAAATGCGAGGTTTGGAGTACTTGCTCATCTGGGGAATTGGCAATCTCAACATGAGCGCCGGGAAACGCGGCGACGAAACTCCTCTGGAAGGAAGCGGCCGACTCCGGTAAAGCGTCGCAAATAACAAAACGAGATTCAGGCTTATTTGCAAAGGTTTTGGAGAATAGGTTATGCCTGCAACAAAATAAGCCAATGATATGGCGCAGATGAGTTTGTACGCCATTTCCGATCCCATTCGACCAAGACCAATGAAACTGGTGCCTAGCGCAAGGTCAATGAATTGAAGGGTTCATACTTGTGTTCTACTGTTTGGTCTGCGGGTAAGGCGCTCAACAGCTTGAAGACAACGTCTGGTCGCCCGCATTATTGTGGTGGTTGGAGGCCAACAGACAAGGTCCGAGATTACGGTCACATGACTACTTTATGACGCGTGAAAAAATCAAAATCAAGATTGCAAATTTATCTCCAACTACTCGAAACAACTACGCTGGTGCCTCTGCTCAAAGTCGTGTATGATCGATTAGGGTCTGATTCCCAAGCGACAACAGTGTTGCCCCTGACACGTATGACTGGAATAATGTCAGTAAAAATGGTTGGGGGAATAAATTTGGATACCGACATTTGTACTGGAAGGTCGTGTTGGGCGGCAAAACGACCGACACAGACCAAGCAGAGCCGTCAAACGTGAGCGTAATCGCAGATGCAGGAGCCCAGTTGCCTAGTTGTGGGATAGAGCCCACAATCTTGATGGCTTCTCCAGCAGCGGTCGTTACCGTCTCTCTAAACGTGACGGTGGCTCCAGTTGAAGAAGGCGGAACGGCTGATGAAGTGCTGCTGGAAGCGACTACCGGAGGGCTAGTCGGCGCTGCACTGACAGACGACGATGGCGCGCTCGGGGGTGTGGCCGCCGCTGTGATAGCACTTGTACTACTCCTTGTCGAGCCAAAAATTCCATAGAGCGTCACACTTGAGCCAGCGCTAGGTGTCGTGTATATCCTGTTGTTACCCGACTCCCAGGTCACAGCGCCTCCCCTCACTTTTATGACTGCAAACAGGTAAGTCCAGCATCGAGATCAGGAGCAATTGGCTCACATTTATATTCAAAATACGTGTTCGGAGGGAGGACCATGGTGAGCTGCCAGTCTGCGTTGACCGAGGGTTGGCTGAGTTGGATGGCGGCCGCCGGATCCCAGCTTCCAAGCTGCGAAATCGACCCCACGACTTTGAGTGTTTCCCCAGTAGCCGTTGCAGCAGTTTCAACAAATGATACTGTGACTGCGGTGCTAACAGGAGCGGGCACAGAGCTGCTGGTGATCGAACTCGGCGAAGAAGAAGCGGGGATTGACGAAGAAGCTGGTGCGGCATTGGAGGCTGACGAAGAAGGGATCAACGAAGAACTGGGTGCTGACAAAGAGGCGGATGCTGAAGATGAAGCCGGCGCTGAAGATGAAGCTGGCACTGAAGAGGAAGCAGACCCTGAAGACGAAACAGGTATCGAAGATGAGGCAGGTATCGATGAAGAAGCCGACATCGAAGAAGGCCTTGGCGGGGCTATCAGTGGGGAAGAGGGGACGCTGCCAGAAGCAGAAGAAGACACCGAAGCGGAGGACGAAGACGAACTACTAGTGATATGTCAGAACATTGTTCACAATCAGTCAAACCCCACTCACGAGGTCGTCCCATTCGCGTTTGAAAGAGAGAACAAGGCCAATGCGTCTCTCGGAGCGACTGATGCAGAAAAGGTCCCTGATGCCGAAACAACATACGATGGTCCATTGCACGTGCCAGGGCGAGCGTCCGTATCATGGATAATATCGCAATCTGGAGAAGTTCAGACCAATCAGATCAACGCAGCAAGCCAGCACTCACAGATTCCAGCAGGAAGAGAAGTCGCCCACAAGCTGTTAGACCAGACAGAATTGTCGTTGTTGATGATTAAAAATCCAACATTACCACGACCGAACGCTGATCAAGGCATGAGCAGAGTAGAATGAAGAGTGATGACCATGTACCTATCTGGTTGTTGGTCCCTTTGGTGACTTTCGTCAACGGCGCAGAGCCAACAGCGTTGTGAAATGCGACCATATTCGCGATGGCAATGTTCCGGTGCTCACAGCGCCAACCGTTCGAGCCACACGTGACCGCATTCGTGAGTCCTGCGCTGTTCTGAGGAGCGCCAGCATCATACGAAGTATAGTCGTAACTAGGAGGAGGAGTAAGTCTGACATAAGCTGTGGCAAGAAGAAAAGACACACCCAGAGTAAACCGTTGGACTCCCATAATTAAAGCCAAGCATGAAGATGGCGGAAAGGGTATATATGTTGTTAGGCGAGTTAGAAGTTAGCGAACTCCCTCCACGTTCAGTGTCCTGATTAGCCATGATATAAGTAGCCTTGGATGAGTCAACAAAGTTCCATGGGGAGCTCGATCCCATAGCTGAAAGCGTTGAAAAATAGAAAGAGATATTATTTCAGGGTACTCACGAGTGGGGGTGACGAGAGCGGCAATCTGTCATGCACATCAGCGAAGGAAACAGAAACTGTGAGGAATAGTGATATACCCCGCCAGAATTCCAATTGAAGGCGGCCTGTGCAGACGAGGTTGCACGGAATTCGATGACATCCCTGTGGTTGGTCAGAAGCTGTCGCTATCTTCAGAAGGGGCAGAGGTATACCCATTAGCAACGTATTGTGAGGGTTGTACGGCTTCGCCGCTGCCATAAATCACCTCCTATTTGGATATTAGGACAACACTAACACGACCAGGCATAGCACAAACCTGGGTATCATAGAACGGGTACGAAAGCAGGTTAAGTATTGACTGAATATTTGATGAAGGAATGTGTTTGGCTGCGTCGATCCGAAATCCGAAAACGCCCTGAACGAAAATTGGATTAGCGGAAAAACACGACGATGCTCTTATACCATTGAAAGCAAATCATTGAGGTAAGCCGCCATTATTCTTTGAACTGCAGGCTGTTCTTGTGCGAGATCCGCCAGTCCGACAAGCTGGTGGATGGGTGAGAATAGTGGTGAAGCACAGATAATACTCACTTCACAGAATTGGACGCTGTCAACGAGTAAGATTCAGCTCAGATGACGACAATATAGCTTACTTGTAGGCGTCTCTGTAGTTGCTAATGTCAGCAGCGCGACCGTTGTTGCAGTAATGGAAGTTCGAAGACGAATACCCTGCCGCAGGACTGTCGTTCTAGTGAGCCACCGAGGAAGTTGGTCAATATAGTGGGAGGACTGACTAGTTGTACTTGGTATATGTGCTGCCGCCGATACCAGTACCAGACCCTGCGGTCATGTGGTTGAGGACGACTGAAGAGGTTGTGAGCGGATTGGAGGCATGATATGCTTGAGGCTGACCATCAGCTATGACTTTGACTCCTGCCGCATTGCAGGAAGCGACCATATTCATAAACTGAGCTCTGGATCCCCGTTTGGAAACAATTTTGTAGGACACGGGCTGGTAGTCAGTCCACCCTGCGAAAGGTTTAATAAACATGACTCTGTTTCAAAGCATTGGACGAACATTGCGAGCCGGTGACTAGGAGGACGTCAAATGCGAGTGACGAGGGTGTATGAGAACTCACTGTGCTCGTTTGGAGGGCTGACTTGTACAAACCCATACCCATTAGGACCCAAGAACGAGGTGCATTCGGCAGCCACGGAGTCCCAAGGCCACTCGAAAAGCTGATATACATGTCAGGAGAGGAATTCGCTGAGGCAGGGATTCCTAACCTGAACGATAACATCATTGTTTTGAGAAGGCGCACGACGATAAATGCTACTGCCAGCAGCAACAACAAAGTCGACCGATAAAGCAGAAAGTAAAACAAATTTTGAAAGCGAGGAGAACATCATGAGAGCGCGAGACAAGTGGTAAAAAATAGGGAGGCATGTTGCGGCTAACTTATAGGATTGGGCCCGGGTGAGACGCGGATGTGCGGAAGTACTAGAAAATGGTCTCAGAAATGGGAGTTTCAGATCGCAGCCGGAGAGATGACTGGGAGAACAGAGACAGGACAAGAGCACGTCGGAGTCGAGAAACAAACGCGTCTAAGTCACGTGCTCGAAAATGTCCTGTCCTGTCGACCACTCGAGTAACTCCGACTCGGCAGAAAAATGTCCTGTCGAGCACAAAACACAGCGCTCTACATGGTCTAGTCTATTTTCTTCCTCCCCATCGTCGTCTACCCCGTCAACACTTTCGACGGATCGTGAGGTCTCTTCAATTCCGAAAGCGGCCGATGGAAACTGGGTCTACCCTTCCGAAGCACAGTTCTTTGCCGCCATGGCTCGTAAAAATCATAACCCCCAGTCTGGCGATATGAAAACCATTGTCCCCATCCATAACGCAGTGAATGAACGCGCTTGGGCGGAGGTGATGCAGTGGGAGGCTGGTCGAGGTGGGGATGCATGCGGTGGGATTAGATTGGTCAATTTTCGTGGTAAGCCAGGAGAACCGAGTATTAGAGCGAGGTTCAAGACACTTCTTGGGTGCGTTCTGCCAACAACAACACTTCCAACTTGCTCTTAATCAATGTTTCTGGAGGTATACGGCACCTTTCGACCGTCATGACTGGGTTGTCGATCGTTGCGGGCTGCAAATGAGATATATCATCGACTTTTACACGGGCCACAGTCAACCTGGTGGAGGTCCCTCGTTCTATCTTGATGTCCGACCTGCGCTCGACAACTGGGAGGGAGTAAAGATGCGGACTGAACGGTTTTGGTCTCGAATGCTGGGTACAACTCCTGTATTACCACCTACACAACGGAAATAAACAAAAACTATCGTTTGCTTCGTAATTTGGCTTTTTTCGGTGGTCGAGCCTGTTCGATTTCACTTTCGCTCTCAGACTCTGAAGCACTGAGCTGTTCTTCATCACCATCGCTGATCTCCTCTTCTTCATTCCAGCCACCTTCTTCCTCGTATTCCTCGTTTCCTTCATCGGACATGGATTCGTCCTCGTCCTCAGCCAACGCTTGACCTTTTTTGCGTGCAACATTGCGCTCTTGTTCTTCTCTTCGCTCTTTCCGTAGTTTTTCTTTAGCGGCATGAGCCTCCTTCAGCTGAGCAACCTCCTTCTTGGTCTTTTTCACTGAAGAGAAGTCAATCAAGATCAAGAAACCTTTGAAGACCAGAAATAGCACACCGAATTCGTGGTAGATAACGCTGCCTTCCCTCCCTGGTACACCCTCTGCTATTTTGACGAGCCGTAGCTCCATCCGAGGTCCAACTTCATCCAAACGCACAGCTCTCCTTGAACCCTTCTTGTTATTCCGCCCAACGTAATCGTCGGCAAGATCAACAGCGTCCCCATCGTCACCTGCAACGCTTTCCGTCGACGAAGCCGCGCTTTCATACCCATCAGGACCTGGCTCCCCGCGTTTCCGCAACATGAAATCCGCAATGTCCTTCTCATTTCCTAGATCCAAAACCCCAGTCGAGGCTTTTTGTGCGCCGTCCAGAACTCTACGGACCCGTTTGGAGACACCGTATGCTTTGACTGTGATAATGTAATGCCTAAAATCCACAGTACCACGGTCTGCATTGTACGATATGAGCACGACACGTCTGGCGGAGGAGAGTGCGATGGTTTGGGGAGACAGAGGCGGGAAAAGGGATTGGAAGGATTTCATGAGGAGGGTTAGATGTGGAGGGGTGGTGGGAGACGCAGGAGGAAACGAAGCCAATACAAGCTATTTTTTTTTCTGAGATAAAGAAAGTGGGCAGAAGAACTGAGAAAACGCACGAGGGGTGGGCTGAGATACTCCAGGCCAATGCTCCTCGCTCGTCGCGATGTATTCAGAACATCCTTCATCAAACTGTACCGCTCGACCCTGAAGCTAAGGGTTGGCCCAGAGGAGAGACGAATGATACGCAAAGACGGCGCGATATCCGTCAGAGTAAATGCCATCAAGTGAGTAACTTGCAATGCCGGAGCCAGAGTCAAGTAGTCCTTAAGCTTGTTTCGGCTGCGTTCCTATAGTTAAATGAGACCCAATCTGCGTTTCTGGAGAATATACCGACCTTCAACCTACTGGCCGTATTAGGTTCCATGACTTTTCTCAGGTCGCGAACTAGTTGGGCAAGAGAATGACCAACTTGACCGTGCTTAATGATAAAAGACTTGGGAACTCCATCCGGGGCTGTCGGCGCGGCAGCGCCCTTGAGATGTGTTCGATTTTTCTTTCGTTTGCCCATGGCGAGAAATTTCAGATCACGGGGTGTGACATCACGATCTAAAGTCTCTTGCTTTTCTGCTTTTGCAACTGCGGTGCATAGCACTTCTTGGCTTTTACTTCCATGTCCCCGGTGTCTGGCAGCAGTCATGTCGCTACGTTCGACCAATCTTTCTGGGTTCGCGATGTTGCCAGTACTCTCCAGCCTTCGCCCACGCAACGAACAACGCTCATTGTGGCTGGCGTTTATATCATTGTTATAGCAATCCTTTGGCACGTCCCCATTCTCAACAAAATCAGTGAGCATCGTGTGATTAGCTGTTGGCTTATCTTACTTGCGCAGTATACCCCTTCAAGTGAGATCATCGCTGGTCCTCTCAGTCAAGAAGCATCTCATACCTCTATTTCAAGATTGTTGACTGTTGGATTTCATGAGGTATGTTCGCGAAGCCCAAAACTCAGCCTTCTTTACACTTGTGTCTAGATGAGCCACGCTATAATGGGACTGCTAACTTGCGCAAAAATCCATTCGATTGAATTGGATCGTTAGTCCGCTCTCCTAGCTCGTTGAGATATGTTGACACTCCCAATAGCGGACGAGGGCGGCGCCACGTCTATGTCCGGCGGCATACCGTGGTTGACCCTCCCTGCAGGTTACCTTGGCTCCTCATTCATCGGGGCGTGTTTAATCGCTTGTGGTTTCGATACCAATGCCAGTAAAGTGGCAGTGATCGTCATTGGCGTGTTCTTCCTCTTCACGCTATGGTGGGCTAGGCGAAACTGGCTGTACATAATGTTATCCTGCCAAACTTGACCGATGTCTGACCTGTCCACAGAACTTGGGTCTTAATCCTTTCAATGGCTGGATTGATCATTCTTTTCTGGTTTGTGGCAGAGAGTGTTGCACTCAGGTTCCTTGTGAGTTGGCATAAGCATCTTCGCTGCTCGCACTGACCAGCCTTAGGTCTTGTTCATTGGCGTGGTGCGTCTGCGACTTTGATGATGATTATATCTCAACACTCCTAGATGAGCTGCTTATATTGCATCTGGGACATTATAGGTAACAGACAAACAGTTGCCCTCAAGTTTAATTCACATTATCTAGATGATACCATTGCCCGCAAAGTCAACTCCTCTGACGCTTCAGCGTTTGCAAAGATTTGTGGATGCTGCCCCTCCCAAGTTTGGGGCGTTATATGGCTAATCCAGGCGTTCATATTTTTTATTGCTGGGATTTTAGTCGGCCTTGCTGCTTTCAAGGTCAAATTAGCGTTTCTTACTGAGGAACAAGACTGAATAAAGCTCTGCAGCAATCTACAGCTCAACAGAAAGAAGACTCTAGTCACTTTCTTCCTGCGCCAGGATCGACTTCTGCAGCATTTGAACTGTCGCCTGATGTTTTCTTAATGACACTCTTCGCGCTTTTAATAAGCGCATTGGGACTTTGAATGTAGACACGACTCTATTTGTAGCCTTGAATGCACTGTATTGCTCAATGAGAGGTTAGCAAGAGATAATCTTGAAAGCGTGATTAGATCAAGCACCTTCTCCCTCTCACGAAACACTCTAATTCCGACACCGTTCTTTCCACGGTGGCCAGCGCGGTTGACCATGTCGTTTCTCTCTTCTTCCAAGTCAGAAGAGCGACCTTCTACGCTGGCCAACATCGACACCCCTTTCCGACGGCCGCCCTCTCGGCGTTCTCAACGCCCTATACCAAGTCCCTTGAAAGCCGCGACTCTCTTTCTTGGCTTTATCCCTCTCCCTCCACTTCTCTCCGTCATATATGCTGCCGTTGGGCATTCGGTTCTTACTGCAACGAACCGAGTGTCAACACCTCTAGAAACTTCTGTTCGTTCAGCAGCAGTGGGCGGAGCAATCCTGACGCTTCCTCTGGCCGTTCTGTTATACCTCTTGCTATTCCCGACGAAGCCACCAGCACCAGAGGTCGGTTAATGATGTACAGTTGAACTGAATGCCGACGTTGTTTTAGGACTTTTTCGAGGATGAGGAGGACATGCAAGAACCATGGTCAACCTATGCGACCTACAGCTTGCTCGTTACCCTCGGGTTGACTCTCAGCGCCATTGCAACACCCTTGGGCGCCGTTTGCCTCACCTCATCCCTTACTTCTACAAAAGCTGCCGAAGTTGGCATCGTTGGCGGTGTCATCGTTACCGCTGGCATTTGTCTGCTTTGCTTAGCGGTCTTCGCTATTTGGTGGGACTTGATGCGACCGAAACCCGTAGAAGGCGACCTCTAGGACCCTCACACTCGTTCAGTTGTAATTATTCTGTAGCCTTGACTGTGTTGTAGTGGTATCTAATCTTGTGACACTACTTTTGCTCGTTTCTTCTGCGGTTGATGTCTGGTACGCAGTATGAGCAACTGTACCATGACGAAGACCCCGAAGAATCTCTACTCTCCTTAAACAAAGACCGACCCGCGCCCATCCAAGTCCGGCCACCGACTTATTATGGCGATGGCCCATTCGAGGCACCCAGTTCAGACGAATCAGAGGACGGCTCTCTCCTCGAAAAGGGCCCACCTGCCAGCCCGGGTATTGCTGAGCGCGGTAATACTCATTTGCAACGCGTCAGTCCCCAAGTACCCATTTCTATGCCCAAACTCAATATGTCTCGTAGCGCACACCAGCATCGCTACGCCTCCTTGTCATCTCACTTGCTTCTCTCGTTGCGCTCTCTGGAATAATCGGAATAATCGCCGCTCATTCGTATGTGGGAAACACCTACCGCGCCCCGGGAATATCCAAAATTACTATGGAGCACGTCTTCAACGGTACTTTCTCTGCGGAACGACGGAGTCTGGCTTGGGTTCCCGAAGGTGCGCAACTGCAAAAGCATACGTTTATATGTTCCGACTCTTTTGTCCAGCTGGAGACGGGGTCTTCTCTATCTCTGAGGATGGCTTCATCAAGTTGGTCGACCTGAAGACCAATACAACCAAGGATTTGGTTTATACCTTCGACGTCAAGAGTGTGCGTTGAATTACTGGCCCGAGGCCGACTTACTGAGACGCAGCAGCCCAACGGCTTACCACTATCGTGGGCCAGCTGGAAACTCTCCCCCGACATGAAATATATACTTGTCAAGTCTGACCACAAAAAGGTATGTTTGAGAATATTGATACTTGACACTCAGCATTTTCTCAGCTTTGGCGTTGGTCAAGTTTCGGGAATTACTATATCCACGAAATCGCGACGAAGAAGACTACCCCACTGATACCCCCTACACATCCTCCGACTGTTGCATATGCCGCGTGGTCTCCCACCGGCGAGTCCATTGCCTATGTAACTGGGAATGATCTCTTCTTGCTGCCATCGCCTTCGTAGGTTTTCGCCATCCGAACGAGTGCGCCGCTCATTCTGTTAGGTCGGAGAAACCCATACGTTTGACATCCACCGGTTCGACATCTTTATTCAACGGCGTTCCTTCCTGGGTCTACGAAGAGGAAATATTGTCCTCCGCCTTCGCATTCTGGTTCTCCCCCTCTTCCACAAAACTCGCCTTCTTGATTTTCGATGAAAGCCTTGTTGACGAGTTCACTTTCCCAATCTACAACCCAACCGAAGACTCTGACACAGTCGTCCCATACACCAGCGAAGTCAAGATGAAGTATCCGAAACCTGGTTACGCTAATCCTTTGGTCGAAGTGGCAGTCTTTGACATCGAAGCACATTCTTCCGCCACAGAGTCGAAGGTCGAGTTGCTTACACTCAACTGGAAAGGTCGCCAGGAGGCCAACAACAGCGTAATTTCGGAAATCAAATGGATCAGCGACGACGTTCTCCTTCTCAAGGAAGTAACTCGCAACGCAGACCACGGAAGCGTAGTGGTGTTCAACAATCTGGCTAAGAAATCCTCTGTAAGCTTGACTGAACGCGAACAAGGTGTGGTGGTACGTACGCTGGGGAAAGAAGGCGAAGAGGGAGACGATGGTTGGATCGACAACGCAAGTTCTCTCTCAATAATGTCGCCTTTATTTCACCTCCCACCTCTAGTTCCAAAATGTCTATCCGCTGCCGAGCGCTCTCGTTTCCTCGCTATCTTCTGGCACCGTTTCGGCAGCATACCTGGACGTCGTACCAACGAAGGAAGGGTACAATCACCTTGCACTATTCAGTCCCCCGACGAGCTCGGCACCCATTTGGCTCACAGCTGGTCCCTGGGAAGTCACAAAAGGAGTCTTGGGCGTGGACATAGCGAAAGGAATTGTGTTTGTACACTCTGTCAGCATAGCCTTAAACCTCATTCTCTCCTCAGATACTTCGAGGCTGCCAATCCATTATCAACGTCGCGTCACCTCTATTCCATACCTCTGCCTTCGCTGAACAAGGCTTCGAAAGAGACGCCCAAGGTCACCGCTCCTTCAGCGCTCACCGATGTATCAGAACCGGGGCATTACTCTGCGTCATTTTCTCCACAAGCCGGCTTCTATCTACAGAGTTATAATGGACCAGGTATACCCACTCAGAAAGTCGTCAAAGCCGGTGATAGCAGTGAGTTTTACCCAGTCTATGATTAGATTTCTTTACTGATTTATTGGAGAATTTGAACATATACTCACAACTAATGCGCGACTCGTGAACGTCACCGAGCAATATGAGAGCGCAACGGTTCTGTTTTCCACGATTGAAGTTGATGGCTATGGTACGATCTTGCTTGTCGGGTGCACCAGTTCTAATTTTGCCCGAAGAACTGAATGTCAAGGAAATCCGTCCTCCACGCATGGATGACACCGGCAGGACTAAATATCCTGTGCTCTTCAGAGTGTACGCTTATTTGGAATGTTCATGTTTCCTGATTGAACGACTTGACAGATATGGAGGTCCCTTTAGTCAGCTGGTGGACTTGTCGTACAGCCGCGGCGATTGGCACGAGTATCTAGCCTGTGGGCACTCGTATGTCGTTGTCACTGTTGATGGGAGGGGTACTGGGTACAAAGGTCGCAAGTTGCGGAATCCGGTGAAAGGCAACCTCGGTTTTTGGGAAACCAAGGACCAGATTGCTGCAGCAAAAATATGGGCTGCCAAGGACTACGTCGACCCTAAGCGAATCGGCATCTGGGGCTGGTCATATGGCGGCTTCATGAGCGCCAAAGTGGTGGAGGCTGGTGCTGGAATCCACTCGTTGGCTATGTCAGTTGCTGTGCGTGCCTTGTAGTTGTTGCTTTGCTGGCTGCTAATCCTCTCTTGTTACAGCCCGTGACGAGCTGGAAGCTATATGGTTCGTCCAGTCACCGAGTGTTTTCACAACCTCACGTTCGATTAGACTCGATTTACACCGAGCGTTATATGAACCTTCCTGAGCTGAATCCGGGAGGGTACATCAATGCATCCATTTCCAACGTGACCGCCTTCGAAAAGGTCAACTACCTCCTCGCTCATGGCAGCGCGGACGACAATGTCCACTTTTCCAACTCTGCGCATCTCTTGGACATGTTTACCAAGGCTCGAATAAGGAATTTCAGGTTTAGAATGTTTACTGATAGGTCGGTATCCTTGAATTGTGCTAACTGCAAAGACTAAGTTGTTGGGTTCTAGTGACCATGGTATTAATCGGCGGGGAGCTCAGAGAGAGGTGTACGAGTATATGACGGGGTTCTTACTAGAAAAATGGGGCAAGGGTGGGCGCAAACGAGGCTGGTAATATTGGATTGTTGTATTTATTCGCATCGTTACTTGTCCTACACACCCATGAGCCACCGTCTCGCGTCGTTTAGAGGCCCATCCACACCAACTTCCTCCCCTGTCACTGTTAACAAGCAGCACCCAAAGTCTCCTGCATCTCCATCGCGTGCCATTGAATCAACCTACCATCGCAAAACCCGGGCTGCCCTCCAAGAAATACGCGCCATCACCGAGACTTGGGACGATCTTGTTCTACTCGACGGGCTCAAAGCAGCGCGTAGTTTAGTGGACACACGCACTGAACTCGAGTGTGTTCTTTGCCCTTTTCGTCGCTCGTCCATGTAATCCAAACAGCAATGCCCTCGCTCTCGTTCCCAACCGTCTGCCGCGCACTCGACTGGTTACTCCCAAGATTGAGACCATGGAGAAGCGCATCGAGGAGCTGGATGTCGTCCTGCTCAAACTGGTAAGTGGCCAACTGCAAAAGCTCGTACTTTGGGAATCGACAACTCGTCAGCAAAAGCAGTTCCGGAAGATGAACGCTGTGATCGAGGGATTGGAGGCGCTGCTCATCGACGCACATAGGACCAAGGGGTGTAAGTGGGCGTCAGAAGAGCCGATGTGGGTGACCTGGTCGCTGGAGAAATTCGGTATGCATCGGTGCACATAAACTTTTTTTTTATTCTTATTTTTTTTTACAAGTGTCGGCGATTGCTGGTCTTCTGCCACCATACCACCGGTCACTTAATTTGCACATCGAGCTGGTCAATATTATCCGGAGCCATTCTGTTTCATTTGAAGACTCGCGAGACGCGCTGGCCAAATGGGCGGATCAATCATTGCTGGAAGAACAAGGCTGGGAGGCGAACTGGGAGGATTTGTGTGTCGCAGAGGTGGAGAAATGGGACTCTGCGCGCTGAAAGTGGGTCTCTATATAAATCATACTAGGATCTAGATCTAACTTGAAGCTGATTCCGTTCAAACAGCCATTCGAATGCATCGCGGCTTCAACTCCTCCTCCTCGTCACGGTTTGGTTCCCCAGGACGCCTGAATACCCACGCAATCGGCCACAACGGAGTGGAACAAACGTGCTGTGCAATCATCAGGCATCGTTTGAGGCAACTCATGATGACCTACATCCCGTGGACAAACCTGGTCGCATCTCAACCAGACACTCCAATCAAGCCATTTCATGAGCTTCTCTATTCGCACTCGCCAATGGTGGACGGAAATCGCAAGGGTGGATTTCGAAGTTCCCTGGACAAGGTCGGAGCTTTCGACAAATATGGTGCCAACCTGTGAGCGACATGAAAAAGGAAGTCTATATTGCCTGTGGTTCACGCACATCGGAACAAAGTCGACTCAGAACGGTCTCTATCGATTCTTGCAGTAGATCCTCTTGAGACGTTCGTTGGGATGCAGTCAAGAATCCCGTCGTTTGGGTAGTGCAACGTTCAAACGCGGTCACGTTACCGTGAGGCACATTTGGCGACATTCCGAAAAACAGATCCCAGGCAGATGCGTTCGGCGTCAGCCCTGGCTGCATATATGGATTAAGTGGGGTATACGACAGTGCGCGGATGGTCGGGAGTGAGGCTGTTGCATCAGTGCTCGGGTCTGACATGTTGAGCAGAAGCGCGTGCATATGAGAGATTCGGTCTCCCCACTGTTCGATTATATCCAGTGAAGTTCCAATCCAGTTCATTCCGCTACCCATAACGCCTGCTTTGAAGCGTGCCAGGACAGCATTGATTTCATGAACGACATCGACTGCATCGCTGGAGGAGATGTTGGCCAATCTATGAGCGTTCATAGACCGATTGATGCGGTCTTCAACGAGGCTGGTGAGACGAGGGTGATAGTACGAGACCATTCCTGATGGGAGTAGTGTAAGATGAGGCTGTGGCGAAAAGGCGCGATGGGATGCTGCTCGCACCCATTCGATTTGCCCCGTTTCAGCTAGTTGCGAAATCCGAGGACGTCGAGGGGGTCTTCTTTGTGGCGGGTATCCAGGCGTCGATGGTAGATCATCTGGGAAACGAGGAAACCAGGTTCGTTGTGTCAATGGGGTTCCCGGTGGAGTAATATTCAAATGGGAGACCAGCTGGAGTTTTGACGAGTTAAAGTCGCACCATATTATCTCGCTGATATTTCATTATGTAAGTAACATCTCGATGAAGCCGCATCGGAAGACGTACAAACCAGCGTTCATCCGCACAATACCATCGATGTCCCGTGGTTCCGCCCAGGAGCAAAGTTTGTCGGCCCGCCCGTAGTCATCCCACCACTTGGAATTCTTCCCTTGAGCAGGGTTTACCCCATAAATGAACATTTCTTGCGAGTCGAGCCAACCAGGTCCCCACTGAACTCGGGGAGTGAGGAAAATTAATGATACTTTCCAGACGTTGCACTAACCGAGGCAGACATTCCTATAGTCTTCCCTCAGCAAGATCTTTTGCGTTATCGCAGGGCATTACCGTCAAAATAGACAATATTTGCAGGCCGGACGGTTCGATAGGTGACGAGATGGGTTTCGCCGCCCCTCTGGCTCATTATAGCGTAGCTCATCTCGGAGTCGAATGCCAGCCATTCGGGTGAAGGTGGCAGCTTCGCGTCTTGCCTTGCGTGGTAAAGTAATACAAATGGATGAAGAATACCGGGCACAATGGAATGCCCTACATTGATAAGCAACTGGTAGCGAGAGTATCGAGAGGCTAACCATTTCCATGAACTGTATTTGTCGGATGGTGACGCTACAGGCAATATCTAATCATTCATCTTATCTTCATCTACAGTCGATCACAGTATCTAAAACCTGGACGACGGGAGAGGCTCCTAAGCCTTCTCTCGTCGTACCAGGTATGACCCCTTTTACTTACCATCCATACTTACTCACTAAGCCTTCTCTCGTCGTACCAGACTCAATATATCACTGTTCTTCACAGGTTATGGGCCCCGCCTGAAATCTGCGCACCAAGAACACACATATTCAGGCTTATATTCTTCCCAGACCCTAAGACAACAACGATTAAGCCAACTCACTGCCCGCTCTTAATCCTCTCGCTAGCTCGAACAACCATCTCACCTCACGACGGCATATCCATATCAATCCCTGTTTGAAATGAGCTCAGGCGACAACGACAAGGAATGGCGAGCACTGAAACTCACCCCTATCGTCGAAGCCGCCGATGGTAGCAACAATTATGCGGAATTTCGAGCCAAAGCAATGAGAAAACTTGATGCTGCCGGCTACTGGCAATATATCGATGGTCCAGACTACAAACCACCAGTTATTCCAACACTCACTCAAAGCCAAGTACATACCGGGCTTGACCAGGCTGGGAACATGACCACGATCACAATACAGGGCAATGAGGTGGCCGTCAACGTCGCAAAGAAAGCTGCGGAAGCCTGGCTGATACAGGACAAGAAAGCTCTGTCGACAATCACTGATGCTGTTCCAATGGCGAAGCTGTACGTTATCAACGACTGTGTAACAGCACGTCAGGCTTGGATGGCACTCAAAGAGGCGTACGAACCGACAAACACGCTAACAGCCGTTACACTCAAACGACAGATATCGTCGTTGTTTTGCGGGACAGGAGATCCAGTGGCCTGGAGAGTGGCGATGCTTGAACAGTACCAGAAACTTTGTCGAGCAGACCCCGAGATGATGCCAGACCACGAATTTGCAAAATGCCTAATCACGAATATGTCGCAAAACCGAGAAATGGCGATACTGTCGTGACTCGCTGCTCCAAGAGATGACATTGGGGGAGAAGGCAGGAAAACCCCTCAGTTCTGCAGATGTGTCGACCAGACTGCAAACCGAAGAAGCATTTAAGGCTTCAAACGCAAGTCCTGGTGTATCTTCGAATGCCGACAGTGACACTAGTGCGGTCGCTACAGCTTCGTTGGCACAACCTGCGCAACGAAGAAGTCAACAGAGAACGTACCAGCGAATGGACCGACGCCCAGCACCATATGATCGTCGGAATGCCAACGCCCCACCAAACGACTCTTCACATCGCGATCGACAACGCTTGTTTTGCGAAAATGTTGAATGCGCCACGCCAATCGGCCACTGTCAAGCTGATTGCTTCGCTTATAAAGGTGGAAAAGAAGGTCAATACCCCGACAACTACCATGGGTCGCGAAATATTCACCTTCCACCTGCCGAAAGGGTCGCCGCATCGAGGAGACAAGCGCGTCAAAATCACACAAGGAATCCGAACAGAGGGGGAGGAGAGCGTTTTGTGGGCATGATAGACTTCACGGAAGACGATGAAAGCGAGGTACTTGAAGCTGTCGGCAACGAAACGATAAGTGCTGGCTTTATCTTCATGATGGGACAGATGGAGGTCGACGAAGAAGACGAGGAAGGAGAAATCTGGGTTAATGCGGTGAATGTGATACCCAATGGCGAAGCAACCCGTACCGACAACGTATACCACGACACTGGAGCTTCCCGACACGTCTTCAACAACATCTCCTCGTTCCAAGAGTATAAGCGCTTCAGAAATCCGGTGAATGTGCATGGATTTGGTACTAATTTGTCAACACAAGCATTAGGCAAAGGAAATGTGCTTCTGGAGGGAACGCACCCGACAGACATGAACTTTCGCCCTCACCCAAGCCTTACACATTCCCTCAGCTCGCTGCAACCTTATATCCGGCACCCAACTCGACTTGAAAGGCGTCCACACGGAAACGGGGGGTGGCCGCATCAACTACTACAATGCGGAAGGTTTTCCGTTCGCGTCTGGCGAGATAGTGGGTGGACTGTACAAGATGGGAGTCAAAATCATCGAATCACGAGACGCTCCCGCGGAAGCAAATTTTACCCAAAATCTCGACAAGTCGACAAATATTTCCGCGGAAGCTGATTTGCCCACAGAACTCATCAATGTGACAACACCGTCAGTCGTAGCGGTCCTTGGACCAGACGCCGGAGAGGCGTCTAAACGCGAGGTTTTTTCCACCGTCTAATGGGGCACTTAGACGTTAAAGGCCTCAAGCACGCTACCCGTGGTCTGCCAGACGACGTGGACTCCGTCAAGATCGACAACTGCAGAGTGTGTGCTTTAGCTAATATCAAGCGACTGAAATTCTCCCCAAAGGCTTCAACACGCGCTGAGCGCCCTCTCTTTCGCATCCACTCGGACATTTGTGGTCCTTTTCCCGTCGGGTACGGAGGATTCAAGTATTTCATCACGTTCACGGACGACTATCGACGCTATTCTACTGTCTACTTTCTCAAGACCAAAGACGAGGCCTTGAAATGCTTCCATCACTTCCGGACTGGTGCCGAAAAACTCCTCGACGTCAAGATCGTCTACCTCCGAATTGACAACGCCCCCGAGTTGATTCATGGTCAATTCAGTACTTACTGCGACGAAAACGGGATAGCTTATGAGAAGACTGTCCCCGACGCGTCACAACAGAACGGTGTGGCGGAGCGATTGAACCAAACGATCGAAAATATGACTCGGGCAATGCTTGTGGACGCCTCACTCACAACCTGGTTCTGGCCCCTTGCCGTCCAAGCTTGCGTCCACATCAAGAACCGAGTTCCGCATTCAGCCAACGCAGATGGTTCTACTCCATTCGAGAGCTGGTTTAAACACCAACCAGATCTCTCACACCTCCGACCATTTGGCGCCCTTGTTACCTCGAGAAAGACCAACTCAACCGATCAAATGAAGTTCGCGATGCGAGGCGAGGAAGGGAAATTCGTGGGGTATGCTCGAGATTCCAAAGGATATCTAATCTGGTTTCCTGCTACGAGGACAATTCGACCACGCCGAGACGTCGAATTTCATGGCTTCCCCGATCTCATTCCTTCTCCTTCCTACTCCGAAAACCTGTGGGAAGACGTTCCCTGCGAAATCGAGGAGCACTTCAAGGAGCACGACAACCGAATGGGAACTCAACCAAAACCCGCTCTTACGACGACTACTGTCTCAGAACATGACTCCGCTCTCGAGCGCACTCCTGCCATCGAGCAAAACCCTGCCATTGAGCAAAACCCTGCCATCGAGCAAAACACAACCGTTGAAAATAACAACGAGTATGTATTTGTCGTTAACGACAAGAAGAGATTGACCTGTTTAACCAGGCGTGTACCGAACATGGACAAGTCTCCAATAAATCGCAGTCAGACACCCGAAGTTCGTTGATTCAACCGGGGTGATCAATACACTGACGAACATTTAGACCCGTGCGACGTCTATTGGACGAGGCAATGGAAGAAATATTATCAAAGCCTAGAGCTACTCCGTGCGTCATTGCACCGGGATTCCTTGTGAATACCCTAATTGACTAAACAGGTTGTTTGACCAGCAACCATATACGCCCAGCGCAGAGGAGATTGATGACACTCCTCTAGCGCAACGAAAGGGCAACTTCGCACGCGTCGCATTCCTGCTCGCCACATTATCAACCACGCGACATTGGACGAGGGGGGGAACGACTTCGTGATTTCCGAAGATTATCTCTTATCCGTCCTCATGTCGGGTGATGAACTCGAAATCGAGTGCGAGCTCGAAGAACTAGTCGAACTCGCTCAAGCTCTCGAACAAGCCAAACACGCATATACTACACTCACCGAACCCATCGACGATCCTGATGCCAAAGATCCCAATTCCATCCCAGAAGCAAAAGCTTCGGCATATTGGCCACAATGGCTCATCGCCATATTCGAAGAACTCGAGTCGTTAAGAGCGAAGGGAGTCTACATCGAAGTCGACCAAGTCCCAGCAGATCGCAAGGCTGTCGCGTGCAAGTGGGTACTCCATATCAAGCGAGACAGAGATGGACGAATATCTCGCTTCAAAGCTCGGTTGGTCGCAAAAGGGGTTCACCCAGATCCCAGGCCAAGATTACACATACACCTTTGCACCAGTCGCAAGGTGGGAGTCTATCCGATTTGTCCTCACGCTGGCTGCCGCACACGACATGATACTGCGTCAAGTCGACGTCAAGACTGCCTTCCTTAACGGACCACTCGACGAGGAAATTTATATGCGAAAGCCGGAGATAGCGGGACCAGGATACTGGCGATTATTGAAAGGACTGTATGGGCTCAAACAAGCTGGACGCCAATGGTATCTAGAGCTCAACGCCAGACTCGAAACCATAGGCTTCAAACGCGTAGAATCGGATTGGAGCGTTTACATTCGAAAGAAGGACAACAACTACACACTCATCACTACCAGCGTTGACGACATGTTAATCGCGTCGTCGAGCCAATCCGAATCCGACGCAGTTGTATCAGCTCTATCCGCCCAATTCGAGATCACAGACAATGGCGAACCAAAACTCCACCTCGGGTGCTCTGTCGAGCGCGACCAAGTTAACCACACAATTCGCCTGCACCAAAAGTCATTCACAGAATCAATACTGCGCGACTTCGGGTTCGACAAGAGCAACTCGGTCCAAACTCCAATGGACCCGAGTACTCGCTTGACACAACCTACCGATGAAGAAGTCGAAAAGGCGAAAGATTATCCCTACGCAGCAATTGTCGGGCGATGTATGTATCTGTCGACCTGCACACGACCCGATATATCATACACGGTTCGCGAACTCGCTCGCTTCATGGCCAAGCACGGTCCTGCACATGTGACAGCAGTCAAGCACCTCCTGCGGTATCTTCGCGGAACACCAGGCCATGGTATCCTCCTTGGGGGGCAAGACTGAGCGAGAACCAATGCTCACGGCTCTCAGCGACTCCGATTGGGGAATGGGGACCGACAGAAAGTCGATATCGGGGTTCGTAGTGTTTATTGGCGATTCTCCCGTCTCGTGGTCATCAAAACAGCAAGCTGTCGTTGCTCTATCTTCATGTGAAGCCGAGTATCTTGCCACTACCCATTGTGCGAAGGATGTCCTTTGGTTCCGAAATCTGTTGACCGAACTTGGGTTTCCTCAACTGCAACCCACTTCGCTATTCTGCGACAATCAAGGCACAGTCGCATGCACTCACGACCCACATGCACACTCGAAGATGAAACACATCGCTATCCGAGAACATTTTATTCGCGACTGCGTCCTCAAACGACTAATCGACGTCATGCACGTATCTGGCAATGAGAACGTTGCAGATCTATTCACCAAACCCCTTCACCGTGTAATGCATGCTCGATGGGTGAAGATGTTACGACTCGACCCGCGTCAAGGGGGGGTGTCGGATGGTGACGCTACAGGCAATATCTAATCATTCATCTTATCTTCATCTACAGTCGATCACAGTATCTAAAACCTGGACGACGGGAGAGGCTCCTAAGCCTTCTCTCGTCGTACCAGGTATGACCCCTTTTACTTACCATCCATACTTACTCACTAAGCCTTCTCTCGTCGTACCAGACTCAATATATCACTGTTCTTCACAGTATTAGGCCTGCATTGACGCTCAAATTGGAACTGAAAGCAAGGGAAGAGCCAACCACTGTGCAAGAAGCCCAGAGAGACTGTTGAAAACGAATGGTGCAACAGAAGAGGTCATCATCATGATTGAATGTTCCGTGAGTTGAGAAGCGAGAAATGTCTCTTGAGTAAGGATAGCGACGACATGTCCAGTTGTTAAGAGTAAACTGAAAACTCCTGGTCGCATCGAAGCTTGAAACTTGGCTTGAAGATAAGCACCTTAAAGCACGGGCATCACAAGCGTGACCGTGACCGTGACTTGACGCGCCTTAAATTTAAATGTTGTCGCCTGCTCAGAAGAAAGAGACACAGGTCACAGTTTCGTGGTTCATCTTGCACACCCATGTCCTACCTCAAGGCAACTGGTGGCCGTCCGCGTTTTGCGTATCCGCCCAGTGGATTTTTTGAGGCTTCCGATGGCTATGGCGAATTGACGGATCCCATTACGATTCCTCCCCATGCACATGCAGAAATAGTAAGTGCTTCATGGTGCCACACTCCATGTTGGGCTAATTGTACCAGAACTTCAATTCCCCAGAACGTATTCGAGGACGACCTGGGCATGGATTTCGGATTGATATCCCGAACACCCAATTTACCGTCGTTCTCTGGACCGACCCGATCGCGATGGCTGTGGGAGTGTGGAAATACCATATCGCAAAGCGTGCCACGCCCGCTGTCCCTATCTCTTTTCTGGACCTCCTGAACAGTGGATGGGATATAGCGTATTATCAGGACGAGGACCAACAGTGGCACCCCGACGCTACTAGCGCTGGAATACCTCCAGAAGGTGCGTCTGCTCTCTGAATTTCCTACTCGTCTTGACTCACTTGGTAGCCGGTGTGGTGACCCTAATGGGTGGGGAAAACGAGGCCGTCGCCCTCTATCACCTTCAAACTAGGAGGGTCTATCATGCCTCATGCCCATTCCCCAGGCCACCGATGAGCGGACCGCTGATGATGGGCCACGGGGCTGTTCGAGCAGAGCCTCAACCTTTTAATCCTTAAGTAACTGGATCGTGCAAGTAGCGGTCCTCACAATGTCTTGACTTTTCCTTTCAGTTCCCAATCAGTAGTTACTTACAGTAATTTACTACTAGCTATCAGAATAAATCTCGGTTCGCATTTATGACTCGGCTCCTGGTCGCATGAAAATAAGCACGGCCATCACAAGCGTGATGGTGACCGTGACCGTGACTTGACGCGCCTTTAGTCTCCTTTAGTGCGCCTTCTCAAATGTTGTCGCCTGCTCAGAAGAAAGATATTGAAGAAGTCCTCGACGCCATCAGTAATGCTACTGGCGCACGGAAACGTCGCTTGGCTGCAATGTTTCTGGACTTGGTAGACCGCAATGCTCTACCTCACTACTATACCGTTATTCCTCAACCACGAGCACTTGCGCCAATCCGTCTGAATTTGGAGAACAACAAGTACAAAAACCCGTTGGACGCATATACCGACATTTCCCTGGTGTTTTGGAATGCCATGTACTATAACGAATCGAAGAGTCAAATTGCCGTTGACGCAGGGACTTTGAAGGTGAGCATCGCTATCTCTTCTTGGATGTTATAATTATTCAGCCATTTGCAGGACTTACTAGAGAATGAATGGAAAGCAAGAGACCTGCCTACGCCACCGACCTCTCCTCCGCCTCAGTCTGCGCAGAAGATTCTTGGTGCTCCTCCTGTTGAAGAACCTGAGCCAGAAAGACAGCCCACACCAGAACCCCCACAAATACTCGCCCCGAAACCTACCACCCCTGCCATCGCTCAAGCTCCACCTCCGGTCATCGCCCAGCCCAATCCCATCGTCACCACACTCGTCGTCGTAGAACCGGATTCCGAAACCGAAAACGAAGAAGAGACACCTGATCCTCCCTCTGGTGCCCCGAGTGATTTGGACATTGCACGACATCTGGAGCGGGGATTGCCACGCTTCACCATCGAGTTTGGCGTTGAAGGTGGCTGGATGGAAGATGTCAAGCATGAGCGGCATTTGGAAATAGTGCATGCTTTGAAGGTGTATAAAGACGCAGCGTACGTGTCGTCAAATTCCGCCGTTCGTTTTCCCTGAGACTCGGTCATAGCGGTGTCAAATTATCGACATCCCTTGAACCACAAATACCAGAAGAAAAGGTGTGTTATTCCGCAGAGAAGCAGAGAGAGGTCAATTTTCGCCTTTTAGCTCGGCATCACCTTCAAGCTTCTTGATGTTTGTTTAACTGTGTGTAACAGTCCCTTGCGCTGAATTTACACAGAGCAGATCACGAAGCAAAACATTCTACACGTCCTCCCAACAATTCGACACAGATCTCGCCCGCCTTTTCGAGAGTGGCCGTCGATACTATTTGGAGCGCTCGAATAGCGTGGCCGGTATTATTGGAGAGGACTGGGCAAAAGTTGTGGCACTTCAGGTATGCCACATCTTGGTCAAGACGCTTGATACTAATAATTCCAGCGAGTCGCGAATGAGTTGACGTCTAGAAAATGCCCTGCCTTGCCTCTATCCGAACCACTCTCATATCGTCCCCCCCTTGAACATCCTGGCAAGGACATCATTGACCGTGTGACGTACAAAGGGTTCACTATTCAGGCGGGCGACTTTGTCCACCTTATTTCTGGCACAGATGCTGGTGACTCTCAAATGGGTTTCGGCCGTGGTCGTCCTCTTGTGTGTCACGTTACAGGGTGTTGGCGCGACAACAATGGAGATGACGGAATTAGTGTGCAATGGTATCTTCGTGCTGACGAGGTTTGTGTTCCAAGAACACTCAACGTTATCTTATCGAATATCAGATTGCGCATTTGATGCCAACCAGGCGGAAAAGAGGGGAGATTTTTGAGGGAGAAGTCGTCCAAACAGGCAAATTGGTTGCACTTGAATGTCGCTCTGCTAAGATTTTGTTCAGAAAAGACATCACACCATCACTTAGTGGATGTCATCGAGCCAATATGCTGCCAACATTCGTCGACCGCGTCTCGAGGACGACCACGTGCCCCAAAGTGGTATCCAGGGTGGCCGTTATACGTTTGTGGCTATCGATATGATGCTGCTGCTGGTCGCGTGCGTCACATCAGGCGGCAACAATGGTTCAGTGCAAGTGGAGGTGGCGGGGAAGAGAATGAAGTTCTAGATCTCTTCGAACGCAAGCTGAAGCTCGCCCCTCGCCCAGCCACTTCACTCCCAACAGATCGGTCATTGGTTTCTGCAGCTGGAGCGGCTTTAAGCGGCACGGAAAAACTACCGCTGGAGACAGGTATGCTTGACGAATTTTGACTCCTACTTGGATAACCATTCTCGAGTTCAAAACTTCCAACGCGATCCAATGACTGGCGAATTGCTGTGGTTCCCGGGACCCCCACTCGAGCTAGCGCGGCCGCCCGGACCACGTCATAGCCTCCTTTACCTCGACTTCCTTGCAAACAAATATAACCCCAAGACGACGAACTTGGATAGGAACGGAGTAATAAGTGAGGACGAGGCCATGGAGCCGTCTCCCAAGCGCCAGAGGACGGAGACATATCTTAGTGCATCTGAATTGATTCGCCAAGCGTTTGCCAATGAAAATTCGTAGTTGACAATGTGCAGGATGGATGAACATCGAGAGAAAGGCAATTACGTAAACCGACTGTCAGTGGCTGTGCACTTGAGTCGGCCTTTCTTCTTTGCCACTCCCTTGCGTGCTTTGAGAAGCATGTTTCTCTCTTCACGGGCCCAGCGCCACTCGCCATATACCTCTAGCAACGACTCGCGATCGCCTATTTCCCAACCCAGAAGCTCGCCCAGTTCGAGACGGTCGAGTGGGTTTTCGTCTGCATCTTCGTCGTTTGTTGCTTCATTGCCGACTGCCTATTCGACCTACTCGGTTTCTGCCGAATCTCCTACTCTCAAACGCGCCAGAAACTTTTCTGAGCGCGAGGATCACGTGTCCTCAGATTGGGAATGCGATCTTGCATATGCAGTTGTCCACGCTTCTGACTGCACTACCTGTCGCGCCTACAAGGCCCATGTTTCCGATGCTAAAAAGTTGTCTTCAAATATTCAGCGGGCACTCCAAGACCGGGACAAGCAGCTCGATACTTATTTTGCTGACGGTGTTGAAGAAGGCCGTCGTGCGCAACAAGTCCAAGATCAGGATCGAATCCACGAGCTTGAAGGGGCGAAATCTGACGCAACTGCGCTGGTTGCCCGTCTGAGGGCAGAAATACGCGACTCCTCTGCCCAACAGAATCAGCTGCAGTCTCAGCTTCGTCTCGCTCAAACGGAGTGCGAGGCTCTCAGGAAGCGTGTACAAGAACTCCTTCTCGCCATGCCAACGGAGAACGCCAACTCTCTGTCCAAGCCAGAATCTGGCTCACGATTTGCTAAACCCGAACCTGAATTGCTTGCTCAACATTCCCTTCCTCCACGGCCAGAGGTGTACCCGCCCCATGCTCCTTTCCACCACCCGATCCGCATGCCAAAAACATTGCGACAGCTTCAGTTGCTTATGAGCAAAGCCCATCAGCCGGGGAACGAGGACACACTCACCCGCATCAAAGTTCTTTGCACTGAAGCCCACAATACTCCGCGAGAACGGAAAACGGAGATGCAGCGTTATATTCTTGCCAATTGGCGTAATCCTGAGCCAGCGACAGCACCGTCCAGCTCGTATGGTCATTCCCAGCCGCCTCTTCTTTTGGGCCCCCACCACTCTGTTCAACCTCACGTCAACAACCCACGAGCTGATGACCCAACTGAGGTCTGGCACGCTTATTTGACAGTGCATCAGGGCTCTTGGCCTCGTGGGGTCCGCAGAGAGGCTGATGGAAGCCCTCATTTCGACGACCTCAAAGCCAGTCGTACAGTTGCTCGACTTCGGCCAACTGGCGGGGACTCTTCGTTCCGCAACGAATGGATGTCTTGTGTAGTTGGAATGTTTGCTACGCCTGGGATGTATGCTGATCTCCTGCGTCGGGAGGGTTTGGTGGTTGCACCCGGCCACATGGCCGTTCGCCGACCATACTCTGCTTCAAACGGGGAAACTATTCGAGTGGAAGACGTTGTTCGACACTTTGCTGATGCTGGCGTAACTGTGGTGGATGCTGAAAGAGAAATCGAGGCTTGGGCGAGGGAGTATCAGGCTGCAATAATCTATCCCAACGACGCAAAATCGCGTTCCAAACCCAATAACCCCCAGCATCACCACAAGACCAGCACCACGTTGCCCTATTCCCGTGGAACGAGATCGTATGACCGGGAGCAAGAGGAGCGCTTTGGATGGCGTTGAGCAGTTCATTTTTTTCCCTTCATTTTCCCTTTCTGGTACGCATGGTCCAAATCAACAGCAACACGAACGCAACGACACAAACTGTATCTGGTAGAATTCCCCTGCACGTATTGATAGTCAGCAGCATATATAGTATCGTAGAAAACCAAGTACGAGTAAAATAATTGTAACATGTGACCCTTGTGAACTCAAACCACCATGTCCACCGCAGAGTCGCCAGAGTATCTCGTCTCCGAAGCCCAGCTTGAACTCACAGAAGTGGGTGGTCTTGGTAGCTTGCGGACTCTTTCACTTCAACCAGCAAGGCTCGACGACAAAAAGCAGAGCGAACTAAAGACATCGGCGAGCCAATTCAACTCGCGGGCAAGGCACTTGCGTTGCAGGTCTATAAGGGGTACGGATGGCTTGCAGAAAACACCACTGTCGCCCGCAAAATGGACTTAGAGGTCGTGCCATGTCAGTGGAAATTGAGGCGACGCGACTGATATAAGCAGATTAGACGGGAAAGACGCTCCAAATTTACAAAGGACATACGGGCCCAGCCACATCGCTGGCATTCTATGAGAAGGAGTCGAAAGATTATTTGCTGACCGGCTCTTGGGATAAGGTCAGGGTACATCCAGGTCTCCACTGTCTGCAGACTTGATGTTTTTCTAGACGATCAAAGTCTGGGACACCACAGTACGCGCCATTCCGGGTCCTCCGTCTTGTTATAAAACTCTGGAAGACTAAGGCCATGGTATCATCAACCGATGCGCATTCCGATTTCGTCAAATGTCTCTGTGTCGTCCAGTCCCTCCACCTGTTAATTTCTGGGAGCTCGGACAAAATTGTGCGATTTTGGTGGGTATACGTGACCTCTTTGCTGCTCGAACTAATGGTGCAGGGACTTATCCAAAGTGGAAGCCGACACCCCATTAACGAGCTTGGGCTCGATTTCCTCTCACACTCGTCCCATCGCTTGCATCGAAGGAGTTGCACTTTCGGCGTCGACTGGGCTTCTATATACGGCTGACACCATGGGCATCATCAGAATATGGGACCTCGTCAAGGAAGGCAACACTGAGCCGCGGTGGAAAGCGACGTTGAAGACGGAATTGCAGCATCATCGGACCGGAATAACCGACCTGCAACTCTCTGGCGACCGACTCTGGACAGGTGGCTGTCTTTTTTCCAACAGTTTTTCCAGTGATTCCTCATTTGTTCCTCCTAGCCTCTACTGACGAAACGGCACAACTTACTGTTGGCTCCAAGACAGCATGCTCTATCACGCATCCTCTTGCTGTCCGTTGTCTTGTTTCGCTGAGTGAGCTGGACGAGCCATATATTATCACTGGCTCTGGCGATGTTATTCGTGTCTACGATGTCTCCGACTTGGACAAACCCGAGCTTTTGAACGAGATCGACGCACATTGGCATGACGTAACGGTGTTACAACTTTGGGCAAGAGCAACTGGGGGTGAGCCTTGGCTTATAAGTACAAGCTTAGACGGAACTATTCGCAAGTGGAGGGTTGCAGGTAAATTGAATTGCATTTTTTACTTGCCTAGTTATCTCTAACTGAAACCAGATCTTCTCAAACCGCGACCTCCGGTCCCACCTCCCGAGGTCAAAAGCACCAAAGCCGAGTTGGAGTTTTCAATGACAGAAGACGAGGAGCGGGAGCTGGCAGAGTTAATGGACGATTAGAAGCCATGTTCCGTACAGTTGTGCTCCCAGCCGGGAAAGAAGGGGTCCTCCGCTAAAGTCCGCTCTCGCCAATCCACTGGAACCAAACCTTTCTCCTCTTGCTCTTTGGACCATTTAACGAGAGCGGGGATAACGATATGCTCGACGTGTGACGTAGCCTTGTACTCCAACAATGACGCTTTGCTTTCGCGAAGAATTCGCAGCAGAAGGCGAGGAATGTACGGTTCATGTCTGAACTGCTTGACGGATGTGAAGAGTGGCTTGAAGTTAAACACGATAGCTCGGGAGCGAGGCAGTCGCCTCAACGTCTGCCAGTCCACCCGTAGATGGATGTCATCGAGCGAAACGTTGGGCTTGCTTTGCCGAAAATCTGGCTCGTCCTCCTGAAGAAATAGTGGCTGGCCAATTTCTAAACTCCATGAGCCGCGCTGGATTGGTTTGTCAACCTTCATGCTTGAGAAGAACCTGGCATTCTGTCAGACGAAGATTCAGATGCAAGTGCGACCATTAAATGCTAACCTGTTCATAGAGAAGGCCATTTTGTCCTCGTAGTCGGGGACTGGGGCATGGATGCCGGAGAGATCGAGACCGATTTTAGTGGAGACATTCCACCCGACAGACGAGCAAGAGACGCCTGCGCGGAAGGTGTAAAGCCCTGTCTTGCTATCGGGTTGGGTGATTAGAAAGTCTTCAGGGACGTGCTGCAGGAGGAAGTGGAGGGGCTCTATAGTGAAGATATTCGATGTTGTCCCCAGTATACGGTTGTTGAAAAGGCCAGAACGATAATCGACCGAAAATTGGCCTGGATAGCGCACGCAAATGAACTGGACGACCATTTCCATCAACTCGCGGCATGCAGATTCTGCGCCGGGCAGGCAGTCGATGATCTTCTTGCCATACTTTGCGTAGAGTGCATTTCGTTGCTTGATTCGCTCCTTGTAGGTGGACTCGAGCTCAATCCAACGGTCTGGGTCCATGGCCTTGAGGCCTGATTAGCTTGTGAGCATCGAAAACGCGCAAAGTAGGGCAGACTTGCTCATCGTTTGGTGATACTCCCATCTGAAAGGACGATATGGTCTGGCGAGGGTCTTATCGACGTCGAAATGAGGAAGAGGCGTTGGAGCGCGGACGCCTGATAGCTGGAAATAATTTGTTGAGCGGGTGCTGCGATACCACCAAAAGATGATCGAGCTGAAGAGGACGACAGCAGAGGCTATCGTTGCAGAATTCATCGTGGAGGTGCAGCGTGGCTTCTTGCCGCCGGCAGAATAGTCTTAGCATGAGAAACATGCTGGAGGCCAAAATCCAAGGTCGCGGTCACATGAACCGTGACAGGAGGTTTTTTTCGTTTGGCGTTCAAAGTCCAACACGATTGCAGTCCGGGTCAAGACCTCGGGCCTCGGGGTCACCGGTCAGTGTTCAACCACCCCCCAGGGTAGGCATGCGGTTTTTCAAGTATATGACTAGTAACAGTCAAGCTCAGTCAAGTAACTTGAGCAGCGAACTTGAATGTATCCAGTCTAAGTCGATGTCTATCAGCTTATTGGTGCTTTGCTACTCGCTTTTCTAACTCCTTCATCAGCGCATCGACCTCCTGGGCAACGATGAAGCGAAAATTTCATTCGGCTCCTCCTCCGCAAAGTCGCCGGATCTGGCCGAGAAGCTTGCCTATAGAAAAATTTAGCGCGCAAAGTGATCCCAAACGAGATACTTCCGTCCACAAAATCCGGGCACCTGATCCTGGGTCAAGCCTCAACTGGTCACACGGATGCCGGATTCTTATCGTTCGACGTCTTGAGGCGGCTACTATTACGCCGGGTTCATAAAGGCCGAACATCCTGTCAGTTAACCACAAAGTCCTTCAACCACTCTCGAGTCTCAACCAAAATGCCGTCTTCTCAACCGGTTTTCTCGACACCGCTCACCAAGTTGTTTAAAATCAACCATCCGGTCATGCTGGCTGGAATGAACGTAGGCAAGTCTCTGTTAAGTTCTTTGACCGAAACAGTGCCTTATGCTCACGAAATATTACAGCGGCAGGCCCAAAGTGAGTCCGAGAGGTGTCTAACTTCCTGCAAGCGCTGACATGCTGTAGATTGGCTGCCGCTGTGACCAACTCTGGTGTGCATTTCTCTCTCTTGATCTCGTGACGGCGACTCGGAGTAACAGTGCCTTTCAGGCGGAATCGGCGTTATTGGCGGTGTTCGCCAAAGTCCCAAGTTCCTCAAAGGCTCCATCGAAGAGCTCAAGAGCTATCTGGAAGACAAGAATGCGCCGTTTGGCGTAGACCTTCTCCTTCCACAAGTAGGTGGAAGTGCGCGCAAGACAAACATGGATTATACCAGCGGCCAATTGTTCGTCGTCACAAACTTTTTGGCTACCGACAGCACTTGACTTGCCTCTAGACCCGAGCTCATTGATGTCATCATTCAGGGAGGGGCATCTCTCTTCGTCTGTGCCGTCGGCGTTCCTCCCAAATGGGTGGTCGACAAGTTGCATGCGGCTAATATTCTGGTGATGAAGTGAGTGTGGTGAAAGCGTTATGTTTCACATTCTAATGGACGAAATTAGTATGATTGGGCATCCCAAGGTCTGCTTTCCAAGTTGCACGCCCTTGAGACTTATGTTGCATTAGCATGTCGCTAAAGCGTTAGCTCAAGGTGTGGTTTACCCTTTCATATAGTCGACGCGCTCACGCAATTAGGTGTCGACATCATTTGCGCTCAAGGTTAGACTTGTCTCCAGCATGGAAGCCCGCTAACGACGTCATTCGTAGGAGGTGAAGGAGGTGGCCACACAGGAGACACCCCATTTTCTATTCTGATCCCAGCCGTTGTGGATCTATGCAAGAATACCAAGAGCCCGCTGACTGGGAAACCCATTGTCGTTGTCGCCGCTGGCGGCATTGCAGACGGACGTGGCCTTGCTGCTGCTCTTTCGTAAGTCGAGCGTTCTGATAGTGGGTTTATTTGTAACATATTATATCAGGTACGGCGCTTCGGGTGTGTGGGTCGGAACACGCTTTGTCGCAAGTGAGGAAGCCGGTGCCAACAGAACCCACAAACAGCTCGTGCTCAGCGCTGGGTATGATGATGTTGCGCGAACCTTGATCTACAGTGGCCGACCGATGAGTGTTCGGACCACGGCATATGTGAAAGAATGGTAGGCCATAGCCTCATCGCGTTGTGAAGTACACAACACTTTCCCAGGGAAACACAACGCAAGGGAGAGCAGGAGCAACTACTTGCCGCTGGAAAGATCCCTCATCAAGTTGAGCTGGACAAGAACCCTAAGCGCTCATTGGAAGGGACATTCTGTACGTGTTGTCTGCATTTGAAAGACATCTGCTGACTTCATCTCTCCAGTCCTCATGGGCAAAGTTGCTGGCAGTATCACAGATATTAAACCAGCAAAGGAGATGTGAGTTTATCGACATGAGTATATGTTTTTGGCTGATCGCAAATTTTACAAGTGTCGATGAATTGGTTCACACCGCAGAAAAGAGCTTGAGCGCTGCAAATAACTTGAAGGCTAAATTGTAGACAAGACTGACTATGTCTAAGTGAATTGGAAACGTTTTGTCTTAGTAAACTGGGCATGAATTGGGTGTTATACGGTGTATCATTAACCATCGCACCATTCACCGTCGGCTAATGGTCTAGAGGTATGATTCGCCCTTCGGGTTTTCCGCTCTGTTACAGAGTTTTCCATGGGCGAGGCCCCCGGTTCGATCCCGGGTTAGCCCCTTTTTGAATTTGTTGGACTTCGATTTGTTCATGGCCAGTCACCATTCGTCACACACAAAAACTTCACAATCAACGGCGATGTGTTCAAATTCTCGTCGGCGCAAACCGCCTCACCGCTGTTTTTTCACTCCCCGCAGTGCTTCCACTCGTCAAACGTCCAGGTTTGCCCTATGTCCGCTTCCAATCTTGGTCGGTGTGGTCTGGCGAGAACTTGTTCCTCTGATTGCCCAAGTTCATCGCCTTTCACAACACTGAATTGGTACTATTGCTTGGCTCTTGGCTCTTGCCTCTTAGATACCTTTAACGGACCGCTGATAGTATTACACGCACGGGGGCCACGGGCTAACGATCACGGGTGGCACGGACATTCGGCAAGACAGACATTCAAAAATTCTGAAAAAATCTCCCCACATTTCGCAACCCTTCCCTTCCTTCTCCACCTTTGTCGATGGTCAATGAACTCCTGAGAGACCACCTCGTCGAGGCGCTCTTCGAATCTCTCTTCTATGGCCTCTATTTCGTGATCTTCACCTTGACAGTCCATCTTTTTATCGGTCGACAAGGATTCCCGCCCAAGACGCGACCCGCGCGACTTGTGCTTACTGGACTGAGTCTCCAGTTTGTAGTGGTAACTGCTGTGCGTGATAGTATCGTTAGCCGTTTATTAATGCTAATTCAGACATTATAGCACTGGGTAATAACGTTGTACCGTACGATCTACGCCATGGGGACTCTTGGTGGCGGGGCTGGTGCTTTGGCATTTTACTCCGACATAACCCAGCCGGCCTTTATTGCAAATCTCGCCTTCATGGTCACCAGCCATACGATCACTGATGCTTTTGTGGTGTGTTCCTCGCCTCCAAGTCAATGTCACGGTATTAACGGTACCCACTAGCTTCAAAGACTATATGCTCTGTCCTCCCGCGACCGCAAGATTATTATTTTCCCGGCTGCATGTCTTGTCGTACAGATAGGTAAGACTAATCTTGTTGCCGTCAGCGCGGTCTCATACCCTTACAGTGGCGGCAACAGGATTCGTCGTCCGATCTGCTCTCGCTAAGCGTGGCGAAGACTACTTCACCTTGTCTAATAGCTGGCTTACCTGCAAACTGGTGACTTCTATCATGTATGCGTTTCAATTTAGATATTGGTTGCTGCTCAACTTTGGCCAGCATTAGCGTATATAGCACCGGTACGTTCTCGGTATTGTCTGGTTCATTTGTCGCCTCAAAGCCGGATAGCTACTATCTTTGTGCAACTGATGTGGATGGTGCGAGCATTCCCAATGCAAACGCGAAACGCACAGCTGCGGGTCAGGTTTTCCCTTGTCTTTGACATGAACTTGAACCATCATCATTAGTCCCTTCTCGCAATCATTGTCGAAAGCGCCGCATTGCAACTGACGATAACTGTTCTCAATCTCGTTGCCTTCCAAGCACGATGGATTGCGGGTATTCATATTTCCATGGGCATTGCTGGGGTCACGTTTGGAATTTGTACCGCGCTCATACACATGCGCATTGGCCTTGGATGGGCAAAGGATGACGGAACCGTCGTCAGCTCATACGCCGCATCCACCATGAAACTTACGGCTCGGTCGGGGACAGCGGGGAAGTTCGCGATCGATGAAGAAGGCCAGACGGAGACTAGTCCCATCCGCAGGTAGCGTTAATCCACAAACTGTCGAATACTTTTCGCTATACGCAGCCAGAAATTCGCAGGACTGGGAAGAGGCTTGGGAGTACGATCTCATGTGACCGCGTAAGATTAGAAGATGATGGTGACATGTGTGACGTTGTTGGAATCATCGCATCACATCCTCGGCCGGTCACCGTAACCTCGTTTCTTTGACCTGACTACGGTTCTATGTCAAAAGCAATTACTCCTAGCACATTTGCTTGGCGCTCGCACAACGACACGACGATGGTCTAGGCAAACGGGTTGCACGGACGCTCGACATGACGACTGTTTAGTATTCACAATTCTTCAAGTATCGCATCTCCAACTCTTCCTTTCCGTGCCCATCATCTATGCCCGATGAACTCTTGAGAGCCAACCTGGTGCAGGCTCTTCTCGAATGTCTCCTCTACGGCATCTACTTCGTCATCTTCACACTAACCGTCCATCTTTTTGTCGGTCGACATGGGTTTCCACCCAAGACAAGACCGGCACGGCTTGTGCTTGCTGGACTGACGCTTCAATTTGTAGTGATAACTGGTGTGCGTCTTCGTATAGTTGGCCGTCTACCGATGCTGACAATTTAACAGCACTGGGTGATCACGCTGTACCGCACAATCTACGCTATAGGGACTCTCGGTGGTGCTGTGGCATTCTACTCTGACATGACACAGCCGGCGTTCATCGCAAACATCGTCTTCATGGTCACCAGCCATACGATCACCGATGCGTTTGTGGTGTGTTCTTCGCCCACGATCCAATGTCGTCCACCAACATTATCCATTAGCTTCAGAGACTATACGTCTTATCCTCCCGCGACCGCCAGATAATTCTGTTTCCAGCCGCGTGTCTTGTTGTGCAGATAGGTAGTACCTACTTATATGTGGCGTCACCAGCGCAGTCTCACACCTTACTTGCAGTATCAGCGGCCGGAATTGTCGTTCGAGCTGTGCTCGCTGAGCGCGGTGAAGACTACCTCTCCTTGTCAAATAGTTGGCTTGCCTGCAAGCTGGTGACCTCGATAATGTATGCCTTTTGGATTTGGACACTGCTTTACGACTCATCTTCCGCCAGAATCAGCATATATAGCACGAGTACGCTCTTGACCATAGCCTGCTCCACTGGCTTTCTCTCAGACTCGCACAGTTACAATCTTTGCACAGCTGATGTGGATGGTGCGGGCATTCCCGATGCAAACGCGCAACGCGCAGCTGCGGGTGGGTTATATTTGCCGTTTCCCAACACCGACTTGAACTCAAACCATTGTCATTTAGTCACTCCTCGCCATCATTGTCGAAAGCGCTGCGCTGCAACTAGCCCTCACCATCCTCATTCTCGTCGCGTTCCAAGCACAATGGGTCGCGGGCATTTTTATTTCGACAGGCATCGCTGGGGTCACATTTGGTATCTGTACCGTGCTGCTACACATGCGCATTGGCCTAGGGTGGGCCAAGGACGACGAAACGGTCGTCGGCTCGTACGCCGCATCGACCATGAAACTTTCAACGCGGTCGGCGAGTGTCAGGAAATTCGCGATTGATGAGGAAAGTCAGGCGGTAATTATCACTAGTCCAATTCGCAGGCAGCGTTAATCCGTACAGAATCAAATATTCACAAACGGAACGAAGTTCGGAGTTTGTGCTTATGGGTGACCGAAAGTGGGACTGAGTGCTTATCTAAAAGCACACTCGTCAGCTCGGCCGGTTTTTCACAATCAATCACTGATCTAAGCATCGGCACACCGTGACGGACCGGCAAGCTCGTGAGCAATCAAGGAGGATAACTAAAGGATAACTGAGGCTGAAAACAAGAAAATTTCCTGTGTCTTGTTGATAGTCGTAGCTAGCACCTATGTAGCACATCTGTCCTACTTACATCATTCATTCTTTGCTGCTCTTCCCGGACCCTCATCCACTTGCGTGTTCGCTGATCCTGCGTCCCGCCCCCGCGCTCCTTCCTTCCCTTCTTTCGCGCCGACCTCTGCTCGTTGCGCTCAACATGTCTTACACTTTGGCAATGTCTCCAAGGGCAAATACTACCATTGCAATTGACTGGTTCGGCGGCGACTGCCGGACTTGATGCCATGAACTTCAAGTGCGGCATATGATGATGCCGCATATCGACAGCTGGAATGTAAACATACTCACCTTGGAAACTGTTGAAGTCCAGTAGGCCACTAAGACAGGGAAATGTACTTGTTGTACTAATAGTAGTGGTTCTGTTTGTACTCCGCCGCGCGTCGGCCTTATTTCATTATATACCTTGTCCCACTGAGGAATGTGAATGACCTATCATGTGACCGCGTTAGATTAGAAGATAAAGTATTGCTGCTTAAGTAATGTCTAGTACATGCTATCCAAAAAAAAGTCCAACGATGCTACATAATGCTACAGCTCTCTGGTGGACACAAACTCTCCGTCCAACCTGGCGCCAAGTCCGTTGTCTTGATGCCCCCGCCCCGTCGTCGTATCTCTATCGTGAACTGCCGCTCAGCTTCTCCCGCGGCAGGGACATCATACCACCACCGCAATGTCTGGCCTTCAATCGCCCACCGGCCCGCACTCACCGACACATCCACGTCCACCAGCTCCCTGCCTTTCTCAGCAGTCACGCGCAGGTCCATACTGGCGACTTCAGTGCTGGCACTGCTTGTGCTCGCAGTCATGTCTCGCAACATCGGAAGATTGACGGTGGACGCATTCATCGAGGTCTTGCCAGTCGGGAGCTCTTCATCGAGGCTTGCGACGCTCCGAGTGTCACTGTCCCGCAGCAACCGCGCATTGGCATAATGGACCAGAGGCACAAATATCTCGCTCGCAAGCTCGTCGTCGTCTTCCTCCGGCCGCAGTCTGTCTTGGGGCCGCACATTGACAACAAGCCGGAAAAGGGTAGAGGCGATGTCGAATTCGACCGAGCGTGAGGTGCCGACAAGTTTTATTGGCCATGGTCGACAGAATGCACGGACGGCACGGGCTCCGTCAGTTAAAAAGTCGTATGGATTCGCTCTCCAGCCAGCCGCTTCTAGCCCGGTGCCTGTCGGGAGCGTTAACGTTGAGTTGGCCGCAGAGATGACCGTCGTGGTCACGCCTGATTTCTTGAGGAGCACCGCTTCGCTGCCATAAGCAGCCGTGGCAGAGCTCTCGTCAGAGCCAATCTTGTACATCGGGCTTCGCGGCGTCCGCATATCGTCCGCCGACCACAAACTGAGATCCTCCATATTCCATCCGTCGCCCCACTCATGTGACGAGTCAGGGCAGTAAGTCCAAACGGTCCAATTGACAGCGTTGGGACCATCAGCACCGTTTAGGCTAGCATCGAGCGCCTTTTCCTGCTGACTGTAATCGCCAACGCCACGCCCATGTGAGTCACCGTAATAGGCACGCTTCGAATCCATATCGAATGGCGTTCCTATCTCGCCAATGATTGTTGGGAAAGCACCCAGTGTGAGGGCGTCCGCTTTGAGAATACCGAGTTGCTCTTGAAGAGATTTGCGAATAGCTCCCGTCCCGATTTTGACTGCTTGCAGCGTTGATTTGTAATGCCCGCGTAACAGACCCAGTGCATCAGCGTTGAACCAGTTCCAGTGCCGCGAAATCAACGTCAGTCCGTCATAATAGTGGGCCGAGTAAGCGCCACGACCGGCCAGAATGTCTTCCTCGAGAGCTACAGGCCGCGCAAAGACGGGTGGTTGGACGAAGAGTATGGCTTCGGGGTGTGCGGCGCGTATTCGTCGGGCAAAGGCAATGAAATGGGGTTTCCAAAAGTCTTCAAGGAACTCTACCATAGTGTCTGTTCCAGGCAGAGTTTGGAAGTAGTTGGGAAGCATTAAGAAACCCGTTTCGATGTCCCATACGCCATGATGAGCCCAAATGCAAGTTCCCAGTGGCCAGTTAACATCACGCTTCCAGCCCCACGTGGGATGGACACCGTCAGGCTCGTCGTCCGGCGAAGCCCATATTGAGCGACCTTTTGGGTCAACTGTCACAGTTCCATCACGACTGGGTCCAAAGGCACCAAACGAGTAGCTGTCAACCGTTTGAGCTTGACCGACACCGAGACGGAAGCTTTGCAGTGGAGTTGGGTATGTGCCTTTTCGAAGCGTCGAACCCTGCGCTGAGGGGTTGACTGAAAGATCAACCCAGCCACAAAGACCCTCTGAAGGCTCGTTCATGCTGTCCCACCCAATGACGCAGTCTTCTAAAAGGTCTCCTGCAGCCCGAATGCGGTCGGCCATTTGGCCCATGGCCTCGATGAAATGTGACTGGAGATAGTCCTGGATGTTCATGCCGTCGATCACACATCTTGGTGCAAATTCCTGACCGGCAAAGAATAGTGTGAAGAGAGTTTGGGAGAGAAGGCGCCCGTAGTTTGTTGACCATATCATGGCGGGAAGGGAGGCGGGGTCGGGGTCATGGGCAAGCGGGTATTCACAGTGGAGGATGGCGGCTTGGGTTGCGGTGAAATTCCGGGGGTTGATACCACAAGCAGCTAGGGTCCAAAACGGGGCTCCCGAACCGCCAGAGAAACGCGACCACTAGACACAATGAAGAGTGGATATAAGGATAGGTTGTTTCACCTACAATGTCTTGGTGGGGGTCCATATACACGCGGAAGCCATATTCTTTGCACTTTCGTAACACACGAACAGTGTAGTCCATGAAGTCATAGTCGAATTTTCCCCTAGATAGGATGAGGACCAACGTATAGAAAGATTTAGACGGAAAGCTCTTACGGGCCTTCGTGCTCCAACGATTCCCAGGTGACAGGAAAGCGAAGCATGTTAAAGCCCCACCCACTGAGACGTGCTAGGTGAACGTCTGCTGAACCATCGTCGATGTTGAGTGGCCTCCCAATGAATGACTCTCCTCCGGCTTCTGCTGTTTCCCAAAAGTCTTCTCGAATATATGATGGGCGGTCTACAGGCGCTTTAGAGGAGCCAGACAAGTTCACTCCACGAAGAAGCAGGGTTCGACCAGCGTTGTCGACAAAATTGCAGTCGGTCGTATGAATATAGGATGACGAGGTTGCACTACCGGTTGCGGGAGAATGGGAGGGGACGGTAGGCATGGAGGTGGTGGTCGATAATTAGCAGAGTCGCACCACTTGGTCGGTCACGGGTAGTAATTATACGATCAATTGTAGACCTCGGTCCGTTGCCTACCACCCTCGAGTTCTACATTTCTGGCCCGTTGACGGTAAAAGTGCGAGTCAAGTGTGACGACGAGCTGGACTCTTGATCCAGAACCATGTTTGCTGCGGCCACGAGCTTCTTTGCTCGCTCAAATATTTCTGCTTCTTATAACCTTTCCTCTTCATCCACTCCCGGCAGTCGCTCGTCTACCCCAGGGCCAAGCAATTCATCCTCATCACCCACATATTCACCGCCCCTCAATATCGGTTTATGGCGCGTCCAGTCGGCCACACACAAAGTCACCAACAAACGCGTCAGTGTCTGGTCCTTCGATAAACGCAGTCCAGAAATGGAGCGGCTCCGGCCCCTTGCAAAGGATCGCACTCTTGAAGTCTTGAAAGCAGAGGTGTGTTTTCTTCCGATTCAACCTCTTCACTGAACATGGAATAGGCTTCGTCGTTGACGCGACTACGACACCCTTCAATTCTGGAGATGGTGGAACCCTTGGAGGATACACGGACAGGTTGCGTGAATTAATCTTTGCTCTACTAATCTTTTCTCATTCTGCTCAAGAGCTTATTTTTGCCACCGAACCCGTGTTATCGTCGTTGGAGCTTTCCATCCCCGGTATGGGCAGAACACCAATCGTAGATCTGGACGAGGTTGAGGTAACTTGCATGGTATTCTGACTCGCAGGACATGTCTATTAACCTCACTCCAGATTCAAAAAGGCATCTTGCAAATTTGCAAGGGTCTTTCGTTCCTGCACTCGTCAGCGCAGTTGATTCACTCAAATCTTGGGACGGAAAGCATCATAATCAACAGCTCTGGCGACTGGAAAATCGCGGGGCTTGGTCTCACAATTCCTCTAATGGCTCCTGGCGGTGGACCCACGAGATGGGAGTTCCCAACTTTCGACGGCCATGTCCCCTCCTACATCCAACGATCGTTTGACTACATGGGTAATTCAAAGCTCGCCTCCAGACCGGAATGCTGAAGTCATATGCAGCACCCGAATATGCTCTCGATGAGCAGCTCTTGACAGCATCTGATATGTTTTCTTTGGGCTGTGTCATCTACGCAGTCCATTGCAAAGGAAGACCCCCATTCAAGAATCACGGCAGTTTGAGCGGGCTTCGTGACAATGCGGGAAAGCCTGTCCCTGCAATGGAGTCGTTGGACCCAGATTTACAAAGTACGTTCCCTCTCGGCTTTGAAAAAAAGTGTGTCGCCTCATCTAATAATAGATCTGCTACGAACTCTCATCACACGACAAGCTACCAGTCGCCCAACTCCGACCACTCTCCCTTCCTACCCATTCTTCAGCAGTCTGCCTATTTCCACGCTCAACTTCCTGGATCGCTCGACGTTTGCGACAAAAACGCGAGAGGAGAAGATCTCTTTCATGAAAGGCTTGGCTTCTGTTTTGGAACGCTTTTCCGAAGGATTGAGAACACGCAAAATCCTCCCTAGTTTGCTCGAGGAAATGAAGGACACCCACCTCCTTCCCTACATCCTGCCAAACGTTTTCTCGATATCCAACATTCTCTCTGCTCCTCAGTTCGCTGGAATGGTCCTTCCAAGCCTGAAGCCATTGTTCGTCATCAAAGAGCCTCCGCAAAATATGTTGACGCTACTCGACAATCTTCTTATGCTGCAGAACAAAACAGACAAGAATACTTTCCGAGAGCGTATGTGGGAATATATGCAAAGTTGGCTGCAGCGACTGAATTCTAGTCTAGAGGTTTTGCCTTTGGTTTATAATGCTCTGGAGTCTGAGCACGCGGTGGTCAGTGTTCTGAATCTTTTAAGCACAGCTTCCCAATTGACAACAAATGATGTCAGGTTCAAGAGCGCGCATTAAAGACTGTCCCAGAACTCTGCGAGAGCATCGACTATGCGGAAGTCCAAGGAGTCTTATTCCCTCGTGTCGCCGTTTGTCAACTGCTGGATTCTTGAATCAATTTTGACAAGGAAATAGATGGTCTTTTCGAAAACCCGGGTCCTGACCGTGAAGGTGGCCACGCTTACTACTTTCCTCGCAATGGTAAAAACGCTGGATCAAGTACGCCCTTTTGCGTTTGTGCTCTTCTTGGTCTGATAGATATGTTCTTCAAAAAGAGCAGCCTAACACAAAAGCTGGTCCCGCTTCTGTCGAAAATTCGCACCAAAGAACCGGCTGTAACAGTGAGTAATATGATCACCTCCACTAGCTGGTCAATCAATGGCTTCTCTTTAGATGGCCACGCTCAACGTGCAGGAGGCCATGGGCATGAAAGTAGACCGCGAGGCGGTCGCTACTCTGGTTCTTCCCCAGCTCTGGACGATGTCGATGGGACCCTTGCTTAATCTGGACCAATTCCAGCGCTTTATGGGGGTTATCCGGAAACTAGGCGAACGTGTCGAGGAAGAGCATAAGCAGTTCCTTCGTGACTCGCAGAGACTGGAAGACCGGTCGGCAACGGCGATGAACGGCAACGGTTCGCAAGCAGCAGGCTCCGTGGACTTTGCGAGTCTTGTCGGTCGGGCAAATGGGGCCTCTGTCAAGCCCGACTCGGAAGCAAGCACTGGTTGGGATGACGATCCATGGGCTACCATGCTCAACGATGATGTACGTTCTTCTCAACATGAATGGTCAAAGCACTGAGTTTGTTATGTAGCCCCCGTCTTTCCAGACCTCCCCAGCCATGCCCACATCCCCCGTCACACTTCCTCCCGTTCGCTCCATGCCTTCCTCCCCTCAACAGTCGACTTTCCAATCACGCCCGTCGCCATTGGGTGGCGGCGCTTCGACTGCCACACCGACACCATTTTCTTTCCCCTCCCCGCCGTTGTCGCGGCCGTCTTTGAATTCGATGACGTCAGCGATGCCGGCATTCCCGTCGGGGCCTCCGAAACCCAACTACAACATATCGCTGTCCACCACGCCCATAATGTCCTCGAATCCCCAGCCGCAGCCGCAGCCCCCGAAACCGAATTACAACATCTCCCTAACGCCCAGCGCGCCAATGGCGGCGACGACACCACCAATGTTCACGTCCTCGCCAATGATGGCCGCACCGCTCACGATGGGCAGCGGTGTCCTGGCGCCTTCCAAACCCGCCCAACCGTCCTGGTCGACTGCGTCCAAGCCAAGCAAGGACGACTGGGCGGATTTCGACCCGTTAGGATGAGCTAATCACGTTAATTTAATCCATACTTATGTATTTGCACGCTCCACATCAATGCCTATAAGCTCTCCCACTGTCGGCGGCTCGACGATAGTGTCGTGGCCGCGCTCGTCGTCTGTTTGCACTGCGATGCTCTCTGGGTCGATGGGCATGTCGAGTATACCCTGCAGAATCAGGCGTGCCCCGAGTTTGGACGAGATGACGTTCTTTTCTTTGCACTTGCCGCTGTGGATGCCTGCGAGGAGGTTAATTTGTGGAGAGGAATTGATGCTCTCACATTCGCCGCACCCCTCTTCACAAGCACAGACCGCAATTGCATGTTCAGCGCTCCGCAACAATTCGTGCACTAACAGGTCAGTCAGTATCATATAAGCCCAAGGCGAAATACGATGAACCACACCATTGTCAAACGCCTTGGACGAGGCGCCGCTCTCCGTCCCGATAGGATCGAAGAATATCAGCCTTGAAACAAAAAAAAATTAACAAATTGACGCAAGACACAAGGGAACCAACCTGGCAGGCCGCTTGCGCGCGCTTTCCTTCTTCTTGAACTCCTTCTCGGCGGCCTTGCATTCTGTTTCGACTTGTTTGAGCACGAACTGGTTCATTATCGCGTGTTGTGCAGAGTGGATAGCAGCTGCGGGTTTAAACCGCTTGATCCGCAGAAGCGCGAGGACGGATGCGGGCACGTCGATCCAGCAACTAGTTGCCAAGTGAGCAATATAACTTGGGAGGGCAGTGGAACGAACCCAGTAGTCTCATGCTCCCATGGTTCGTTCTGCAACGCCACAGTGTCGAGAATGCTACCATTTCTAGGTTCTCATGTCAAAGCGAGCTTCATCGTGGTCGATTAATTCCTCTTACCTGATCTTCAAAAATCCTGGATGACACCTACGTATGAGAGGCACGTGACATTTTCGCGGAAGACATTGCGCACCAAAAACGAGCGTCTGGATGCTGACGCGTCCATAGTATGCCCGATGCGGCGAGTCTCTGATTTCCTTGATGCGATGCGTTTGCACTGCGTCAACGTTCCTGAAGATGATTTACCGACCGGCGACGACGACAAAAAAGAATAGCGGATACGCACGTGATGTCCCGTGGAGACGTATGCCAGTTGATGTCCGCCTCGACTACCGACGCGCGCTTCGCATCGTGACTAATATCCTGGACGATAAATGAACGCCCCTGATGCAAGAACACGCCGCCCTCGTAGATCTCGAACTGCGCCCTCGACACCTCGATTTCCTCGAGCAGCCGCGGGCGGCCCAGCACCGTGGTGTCCACCACCATATAGCGGTCGTCCTGAATATTCCCTGCAGACGATTAGAGCAAATAAATGGTTACCTAACGACCTACGGATCGAGATGAACTTGGAGGGGAAGGGCAGGAACTTGGCGTGCGGGTGGTACCTGTAGCCGAGGTCACCAACATTCACCATAGTGAGAAAAAAAGGGCGACGTGCCATCCTTCGTTGTCGACGCGGAGGTGCCCCTGACAAATCTCCTTCATCAGCGGGCCGAAATAGGAAGAATCGGCGTCGCAAAGGGGCATCTCCTGGGCGGCGCATTGCAGGTGGGCTAAGTGGGATGAAAATTAGCGCTGAGGGGACGCTTGACGGCATACGCTCAAGCAGGATCTTGTTGTCCAACTCGACCATCAGATCCCCAACGTCGCCATCGAAAATCCTGTCCGGATGCTTGGCGTAGTACTGGTCGATGGGCAGTGCTTCGGCGACGCTATACTGGCGGTTCAGAGTTTTGTAGGTGACATAATCGAGACAGACAATATGGCCAACGAGTCCCGGGTACGACGACCTGCTCTGCCAGCTTGCTGACGCTATAAAAGAAATCGGTGATTCTGGACATTTCAAGTAAGTATCCTTGTACAAAGCTTGCGACCGAGGAAGGGAAACCGAGCATAATGACGGCGTCCAAGCTCCCGATGTCAACCCCAAGTTCGAGAGCGTTCGTCGCAACGATTCCTGGGGGGAGTTGAGAAGAAGAAATAGGGTTCGTGCCATACCTAAAAGGTGACCAGTAAATGCATCGTGTTCTATTTGACGCCGATCCTACGCAATTCAATGACGAGTTCATCTGCTTAGCGTACATTCTCACCTGTTGAGAGTAACCTGCGCGGTATCAATACCAGAGTCAACAGATAAAAGCAACAAACAAACCGCCACGATATGATTTCACACGGTTCAAGACGTCATATCGGCCTGCTTTCGTCAACTCATAGCGCAGGCTTTTCATCACCTTTTCTCAATGTCAGTTTGCCGCTCGATGAAAAAGTGCTCGACAACATACCAGTTCACAGACTTTCCGGTGCTTGCAGAACAATATGACGCGTATTCCGTGTTGCATCAAAAACGCCATCAAGGTGGTGGCTTCGGAGATGCAGCTGATCGGCCGATCTGTTGTGGTGTTGGAAGGTGGACTCCATATAACGAATTCCTTGGGGCCAGACGGCGCCGACTCCGCGTCGACAACCTGGATTTCCGCCGCGTCAAAGCCGAATATACGCTGCATGTGGAGAGCGGGCTTGGACAATGTCGCGCTGCACGAGACGCAGATAAAAGACCGATCTGGTTTTCGTTGAACTTGCAGAATGTGGATGCAGAGAGAAAAAGTATACTTCCCAACGCAGCCAATACGCGCCGCAATCTGCGGACTATCAGCGCAACATGGCTGCCCAGAACACCCGAGTAGTAGTGAAGCTCGTCCACCGCCAAAAGCTGCCTGGTTCATTGCACATCAACGAAGAAAGCCTGTGACACACACTTTGACATTCTTAAGGAATCTGCATCAACGGAGTCGGAAAGCAACATCGAGCGTTAGAAGAGAACGATACCTTCTCCACAGATCCTCGAATGGTAGAATGCCAGCGTGGATCATGTCCTACCCAGATGCATCAAGTTACATGAGGCGGACAGACAAGTCAAACATACGAAGTTCGTCAAGATGATAGAGGCGTTCTCGCGGATACCGGCCCGGAGCTCCGGAGGCGTGTCGCCGTCATAGGTAGCAACTTGGACGTCTTCCAACCCTGGACACGATGCCAAAAGTTGCTCGAGAGCTGCGCGCTGATCTTGCGCCAGAGCCTAAAGAAGGGCTTGAGAGAAAGCACACTTTTAGTAGACAAACGGCAACCTTCGTAGGATAAACAAGCAACGCAGTCGAGTTTCTGTCTGACTCCAAGAACCGCAAGATGGGAACTTGGTACGTGACACTCTTCCCCGTTGCCGTACTTGTACTGACAATAACATGTTTCCTGCGGTTTATCGCATTCAGTGCCTCTGCCTGGTGAGTGTAGAAGCTCGTGATCTTTCGGGAATGTCGCAAGGCGTCCGCGATACCATCGGAGAGCGCAAATTCCAGAGATCCTGGAATATTAGTGTTCAATTCAACCGGGCGTAAGAGGACCCAATAAGCACCGATGGCTGCAGATTTTGCGGGCACACTTCGACGTTCGACGATTTGGTCCAGGTACCAGTCTTGCTGGATGACCTCATCCAAGACCGCGTGCACCGAGGGGCGATTTTCCGCGCTTGGAGCAGAGATCGGCAAGGTCGACGAGTGGCTCGGTTGGACGGGTAGATGGTCTCGTGCTGCAGCTTGAAGAAGTGCAACAGAGTCTTCCCCGGGTGCAGCAGTCAGAAGCAGTCTGTTCCGCGAATGAGGGCATTCCAGGCCGCACGCGCGTGTTAAACTCACTCGTTGACTGTCTGTTCGAACCTACAGAGATCAGTCTCGATCCTCATTCGGTTGGATGGCACACCGTTGATTCCTTTTTTCGATGAGTTTTTTCATCGCAGCGGGAGTCAGGGTCGTCGGAGCGCTGAGCATCTGTCTACAACAGTTTTGAGAAATTATTAGCATGCATTAAGTTGAAGTTACGACTGGTCTTGGATCGCCTTGCCGTGCGACTTGTCAACGAATTCAAGGACGAGAATATGCTCGTCGTGGGTACTAGCGTCACGGAGCCGAAAATCAGGTTCTCGCGAAGGCTCCTGGTGTGCAAGCGCTTCACTGCGCGGGATGTAGGCGAACTTGACGAGATCCGGAAGCAGACTCCTTTCCACACCATGAGTAAATTGGGCAGCAAACAGGATCCTGAATCTTTACTTGAGCTCCGCCACACTCTCCAGGTCGAGTGGGCGCTTCAAGAGACTCTCCACAGACGCCCTGATGGACTGAAACGAGCTGGCCATCTGTTTCCTGGACGAAACAAAGGCGAGCACGGTGTTGAGTGCCTTGAACACTTTATACAGGTCCTGAAAGTGGCTTGGCCATTGTTCAGGATTAGGCTCGTTAAGTTTCCTTTTTTTGCGTGTTGGAGCCATGGTCGACTGGTGTCGTCCAAGAACGTCACATGGTCACGGTGTGTGACATTTCGTGCTTTGACCACCGTCAGCCTTTCCCGATTTTTATTCTACGCGGTTGATCTTTCCTGTAGTCCAGGATGCGCAGCTCTCCAGTCTGTCTTGCGCGCAAGCTGCCGAAGCCATTGAAGTTCAAAGTTCAAGTATTCCATCTGGACAGGCTTGCACAACCGCCGTCGACATTACCCCGAATCATACCTCGCGACAAAGTAGCGGACGGTACTGCGATTCTCTCTGCCCCGGCACCTAAATCCCAGCACTTCAAACCGCCGAGCTTACTGGAAACACTGCTGGCTCGACAAAAAAATGCGCCAGAAGATTGGCCACCCAACTTGCGTATAGAGCCGGTCATCAGCAGACAAACATGGGAGCCGGTGAAAATGGGGATCAGGTCGAAGCTGAAACGGATGTTGAGGGAGACTTGACGCGTGAGTGTCCTTTTTTGGTATCCGAAAGTAAATGTTCCTCAGTATTAAACAGCTGTTTGTAGAAGTACTCCGATTAACACCTCCTTTCTCCTTGCGCGAACACTCTCTCCAGCATCCGGTTGAATTTATGCGGGTATTGTACATGGAGAGCGTGGCCAGTTTTCTCCCACTCCTCCAACTCAGCATCGGGCATACAGCTCTTGATCAGTCGACTATTCTCGGGTGAAACCAAATTATCTTGATCACCAGTGACGATATGAACGTAGGGAATCGAGTCGGATATCTTTTTTAGGCGCTGAAAGAAGCTTAATCGTTGCTCTGTCGGACACACTAAACTTACGGGTGGGGTTACATGGTGGGTGAGGCCAGCAGACATCTGTGACACGGCACCCAGGAAATGCTGAGGAGCAGTGGTCAACATTCTTTTGCGATACGTCTATATGGCCTCCTCAGTTCAGGTTCAAGTTGTGCGAACAAAGGGCCCTACCATGATCTGGATTTCACGATTTGTCCGCCCTTGCTCGTCGTCTTCCGCGGTCGCCTCTAACCACGCCAATGGATAGACCATCTCCAAGATAATGGGTATCTTTTTCTCGATGTCTGTCGTGAACATGAGCCTTGGAAATAGTCAACCAGCGTTCAAGCGTTGCAATGCAAATCCTACTTGGCCAACGAAAGGGCACCTTTCCACTAAAACTCTTGAGCTTCGCTTGTTATCGGAAACGCAAGCATACGGGAGGCAAGTTGGTCCACGGAGGGCCGCCTGGTGTGGTTACAGCCAGTGTCAGCGATATTATCCGACCAGGTATCTTGAGGGCAAGCTCTGAGGTATTGGTTAGTATGGTTGACTCATGCTGAGCTGCTATACCTTGCGCAATCATCCCTCCCATAGAAGTACCCACAACATGAAGCTGTCGCTCCGCCTTCCACCCGAGATAGTCAAGCAAGACGATGACATCTGCCGCCTGAATTGTTGTTGCTTACGAGAATGCAGCCTAGAACTGTAGACGGGACTTACCATCCCACTCGTAGTATACGGTCCTCGAGGAGTGGACGAATGGCCAACACCGCTGGACCCGTCCACGTCATTCAATCTGCTTTGCACAGAACGCCTCGACTTACCGGTTGTCGAACAACACAATAGAGTACTCCGGATTTTGTCCAAAGTGTGCAGCTTGTTCGGCCTGTCAAGCAGTTCAGGATAACGCCGATAAAATAGCCGACGCGGGATGACTACCCATGCAAAAGACGACGAATTGAGCCTTTGTTTCGTTGAATGCTAGCCGTGAACGAAGCAAACGACAAACCCCATAATGAAAACCACTTTCTTGGGTCCGGTACCGTGTACTTCATAGTACAACGAATGACTTTCGATAGCCTCCACTGAAAAAAATGAGTGCTATTCACAGGTTGTTCGAAGTACCTTGGTTGCGAAGGCGCGTAACGGGACATAATCCTAGCAAGTGTGAGCACTTGAAACGGTCATTTCAGCTCAATAAAAACCTCGGTCAGTACAAGTAGCCCTGCTGAAGATGGTGGGGAGGTGCTCAACAGTCATGATCGGTGTGACATGTGATTTCACTCAGTGCAAACAAAAAATTGAGACTAAGAGATTAAGCTACAGAGAATATATGCAGAAATATAGTACACAAATGCATGAGAGCAAGCTACCGCTTGCCCTTAACTTTCCCATTCGGTTTTCCGTTAGGCTTGCTGGCTTTTTTCTTCTTGGGTCTATCCGAGTCGGAATCGTCCGAGCCTGTCTTTTTGAGGCCTTCAGCTCTTTTCAGGTCCGCTGTGTTCATGTGTGAGTGTCAGCGAATATCACTCGGGAAAGACGTACATTTGGCAGCCTTGCGCTCCAATTCATCCCAGTCTTCGCCTTCGCTCTCATCGGAACCGCCACCAAAGTCAGATCCACTTTCGTCGCTTCCTCCAGAGTTCCCATAGGCACTCTCATCGTCCGTGCTCTCAACCTCCTTCATTTCCTCGGAATCAGCTTCGAATTCAGACTCAGTTTCAGAACCATCGTCAGAATGGTCGCTCTGTTGCTCGTCAGTACATCACGAGTGGTTAAAACCAACAACTCACATCAGCCCCATTTCCTCTTCCAAGGAAGGTCCAACCGCCATTTTGGAAGAAACCGTGTGGGTCCTCGTTAATGGTTTTCATGATAGGTCCCCAATTGAAGTTGACTGGGCTTTCCGTCATGGGAATGTCGACCGAACTTGAGAAGGATTAGAGAAGCCGCAACAACACGATGCGATTACACGCACTCCAACCAAATCTTGACGTCGTCCATCTGACCGCTCTGGATGGAGTTGATGTGGAGAGGCGGCTTAGTGAAGTCCTTCATGATGAAGCAGAGATCAAACTGCTTCAGGTTATATTGAACACGCTCCAGCGATGCAATTTCGATTTCGGACAATGTCACAACCAGGAATGGGGGATCGGTCAAATGCACTAGACATTCAGTAGTCGGTTGTAGGCGGACACTGGTTCGGTGGGGGACGCCCTCGAAGGACAGATCTCGGTATGGGAGGTCCACTTCAAGTGGGTCGCCACCCTGATTAAGCTGTCAGTCCAATAGGCGACACAAAGTATAACAACTTACCGAGGTACCAGCAGCATCTGAAATCTTTTTGGAGAAACTCTGCATCTCGTTATTCAGCGCTTGTCGACGCTTTCGCTCTTGATGCTCTTGTTCAATTTCGTCCTCGTCGCCGTATCGGTGTTTCCGCTTTCGATTACCAGTCTCGTCAAATTGGGCATCTGTGGCTTCGCGAACAAATTGGACGTCCTAAATAGCAGTCAGACGGTTCCACGACCATAACCTTAGCACAACTTACGTGGGTCTTCTTCTTACCAATCATAATCGGCGCCTTCAGATGGAAATGGATGATGGCCAGGAGTTCATGATCGCAAGGCTGGAAGAAGAGGTGCTTGACGTTGCTGAACAACACGTCTGGCTAGAGTTACAACTCGTGCTTGCCATATGCAGGCAAAATCACATACCGACTTTCTGGCCATTGGGTGAAAGGTATCGAACACCGTTCTGGTGGATCTCAACTTCGCCTGCTAGTCGTTTACCATCAAGTGCTGGTCGAATAAATGCTTCTGGTAGTTTGGCTGGTCTTCGGGCCTTGACTTCAATGAGATTGTCTTGTTCGATAACATCGGCCATCTCTTTCTTTTGCTGCTCCCGCTTATTGGCCTCTTTTTTGAGTTCTGTAATCTGCTTGTAGATATTGTCGAAGCGGTGATTATCGGGCGAACGGAAGACGACGGATCGAACAAAGGTTGCATCGGGATCCTCAAAGGGCTGGCCAACACAATGAGCCGACATCGAACTACAAGAGAGCCTAACTGACCGTGTCTTCCTTCTTGCCTGCCAATTGACCAGGGGTCTGGAAGTTGACACGAAGATATGTGTATTCTCCCTCGTCGTTTTTGCTCGCATTCTTGATTGTGTTGATATGGAAGGGCACTGCGAAGCCGTTGATGGGCAAAATAACTGATTGACCTTTGCGATCAACGAAAATCTAGAAAAAGACGCGCTGAACGGAAACAAAAGCGAAGCAATATACCACTCACCCGCAGACGTTCAACCTCTGGGGGCAGTCCTCCTTCGCCCTTGTAGCTTTGAAACTTTTTCCAGCCCTTGCCTTCTTTTCCTTCCTGTGCTGCACCTTCCTCTGAAAATTTGGCCAGACCCCGAGTCTGAAGTTCGCGGTGAATTTCTCTCTGATGTTCGGCTAGTTTCGCAGCAGCACTCTGGTGCACTTCATCCTGGGTTCGGCGAGGTTGATTCCGAAGAACTTTGCCACCAGCCGTCTTCTTGACAGGCGAACGAGGAACTGTAGGTGCCTTCTTCCTCGGTTTCTCTTCAACTTCGTCCTCTGGTGTCAGGAAAAACATTGTGTCCTTGACCGAGCGGGTCCCATCGGTGAGAAGTGTAGACTTGGAGGATTCAACCTTGATTGTGTCAACAAGCTGCAGAGCATATCTAGAACATGAATGTTTAGTTCAGCGTCAGGTCACGATTCTCACTTTTTGCCGCTGGCGTCAACAAGATCGGTAAAGCCCAGACCAAGACTGATCACCATGTTCTCTTTCAGCACTTTGCCATTCTTGGAATTGAGCAAGTAGGCAGAATCCCGAAACTCAATGCCGGTCTGGTAGGTGTGAGCAATAATGCTTTCATATAATGCCTGAGACTTACGACGAATCCGATATTCTTCTGGAAATGTTTTTCGAGTTCGGGGTTCTTCTCCTTGACGAAGGCAAGTGCGGCCTCATATGCACTCTGAGCAGAAATTCCGTGCTTGATCTTCGACAGTAGCTCTTGCTGCAACGAAAGCAGCAGGTTGTATTGTGCCTCTTGTTCCTGGAGAACGTCAGCCGAAAAAAGAATGGTCCACCGACAGACAGACCGGAGTGGGATCAACGATAAATGTTCGTCCGACATTGGCACAGTATGACTTGTAACGAAGGCCAAAAGCGACCAGTAGCACGCCCTTGTGTGAAATGTTGTCAGCTGATGATTCGGCGGTATATCGTAGATCGTAGCCGGTGCTGCTAGAGCGGGAGATGATTATGGGCGGGTAACAAAATTCGACTAATGGCCAATCAATCTAAGCGGTTGCGGTTAGGTGAGGTTGCAGTATGGGATCTAGGACGCACATCACTCAAGCCTTTACCCTTACTCCAGACCTTGGCATCTGGGGGCTTTGCATTATCTCCTTCCCCGGTGCCTAACCTTGCTTCAATCTGAGCGGCGAGAAGTTCGTGAGAAATTTTGGACTCCTTGTCCAGAATCGACTCTAGCTTGTCGGCGACATAGTGTTTCAATAACGTTGAGGTTAGAACGCTAGCGAGTTGAAGGCATTTCTACGACATGATCGTGAAATTTCACTCAGAGTGTGGAATTCAAAACACACCAATTCTTCCTCGTCCTTGACTGCCATAAATGCTGAAAACGCTGGACTCATTTCGACAACTTCCGGCTTTTCCTGCGCGTCTGCGAGTGCTTTTTTCCATTCATCGATGAGTTTCCCTCGGTGGGCTTCCTTTGGCAGGGATCCGACACGCTTTTTCGACGCGTATAGGGAAAAGAAGCGTGGGAAGGCGTCGTTGGTGGGCTCTTTGCTTTTTGCCTGCGCAATGATTTCAACCGGGACCGTAGCTGACGAGCCTTGAATTTGCGACAATATTTTGGCTGGTGGTGAAAACGCGTCTAGTAAATATGGAGCACGAGCAGATAAACGGTCGCACCTTTAGACGCTGAGCAGAGAATAGTGATCTTGTCTTCCGCAAAAAGTATTAATGTGGAGGGAAATTCATATCCAAGGAGCCATTGCTGTTGAGTCATTATTTGTGAGTACCAAACACCAAATCGGGGCCAGGCAAGGACGTCTCAGTGGCAAGCAAAAGCACATACTTGAATCGCTGTGCCTTTCCGCGCGGGTTCATCTTCAGGCGCCGGGTCTCCAGCTACAAGAAGAAGAGCATCTACGCCGTCGATTGAGCTCAATTCTTCGTTTTGTGCCGCGTTCTGAGAATTGAGTTACTGATTGAGTGTTATCATGAAAGTCTCCCGACTTACACGCCAGCCTTGGTAGATAGTTTGAATTCTGCTTTGAAATGCAGTTTTGTTCAGCTCCACGAGCATGGCGAAAGGAAGAGAGCGAGACGCGGTTTGTCACACTGTCACACCGCCAAAAGGTCACTCTTGTCCGCTGAATACACCAAGATCGCGTAAAATAAACACACTCTCCTCAACCCTCTTTTCCAAGACAGTCAACTTCTCTTGTTTCCCTTCCCATTCACGAAGTATGTCGAGCTCCATACGTGACATGAATTCCTCCTCGTTTTGGCTCACATCGCTACGTTCTCGCTTGTCTAAAACCGCCTTGACCATGGGCTCCTCTCGCTCGGCTTGTCTACGGACTGATATGTTGTAAAGCGTCTTGTACAAATTTCCCAGAATGACGGAAACTGCTTTTGGGACATCCACGTGCCTGGAATTTGGTTAGATGTCGATTCAGAGGAGCAGGACAAAGAGTTTACTGACCAGAGGTAGAACATCCGCGCGGGATTGCGGTCAGCACTTTTGGGTACTTCTTGTGTGCTTATTATCGATTCCGCAGACATTTTTGCCAACAGTTTTCGAACGTCGTTCTGTGGTATCATGACAACTTTTGAGATCTATACAGGTTAAAAAGACCAAGACGGCAGAAAAGGCAACTCTCACTTGTTTTTCGTCCATTTTGCCGGTATCTAGTAAAAGTCGAAGAATGCGTAGCCCTTCCGTCTGATATCGTTCTCTGGTAACAGACTCGAGCACTCGTCGTCTCAGTCTTCTACATATGGTTTCGAATTCGACTTGCACTTTGGATGACCCGAATGATAAAAATGCGCCAGCCCGGCCTTCCGGTGTGGGGTTGTCGGCCCCAGACAGAATGCCGACGTAGTCTTTGATGCAAGCAGAGTTGCTTGGATTTTTTGTGCGTTGTATCAGACCTGAAGAAAGGTCCTCCTCGTCTGCCAATGATAGGGTAATATTGGAAATGGAAACGGGGTCTGTTCTGACTTCGGAGACATCTTTCTGCTTGGTTTCCGTGGCCTTAAGAACTGTTTGTAGAACGACAGCCGCGCTACGGTTGTAACGCTCGCTGGCAAGCTTGACGATCAGCTAAGCAGGATTGAGCGGCAATGAAGGAGCTGGTGATGATACCCACAGCGTTGCGAATATGAACATTGAACCTATCGCAGTTCACGCGAAAATAAACAGTGGGCTACAAATGGAGTAAAATCAAGGAAATGATTGAGTTAGTGACACGTACGTCTACCTCTTCTTCCTCTTGAGAAGTTTTACGCTGAGAATACGCTGGTCAAAGTCACACACACATTTCATTTGGATAAACCTTACCTTTGTTGACCGCGGCGCTTTTTGTTCAACCACTTTACGCTTCTGTACATCACTGCATGATTTACACACGAAAACTAGGCAGGATTTGGAGTACTCACCAGTCCAACTTTCTCGGCTTCCGCCTCCTCGCGTTTGAGACGCGCTTCCGCGGTCTCCTTGGCTTCGCGGAGCTCTTTTGCGGTTGGAAAACCATTGATTTTAGCTTTTTCTTCAGCTTCATAGCGAATACGCTTGTCTCGGGGCGACACATGAGCCAAAATAGTGGAGGGTTTGAGGTACGAGGCCGTCACGAGAGTATGCATCGCCTGAGTGTAGGCAATGGCGGCTGTGGATGACCAGAGTGAGAAAGGTTCTCGGCATAAACAACATTGAACCTTGGGCGTCCCCGTAAGAGAGGTGGGAGATGATTTCTGGTTGTCGTAACTTCCCATGGTCAAGAATAAGTTGCACAATTTCTGCTTCCTACAAACTATAAGCCACAGTTCCGGGTGAGGCTGGAGTTTTATACCGCATCGCCAAAGATCTGTGTTGCCTGCCAGACGAAGCGGCCAAAGCGCAGACGCAAGAGACATTCCTCGATGTTCATCTCAAAAACTTCTCCTTCTTCCTCTGAGTTGGCATGCCAGAGAACATTGTGTTGGACCAAGACAATGATGGAGGCTCGCACTGTCCTCGGCTTGATGGATGTAAAGCGCACAACTTGCGGTAAAGTTAATCGACCTCGAGTCAACAGGACGGACGCGACTTTCTAGTGAAAACGTCAAGTTGACGACAGGGATGAGACCAGTCGTACAGCAGTGAGCGGTCCGAAATGGGAGTGGATAATGTGAGTACACAAACGCGTCGTTTGCGCATCAGCCATAATTTATGCGACAAAAAGAGAAGTCGGTCGGTCACGTGATAGGACTCCCCCATATGATGGCCATGCATTCTGAGGTCGAAAAAATGAAAGACTATGGTAATAAATATACAAAGGCTACGCCGTACAGTATATTGTCAGATCCCTACGTCGTCTAGAAGTTCTCTGTGGGGGGAATTTAGAGAGCCAACAAAAGCTAGCGCAAAATATTCTTACCCTTGCCGAAGAAGAAACGGGTGCCTCCCTTCTGAGTTATATCGGAGTGCTTATTCGACTTGATATGAAGATCGCGAGCAATGGCGGCAGGTCCACAGAAGAACTAACGCAGATTAGACCATCATCAACTGCCAGACAATGCTACATACCACACCGACATCCGACTCTGGATGTTTCTCAGCAATGGAAGAAAATATCTTGTCCCAGTTAGGTCGTCCAAAGTGGGTCGGCGCACGAAGAGAAGTGATAGCATCCTTCTCAGCTCCAACGTCCTGAACAATAATGTTGTTCATGTCGTCTTCCTTTATCTTGGCAGTAAGGTAGATGTTGATTTCGATACGGTTTTGTGTGTCCTGCTCTTCAATAGCATGCAACAAGCTGTGGAACCATTCCGCTGTCCCGAAGTCACGAATGACCCAAGTGAAGTAAACTTTGGACAACCGCGTCGGCTTCGAAGTGTTGAAGTTGTTCATGCGATACCAGATGTTCTTCAGGATGCTACACGGAGCCCGTCAGCAAACAGCAAGTAGACGAAATAAAACGCGTACGAAGCGAAAGGAGTGACGCCAATACCAGCACCAACGAGAAGGACAGTCTCGAAATTCAGGAATTCCTCGGACGAAGTCCCGAACGGTCCGTCGACCATGACGCGAGGTAGAGTCCGATTGAAGAGGAGGGTTCGTGTTTGTGCCGATAACTTTACCACCAGCCGCAGCACCCTTCTCCTTGTCTTTGTCCTTTCCTTTGCCGAAATCGCAGCCTAGAGCCTTGGCGAATGCGGTGGTGAAGTCTCCTTCGACACGGATATGAACCGAAATGTAGTCTTCTTCGGGAGCGCTGGTGAGGGTGAAAGGGTGCCATTGGAAGTATGAAACTTCAGGGCAGTTGATGAAGATGTATTGGCCAGCGCGAGTTGTCGTCTTTTCTTTCTTGATCTGTACTTCCATAACACCAGAAGGATGCTGGACGACCTTGGAAATGTAGGTGACATGTCGAGAACGGACTTCACGGAGGATACGCTCGCAAATCCAAATAAGTCCACCAACAATCCAGTAACGCTAGAAGGGGGTTAGAAATCAGGATTAACTGATTCACAAGAGAACACGCACCCAGAAGACACCGATGGTGTTAAAAGAGCAGAAAGGTGGACGATCTGGTTTGATCATGCAGAACATGCCATGGAATTGCCAGAGGACAAAGAAGGGGATGAAAAGGTGGTGAGTATACCAGAACTTTTCAAATCCTCCATTTTTCTGACGACGACGCCTCTCCATAGCAAACCAGACCATAACGCACAAGAAGATGAGCATGATCCAGCCTGTAATGAGCGGGCCAATGATGAAGTTTGCAACAATGAAGAACTTGACACGGTCTCCGGTGGTAGTTGCAGAAGTGTCGGCCATTGTTAGACGGTAGAGCTGAAGAATGATGAGAAATACCAAGAAAAAGCACTGTCCCACAACTCACATTCACTGTGGAGAAGGGAAATACATTGTCAGTATTTGGTTAGATAGAAAGCGGCCCGACATATATATGCGCGAGTGTGTGCACCCAGCTGCCAATGAAGATGCTCCATCCCGTAGCTTTGTGGAGCGTAAGGTTCTTGTCGAAGGGTATAACCGTCCCAAGAGGCGTTCTGCGCAATATTGACACGAAATTTCGGCAGACAGGCAGTAAGATGAAGATAACATCGACATGTAGGACCACTGCAGCTGAACGAGCAATGACTAGAAGGAAGGAGCAAGTGCAAGTCAGTACATGCCAAATCAAACCAAAAGTGTTGCTGACTCACCAAAGGTCACGCCGAAAGTAGCACGGGCATTCGTCAAGTTATCCTTAAGAGCATAGTGGAACCAAGCGAAGACCGCGAGAATTAGATGGAGAAACAGGAAGACTGCGAAAAAGATATGACGCTGTCCCTCGTTGATCATCCATAGGTCGATTTTCTGAGTTAAAGTCAGAGGACCAGTGTTCTTCTTAGCCGTAGTGTTGTTGCGTTGGAGGGTCTGGAGCCGGCCTCGCTCCGTCTTGTTGCGTTGGAGGGCCGCGCCTTTGACATTAGCCACGTCTGGATGCTGGTCCAGAGCGGGCAAGCGATCCGAAAAGTCCAAACCGGAAGAGCGGGATGGCATAGTTGGTGGGTGCTCTGAATAAGTTGAACAAAATGGAGACCGGCCTGCTGGTCAGTTTGGAGAAGAAAAGAGAGAGAAGGGAAGGGAGGGGGGCAGAGTCAAAGGGCGTTGCTGAGATACTCTCGGCCTATCAAGTCGCTTGGGGGTCTAGACTCCGTCTCCTTGATGAAACAAAGCCGATCTCCGGCATCCAAGACATAAATATTCAGGTCATAACTATTGCCAAGACTACAACCAATCACAGCACTCAGGCTAATCCAGTCGCGTTGCACGGCACTGGGCAGAATTCAGCTTGAAGTAGCAGAACACCTCAAGGCGTCTCACTATCGAAAACTAGTTGTGTCACATTTTGACAAATATAGCGTGGCGCTTGACCCGCGGGTGGCTTGATTTCGAACGAAAAAAACTCGACATCGTTGCAGTCGACCGCGCATTCGATGTCAACAACTGTTGCAAGACGAACTTCATTGGCTGTCACGACCGCCACGAAAATAAATCTCTCACGCTTGTTGGCAAGTGCCGTGCCAGTCCAATTCTCGAATCGCAACCCTCCGAAGCTCAGTGTTGACTTTAGATCAAGACTTCGCCAGCTCTCAGTCAGGGCTCAATCGTAGCAACGAAAGCGTGCTCACGAATGTCCGCCGTTGGTTTGATAGAGGTGAATCGGCAGGTTGACGCCAACCAGATTGATGTTGCGAGCAACCACATTCCTCACTTGGCCTGTACCTCCTCCGCCACCTGTTGGCGGCACACCGTTGATAGAGCCATCCCAAGACTTGAAGTAAACCTGTCGGCTTCGTCAGACCAAACGGAAACCGTTACTACTTGCTTCCGCCGCGCCATACTCCGTTTTGCATATTGGGCTGGATCGAAGCATTGATCCGGATGAGCTCGATTTAACCGTCAACCAGTGCATCCCCCGATCAGCAAGACCAACCACCTGAACATCTTCGAGCAAGACTTGTTGGACGATGTCACTCTAAGCAGCATCTCCCGGTCAGTATGCATTCGCTTCCACGGGCCGGTTGTTTCACCAGATTATTATATTGACCCAACGATCCGAACGCGATCCCATTTCCTCCGCGACAGGTTATATCGCGGGCAACGATGTTAGTCGAGTTCTAGCCATACTTGTGTGTCGCTGATCATACGGGTTTGAGGATAAACACTCACTCCCTTGATAGCTGTGAACATCAGTATAGAAGTGGTCTACAGCATTTTAGACACACCTAGACAATCGTCACCACAAGTTACGTCCCAATGCAACAAGGAAACCTCGACGCAATCATCAGCCAAACCTTTGAATCAATCAGGAGAACAGACATTGTCGCTTCGATAGGTATTTATTCCTACGGTAGATAAGAGTTGGCATTGGCGATGAATTGGACCCACCGTCCGTGTTTGGAACAATGCTGGTCTCAAGATCAACTCTGAGAAATCCAAGCCTCGAAGCACGCACTTCTTTCCGGCGAAGGAAGGGTTGGTATTGCTTGCATTGCAACGCATCCCATCATAGACAATGTCTCGAGACTCGGCGACACAATTGCACCAAAACGGTTGGGCTTGGATGGCAAAGTTGCGAACGACACCGCGTTCAGCGCGATAAACCGTCAGAGAAATAGGCCGGCCGTCTCCGTCCGCTTTGGTGTGGGAGCTAAAATACTCCCACCATGGCTAGAGGGATTTCAATGGCATAATCGCGGTCACATGTCAACGGCAAACCTGGCCGTTCCCTTGAATGCCGCCCAGGTTGTGCGCGTCAATCTCAAAATCGCTGCCAGTCACGACAAACCAGGACGCTTGGCTCTATTTTTCAGTTTGTTCAGTCGGGCTACAAGCATTTCAGGCTCATCCCGACCTGTACAAACACAACACGGTAGGTGTTGTTTGGGTCAAGCCAGTAGTCGATGTCAGGGACGAACTGCGAAATTTAGATGAGTGCTTTAAAGAGAAAATACGCACGCTGAGCGACCCATATAAATCCACCTTCGCGTCAACCAGGTCCCAAGTCATTTTTCTACCTCGCTGTCAGTCAAGTGCGCCGAGTTGAGGAACAAGGAACTAGCCGTGTAATGTTGTAAGAGCCAGATTCAAAAATTGTATGGCCGCCGTGGCCGCAGAGTGATATTGCGGAAATAACCTGCAGTTTTGTTTTCGTGGAGCATTAAGTTTCAGTTGTCAGCTGACCTGCTCAGTATCATCGAATCCAACACCCAGCGGAGAGATGGTGCAAGTTGGTTTCGACGTTGCCGCAGCAATGAAGGCGAAGAACAGAAGGATAGGTAACATTGTCCATTGGAAGCCTTCATTGGATGGTTTTATAAACTCGGAAAATGTCACGCGCCATACTAGCCGGGCCGGCGTCGTTGATTATTTTGAAGGAGCTAAGTATACACCAAGAAATGTGAACTACTATTCTACACTTGAGGGTTGTGCCTAGAAGTCAGCAACTTACGATGTGGTATGACGAATGGAAACAAAGAAAACCTAGCCTTGGAGTGCGATAAAAATATGCTGAATGTGCGGGAAAGGTTGCTCAGGAAAGAAAAGAAACGGGCCTTATTCCACCCTTGTCCGTTTTGTGCCTAGAGAAGAGATCTTTGAGTTGGCAAGAACGAATCAAGTTTGAAAACGCACCTGGGGAGCTAGGTGGAGACACGCCAAACTGGTCGTCTTCGACATCGACCTCATCGATGGAGCGTTTGGATGCTTTACTTGACAAGGTGACTGAACTTTGGTTGGAAAGCGTATCTTGCTCCACATCAGCTTCCCAAGTCGTGTCAGGATCGACGTCGCCTGTCTCCTGCTCATCCCACTGCTCCTCATAACTCTCATCATCATATGATCCATCTGCTGAATCGTCTACCCCATATGAGTCATCGAACCAGTTGTCAGCCCAGGCGTGCTCACTAGCTGGAAGTAAATGTTCTTGCTGCTCATTAGCAGGAGTTGTCAAGGGCTTAGAAGGACCTAGGGGGGACTCAATTAAACGATCTACAAATCGAGAACAGCGACAAACCTGCTGGAACAATATTTTCAGTTGTAGGAATTGCAGAGAAGGATTCTGTCAACACACTGGCCGAATCTAGACGAGCTAAAGTTAGAGGAGAGATATGATAGAAGGTTCAGTCTACCTTCATCTGGGTTGGGTTCAGGTACTTGCGAGGACTCGACGACGACGAATCCCTCTTCTTGGGGTGTCTCTTCCTCTTGTAACAACTCTTCCACTTGTTGTGGCTCTTCTTCTTGTTCTTCCTCTTGGGGGGCAGATGGTGGAACACCTTCTACCTCGTCAACTCCGCCTTGCGCTGGGTTCTCACCGGATGCGTCCTTCTCTGGCTCTTCGGTTTGTGCGTTGTCGTCATTGTCCTCCTCATTCGGTTGACCGACGGATGATTCGATGATTGAGGTTTCTTCAGTCGAGGTGGCCTTAATAGAGGGCTGCAAAGCTTCGGTTTCCTCTTCATCTTCATGATTGTCTGTTTGAGGCTCGTGGACTTCTAGGCAGTTATGTCAATACTAAATTCTCAAGCAAGTACTGGAAATTACCTTGAGGTTCATTCAAGTTGTTGCTAGCGAGAAGCTCTTGACTTTCGTCCCCGTCCACTACATTCTGGCGAGTAGTCTGCGCCTGTAATGCGTGGTAGCGGACGATGAAGCGTGGCCGCATTGTATTCAAACGGAGTCGTAGTGGCCCAGTTATGTTTGAAGCGTCATGAAGAACATTCAAATCGTGTAAAGAAACTTCGCGAGTGTAAACGTTGTCCTAGACAAGCGAGTTAACGGAATTTGTTGAGCAGAAGAAAACATAGCATACCTCGGATATGACTAATTGCAAGTCGTATGCATCGAAGATCAGTTCCGAATCAGCTAGATTAGCGATGCGCCCGAAAAATTCTTCTCGACGAAGCGCTTCAAAGACAGTCGCAAGTGGCTCATAGTACAAAATGGGACGATTGTGTAAAAGGACTTGATGAGATTCGGCGTCACGTGCAGGGCTAGGTGAGCGAGAAACAGGCGGCTGATTGAACAAAGAAATTTCAGAAACATTCGGTAGGTCGAACGACACCAAAATGGCTGGAGGAGGGTCGATGTAAACGCCATCAGATATTTCGTGGGGATCGACTTCCCCGTTCTGCTCTTCGCCAGCATGTGGCTCTTGCAACGACTGCTGAACCTCTGTCACGACCGACTCTTCTTCTGCTGACGCTTGATTTCCCTCCTCATGACCGTCATTCTCGAGAGTTGTCTCGTGTAGGACCCCAGATTCTACTTCGTCAGTCGGATGTGAATCGACAACCTGGGTCAATTCTTCCACAACGACCGATGAATCAGCATCTTGTAATGGGGAAGGCGCCTCGTCCGCCCCATGTTGGGCGGTAGCAGAGAGTGAGTCAGCCGTCGCATCAAGAAGGTCGGCGTCCGTTGGAGGCAGCGGCGAAGGAGCAAGTGGTTCTGTCGGTTCAACGGCCAAGTCTAGTGGTAGGGCAGGAGGAAGCGATGACGCTTCTGAGGGCTGTAAAACTTCAATATCGACCAGATCTCCACTCATTTCCTCGTAGAGCTCTTCGTCAGCCATCTCATACTCGTTTTCAAGGTATTCTCCATCCATGTCGACCTCAACGCTTTGAGTGCTTGCATGGTCTGAATAGTGCGCCTGATCATCTTCCATTGGAGCCTCAGCATCGAACCATGTGTGGCCCATGTCGACGTCGGCTGACATGAAGTCCATATGTGTGTCGTAGACCATGGACATGGTGGGCGTTGTCTGGAAGTGTGTCACGCAAGTCACATTCTTCCTAGTCAGGTGAAGTCGACATCGACTCAGGGTGGACGAAATGGTTCAAGTTGCAAGTTCACCAGGCAAGAGGGTCTCGAGCCAACTATACTTGCTGTCATCTGTATCTAGAAACCTGGGACTCTGATAGCAATTATCTCACTGTGCAGTCTATGAAAACCTACTTCGCGCTCGGAACTGTTGTCGGACTCCCTCTGTACTCGGTATACCACCTGAGAAAAAGGAATAAATCCCTTTCTATCCAGGAGTTGTTGAATAGCTCTTCACTTGCCGGCGTTGGAGGTAATGCACCACGCGCTTTTGAAGCTTTCGCACTCATTAGTTCTCCAGCGGCTACTGCAGGAGGGCTGGTTGAATTCTCACGGAACTCCCTTTCAGATGCTGCGACACTGAAAAAGCGGCGCTTGCTACTCTCTACCAGTGTAATAATACTGTACTTTTCTCCAGAAGTCTAACCTGTCGATAGGTTTCTCGACGTCGCCAAGATGATTTCGCTACAATCGGCGCAGTTTTAGGTGTTTGCGTTGTCCCTGCGGTTTTCTGGACTAGAGCTAGTCTCGTCTACCGTAATTTTCATGTCCTATTCATAACGACAAAACTCATGCTTCACAGTGACGACTGGAGGGTTAACTTGGGGATATGGGTCAGGATTCATGGTACATCATCTGAAGAGAATGTCCAATAATCCTGCTAGCGTTTGATATAGATGACTTAATGGCTCTCGTCTTTCAACCTTCCATCAACTGCTGGACTGCGAATGGTTCAGCCTGTGACGTTTTGAAGCAAGGGTCACCGACCTGATTCTGAGAAGGTCTTCATCTTGAACCGAAACGGGTTCATTCTGAACATGGCCACGACGCATTTTCTCTCCATCACATGGATCGACTGCATGCATGCTCTCCATGATTGGGACGCGAAGGTGGTCTTGATAATGCGCTTGAGACTTGTGCCAATGTAAAGCAAGTTTCGCGGCGTGTTTCCACCGCGTAGAGGCAGACTTTCTTGCTTGTTCTCGTTCGATCACCGACTGGGTCGTAGGATGCAAATTCGCCAATTCGTGACTTGATGATACAAGTTTCGACATAATGTTGACGAAGTGGGAACCTTATTGTACGTCAGCCCGGTAGCTCCAGGTTGCAAGAGTCGAACTTCACCCATCAGATATTTGCGGACGAGTGTGCTCATGATTTGGCCACTCTCGTCGTCGATCAGGTGCCTGCCTCGCTTCAAAGCCTCGAAGCCATCGTGTCCCTCCGCCATATATTCCCTGGGGAACAATTCAGTGTCCAGTTCAATGATAATTTCGCATGTACCTGGTCACAATCTTGAAAGTCTGGCCGCTCGATCTCTCAATTGGCATAGAGTCGATAATTTGCGGAGTGTCGTGTCCACTTTCACCATGGGTATGGCTATCTTCGACTTCTTTTGTCAACCAGACCCCCAACACTCTTTCGCCCGGTTTGCGTCTCGAGTCCCATGAGACCCTCAGACCTGAAACAACTGGGAATCGTCTGGAAGGATTGAGTCCCGAGCTGATTTATTTCCGCAATGGAATCACCCTTCTTGTGCTGGCCACGTTGCTAAAGAGCTCTCCAGCGCATCCCACAGTGATGCTCCATCAAGCTCTATAACGACGATGGGATCCTCGAAAGGCAAAATCTCTAGAATGTCACCCAGAGTGACGGGTCCTATTGAACAATTTCAATGATTTGAGATGCTCGAGATGCTAGGCATTGACCAGGGCCATAAACCGAATCGCCGCGGAATGTACCAGCACAAACAAGAACAGCGTCGGACCCTCCGCAACCAGACATGGTGAGGGTGTCATCGTATACATGGCGAATGATGTCAGCAAACCAATTGCAAACCGCGGACTGCAGGATGGTCGGCGAAGAAGAAGACCTATGAGTGTAGCACGACATACCTCTTCAGTTCGGATGTACTGAGAGCGGACATCGAGCGCAACATCAGTGTTGCAAACTGGCGACTTTAGAGAAGAAGAAACCGAGGACAGCACTGTGTCCAGAATCTCTTTCAGCTTTGGGGAAGAATCAGAGCCCGGTTTTGTTGAATGCTTCTTGCCTGTCGGTGGCCATGAGATTAGTTAGTCAACAGCATTCATTTTCGCCACTGACCCCTGATTGTGTGGACTAATTTCCTCCTCACACTACCCGGCGGCGTTTCGACCAGTTCGAGATCTATTTCGCTCAAATCTCGGAAATCTGTTCCGCTTTTGCACACCAAAACGTCGCCGTTGTCAGCCTCTGCACCGAGAACTTCCTGGGTAAGGTCATAATCCACCCATGAAGACATGCCACGACTGGCGTAGTATAGATGGTCGTGGCCACCGAGAACGAGATCAACGCCCTGCAAAGAAGCGAATGACTCGTTCTGAGCAGATGGAGATAGGGCGTTCAGTCCGCGGGCTAAAGCGATGTCCTGCGAGAATGGTCAAGTCAAGCTAGAATATCAAGAAGAACGTACATTGGGGACTCTGTTACTAAGATTTGAAGAAGGAGTCGACATGAAGTGGACGCGTACCGGCAATGGGTCAGTGCGATGACAATATCACAGTTCTGCTCGCCTCTCAGACGTTTTGATAGTTTTAGTCCAACAGTTTTCATGTCTTTGTACTCGAAGTTGCTTGGCCAAGTGGCCACGGTCCCGATCCATTCTCTTCGAGCCGCGGTTAGGGTTCAAGTTGATCGTAAGACCGTGACGCACTTCTCAACAAGCCCGATGATTCCAATCCTGAGTTGTGGGCGCTCGATGACCACAAATTCGTTTAAACCAGCTGGAACCCGAGATGTCTCCGTGTCGATTATGTTGCTGAGGAGCCAGGGCTGTAGACCAAATCTATAGCCCAGCCATCACGTAGGGCGCAGGATGGACCCACAAAGTTGGTAGCTTGGACGAGTTTCGCAAGATGAATGTAGCCAAAGTCGAAATCGTGATTTCCTTTTTCTGTTTGTACAGTATTGTCCCTTTGAAGAATTGTACACACCGGTTAGGGCCACCGCTGGGCGGAGTTCGTTCATGACCGGTACCATATGGCTTCCCCTAGTCACTGAACTCTCCACGGAGGGCGAGAAGACATCTCCAGAAAACAACACCAGACCTGCAATGGTGTGAACAGAGCTGACCCAAACCCAGCATATAACTTACTATCGGGAGATCGTAGACCATCCAAAAGAGCAGCGAACTGGGTTACGTCAATTGTCTCCGGCGATCCTGGAGTGAGTTTCTGCGGTGCACAACGGTAGACGTCGTTGAAATGCAGAATTTTCAGTTGCATTGTGTGTTCAGCAGACAATATGGATCGACGCGGGGAATCAAGATTCAAGAGCAATTCTGACATGTGATCGTTAGAGTAAGATACAGAAATTGTTTCTATTTCCTGTCCGTAGGACAGATTTCCTGCTGAATGACGTGACTAAGCCTCCGCTTTCTGCTTTCCTGTACAGCAGATAGATGATTTTCCCTCCCGGCTTCCAGCGCTCTTTTAACTGAGAAAATCCTACATTCTGCATCAGCGCACGAAGGTGGTCGATGGTCAGATATCGAGAGTTGGAAACGCAGGGAAGGGGAAGCTACGAGTTGGATCAGTAACACGACAGGAAGCAATGCTAGGCCTACGACGTACGACAAGAAATAGTAGTCCTTCTGGGACCAAAAAGCGATGAGCCAAGCTGAGCATGCGACCACGATCGCGGGCTTCTGGGACAAAGTTGAGGACCAGACTGAGACTAACGGCTGTCATGAGAACATGTAGACCCCCCACATTGGCACAGAAGCGTACCTAATAGCATCCCATTTTCCCAAGTTTTCGGTTTCATCCATGGTAAGAAAATCTTGCTCCAAGATATCTAGCATATTCAGGAGGTAGGTAGTACGAGCCATTGTAGGCTGACCTGCATGTCTGGAGTGCAAATCTATTGGTGTTGTTTTCATCCAACTACGGCAGGACCGATAATTGTCTGGTTTCAATGCTCCGACCTCCAGAAGCCTTGAAGGGCTCAACAGAGATTGAAAAGGACTATAGATGTCATACCTACACGACGTGGTGCGAGGTGGCTTGAATACCTCTTTAAACCAGTCGATGGCGATCCTCTCGCTACCACCGCCTCTATCGTGACCCTGGCCTACGAATTTCAGTGAAGCGTCTGAGAAGAAACGAAAACGAAAGGAATACCGATAGCAGACATGTGTTGGTAAGATTCCAGGCCGCCGAGCTGGTCTATTTGAGCTTGTACCTGTTCCAAGTCTTCCAACACTTCAGGGTCGCGAGATGGACGATTTTGAAGAGCCATTCGCTTCTTCAACAGACCATGGTATGCTCGGATTACATGACGCGTTGACTCAGGCTTAGAAGACGAGTTTTGGTGGGTCGTTGTCACCGGCGTTTTTCGTTTACGAGTTGTTTTGCCCATCAGGTTTTGCGGATAGTTATATCACGATCACGTGCGGCCAAGAGTCCTCACAGAGCCGGGCTCTAGAAATACATTACGGGATATAAAGAAGGTGAAGAATCCATGGTACAATACGCAAAAAAATCCTCTCTACGGATACCCTTACTTTGAGGCCCCCTCTCACACGAATCCCCCGCCCCCTCGTTTGGCGTCAATCCGTTTGAAGCGTTCTTCTTCTTGTCTCTAAAGAGGGCTCAGAACCCATGCTTCGGAGGAGTAGGATATGCACCTTTTTTATGACACACAACGAGCAGATAAGAAGACTGAGAACGATGGACATGTAGCCGTAGATCTGACAAGTCATTATTGAACCCCCATAGAAAATTGGCCGCCTACGGTCGTGAACGTGTTTTCCAGAGTATAATCGGTGAACTTGGTGATGGGGGAAACACAAAAGTTTGTGGTGACATTGGTTGCAAGGCGATTTGCGAAGTCTTGAGACACACAGAAATTGCCACCAACCTCAGTGTCCGTCGCGTTAAAATAACCACAGCATTTGAGCTAGAACATTTGGTATTGGCCGACGTTTAAGGGACCGCCTCACCTGGTCTTGCAGTGTGATTCTGTCAACAGCAGGTAGGGCACTCCATCGCGTGTGGAATTCAGCTCGTTGTCGGAGAGAGAAAAACCTGGAATTCTTCTGAGTACACCGCGCCATTGGGAAAGAGAACAATGGACCAGATCATTGTCCCCACCACGAGTACGATGATCGAGTCGATGATGAGGACATAGTTGAGGATGACGAAACCGATAGTAATGTGGTTTCGCTGGATGACTGCCCCCAACGATATGACGAACGTCGCACACAACGCGATACCCAACACCATCCCGGCTACTCAAAGCGGTTAATGAGCGACCTTGGCTATCGAACAACACCACACACCTGTTAGGAAGTCGTCGTGGATAGTGAGGTTCATCAGTTCGTCTGGTTTTCTCCACATGATCGACACGGCAATACTCATCCCCCCCGCACCCAGCAGGAGAAGATCAAGAAAGGCCCAGAAGCCCATCAACCCCTTCGACACCATCTACAAGGCGCTGAAGAGACATTCAGTTTTATGTCTCGCCGCGGCGTGTCACGCACAGACTGGTACTAGGAAATCTAGACTTGGTTAGGTTCAGCTTGCTCTTGAAGAAAAAACAGTTACACGCACGATGCAAATAAGCGAATGTAGGTTGGCTTGGTTAAATTGCAGACTCTCTCAGAGAGGAAGACCCAAAGCAAGAGGAGAGAAGAAAGGACGTTCAACGTGCAGCGCGTTTAGCACTCGAAAAGCATAAAAGAAGAAACAAGCCCGGAAAACTCGAACCGAAACCAAGAGGAGACGAGAAACACAGCGTTTCTAGATATAAGTAGCAGCGGGACAGGCTCAACAATGATCACTTGGGTGTTGCCATCCAAGAAGCATCACCCTAAATCACGATCTTGGAACTTTTACTTGGAAGCACAACACCCGTCAATTCCTTCTCTTCCGTCCCGGTCAAGCCAACGGCCGATCTTGGCATGTACATGGGTCGTCGAATTTTCCCGTTTACCCATTGACATCACAGATACCGGACATAAGGTGAAACGATTCTACCGCAAACCAACTATTACGGTCCACGTCTCCGAAGTCCTTTGTCCGCAGTTCGAAAGCCAAGACCCATCGAACACAAGAGGGCAACAGCGAATACGAAGAAGACCGTTCCCTCTCCATGTCCTGCCAATGCGTTCCGGAGTGGTAGGAAAACAAGCCCAACTAAAAAGTTGGCGGACCCTACCAGAAGATGAGTACAAATCACGTAGCTGTGGACGAAAATATACAGTTCAACGACAGAGCGATAGATGAGAGGGCAGAAACCGCCTAGCAACAACGTCACACAGGGCTTCACGACTGGTTCACGAAGACTCACATGGAAGGGTGATATTTCTGGAATGAGCACAAAAGGAATGGGTCCTAATCCACAAGCAAAGGAGCTGCGACAAGGGTAAGAGCAAGAAAAGAAGAAAAAAGGCGAGACGGACGTCACAAACGACAAAATCGCGATACTGCTCAGCGTTCCGAAGCCAAGGTTGAGCCCAAACCCAACAAGAACAAGGGATGAGATTGCGCCAATGCTTGAGATGTAGAGAAGTTGCCGTCTGCCGATGCGGTCGATGAGGAGGATGGGGGGGAATGTCATGACAACATTGACAACAGTGATTCCAAGAGACACGTAAGGGCCTACATATGCAGCGAAATCAAGACGATGCTTTTCAACGCGCCATCTTGCAACTTACCCAGGTTCGGCAATGACTTGGATAAAATGTCGTTACTATAATAAAGAACTGGAAAAAGCTCATAAACTGATTTTTGAGTACGAAGTCGTAACAGACCTGCATTGATACCTAGACGGGATGAGCAAGTTCTAACTTGGGTAAGCAACAGTACCTGAAAGCTGTTGAGAAAGCATTGCGAAACACACAGTCGCGAGAGGTCGTCTGATGTCTTCAGCAGAAAGAGCTTGAGGGACGGTAAGAGCAGTTATTTGCTCATTGCGATGTGCTTCGAGATTGTCCAATAGCGGGTCCTCCAATGAAGCTAGATGCAAAATAAGACACCTTTGAGAGACCCGCACGATATGCGTACGGGTAGTAGGGGCGGCGGAGCCCCAAAGCTTGATAACAGCGGCTTTCTTCAGTTCGACATGACCTTTACTTCCCAACCAAGCGGGCGATTCAACAATTGCTGGACTGAGGAAGAGTTGGGCTATGGCGATGCCGGAAGATAGAAACAACACATATCGCCACTCAGACGGAGTCGCAAAACGGAGGCCTATCGCTTGGGTGATCATAATCCCAAGAACGATCCCAAGTTGAGTTAGAACCCCTAAGAACCATAGTCGTTTAGCGGACTGATTTCGTGTGAAGCCTCACTCACCCACGTTACCGCTAATCTTGGATGGGGCAATTTCTGCTAAATATAGGGGGGAAACGCAAATGCCTATGCCAGCACCGATACCAACAAGCAGTCTATAGGTCTTCATTAACAATCTCGGAAGACGAATTTGAGCAAACATACCGGCCAAAGGCTAGAGTGCCAACGGAGGTACTGATGCCCATGAGGGCAGAGCCAACCGCCACAAATATCGCAGACATACGTGAAGCACCTTTGCGACCTGAGCGCTCCATGAAATAGTTGGCCACCAAGCTCCCAACAAGACCTCCAGCTGTGAAGATTGCGGTGACACTTGAGAACACGAAGTCGGACATAGGAATGCATCCAGCAGTGGGAATGTTTGGAGAAACATCCTTGCAGGTCAAGACAGTTTGTATTTGGTTGAGGAGGCTGATGTGGTAGCCATAGTTGAATGGGGTCACTAGCACCCAGGCGCAGACCAACCATCCTGTCTTCTCGCATTGTTCAATAGGAGACTGCGATACGACGAGAATGTACTACCTGCGTGAACTGCTCGCCATTGCGAGGCATGTTATGCGGTCCTGTAAGTGTGGGACTCTGATGGATTACATAACAGTGCTCCAATGAGTCGGCCGCTGAAGCGTATTGCGACAACAAGTTCAAGTTGAACAAGGCATTATTACCGTGTAACAACAACAACCGTTCAGCACTCAATATCAATGTCGCCGCCGTTTTTTTTTCGCCCCAGACCCAACACTTTTTTTATACATTTTGTGAAATCCCAGATTGCTGCGCTTACACAATGCGTGCATTCGAGCTTACATTTTTCTTGAAGTCATACGTGGATTCCGAGTGACGACGTCAAACCCCTCACTCCTTGCGATGTAGACCCCTCTTTGGCTTCGTTGAGTTCTCCGAAAACGTGGCTCTGACAGCAGCTATGATCGACAACGCGCCTGGCGCCACCATCCGCTTGACGCGTAAAAGCTTAAAAGCGACCACACTTTAAGGCCCACAGACAATTTTTACAAGAGAAGGGTGGAGGTTTGTGTCGTGTTTTGGATGTCGACAACAGTCGTTAGCAAATCACATATCACAACGCTTTGACAGGCGGACATGTGCTCCGTCCTCACTCTGTTTCGCTCTTGCTCAATTGCCTGCTTCTGACCGCTCGTTGGCTGTCCTTTGGAGGTCAACCCTCCGTCACTCATTCCCCGCCTCTCGTTTTTACGCCTGATAATGCTCTCACTCATCTTCGCAACCCTCTGCGCAACTCCCGTGGTCCTCGCAGCAACTGCTGAGCAGTGGAGGGTTTGTCTTCGTTACGTCTCCAGCTTCCTCACACTCAAGCGGAATGATAGTCTCGAAGCATCTACCAAATTATAACTGATCGCTTTGCGCTCGAACCTAACGCGGTTGTCCCGACATGTAATGTTCAAGACCAGACATGGTGTGGAGGCAATTGGAATAGGTGCGTGCACACATACTTTCTTCATGACTATGGCCTTATGTTGACACAGTATCCGCCAAAATTTGGATTACATCCAGAAGGCTGGATTCACGGCCAGTATGCACCACTTCAATACTACCCGCAGCCCATTCTCACTTCGTCTTGAAGTTTGGATTAGTCCTGTTAACCAGAACTATCAAGGCGCACGCACTCCTTATGGCGATCCATACCATGGTATATCGTTGCCGACGCTGTGTTGCGTAATTTTGCTCAGTGAAATTCAGGATACTGGATAGCAGACAATACCCAATTAAATGAGAAGGTATAGTCGCGTGTACTCTGTTTACGTCTCTCAGCATCGATAGTTTGGTACTGCGGACGATCTTAAGGCGCTGTCAGCGGAGGTGCGCTCATTGACTCTCGCGTTTCTCGCTTTCACACGGAAACACAGGTTCATCGCAGGGGCATGTACCTTATGGTTGGTTGCTATCGCTCTAAGTCCGTTATTTTAAAGGCATCATCAGGTCGATGTTGTCGTGAACAATGTCATGAGCACATCTTTGACTCCGGATTTCTCGAAATACATGTTCAAGGACAAGGTTTGTCAGCAATCCAGAATCAAACACAGATGATTGACACACTCTCTCTAGTCATTATATCATCCTTACTGCCCTGTTGATTTTGCCAACACGACGTCGGCACAACAATGCTGGTTAGGAGACACCAAAGTTCCTCTTCCCGACATCAACACAGAGAATCCAACGGTAGTTTCCAAATACTCCGACTGGGTGGCCGATCTGGTGAAGACTTACGCTATCGATGGTCTCCGAATAGACGCTGCGAAGTAGAAACTTGATTCATATTGCCCGCCTGGGAACTCAGGCTTTTTCAGGCATGTCAAGAAACAATTCTGGCCCGGATTCGTGAAGAGTGCTGGCGTGTTTTGCATTGGCGAAGTGTTTGATCCAGCCGTATCGTATGGAAAATATCATGGATCCTTTCTGGCCTAATGTGTTTATAGCGCTGTTGCGGAGTTCCAAGGTCCCGATGCTCTGGACTCTGTTCTCAACTTTCCTCTGCGGACTGCACTCCAAACCGCCTTCCAAATTCCCGGACCACAGAATATGAGTGCATTGACGGAGAATCTGGCACTGTCCAAGTCGCAATATAAGGTATTTGCCACTGTTTCGCCCAGAAGCTTGATCTAATGCATTCAGGACACTACCCTGTATGATTGGCCATCCATCCATTGCTAGTTACTTAATGCTTCACGCAGCTTGGGAAACTTTCTGGAAAACCATGATGTTCCACGATGGCACAATCTTTCTGTCGATCCTCAAAGCTTATAGTGCGACTTGATCTTTTCTCCTTGTTGGCTGCTGATGCACTCCAGTAATGCGATGACGTTCACATTCATGTCGGACGGGTATGTGCTTCACTGGTCATCCTTTGGCAACAGGGAACTTCTCTTTCAGAATCCCAATCGTCTATTATGGCCAAGAACAAGGCTTCAGCGGTAATGCTGATCCGGTAAATACTCTTTCCTTTCCTTGCGAACTACTGACATTCCTGCAGTATAATCGAGAGCCGCTGTGGCCGTCGAATTACACGAATACTACTACATATCAGCTAATGACTACTCTCAACAAAGTCGCGCTCTGATTTCATGTGTTGGTCACTTCTAATGAGCCAACAGTTCAGAAATTTCCTCTTGAATACCACCGACTTTGCGACACAACACGTCAATGTCCTGGCCACGAATAACCGCGCCATTGCTTTTCAGAAAGGGCAAGCCGTGACCATCTTAACCAACATCGGCGCCCCGCCACAAAATGGCACCAATATTGCGTTCAAGTCATCATGGCCAACAGGGACAGTCACAATCGAGTAAGTATCACAGACTTTGAGTTGCTTTTGCGTTTTGACGATACCGCTAGTGTGATTGGATGTCGACAATTCGTCGTTGCTTCTCAGTACGTGCGGTTGCGTCTTCTCCTTCTTTCCTCTCACTGCATATTAGGGGTTACCTGGAGGTGGAATACACCAAGGGCGGTGTTGCCGTGGTGTTGGCAGAGGAGTCAATACTGAAGAAATCAGGTCTATGTGGCTCAACAATAGATGCTTTCCATTCGGATGGTTCAACGACACAAAAGGTGACGCAATCGTCAGCTTCACTTCGGAGTGCGGTTGTGGGACCTATTATATCTTTACTGCTGATGGTTTTTACACTACATTTGGGTTTGCGGTAGTACGCGTGGCGTTGTATAGTACTTGTGGAGCTGGGACATTCGAAGCGAAGCTTATGACTGCGTGACCTGCCTGTGTGACTTGTGACTCCCTCGAGCGACGAACGAACTTGGTGCAGACACCCAGTTGAGTGTGAGTCGGGCACCACGATTGCCCCGGCTCCACGCTCCACGCGCTCCCGAGGAGGTTTCCATGGACAACAATCCGCCAACGTCCTCCAACACAAACATCCATACCATTGTCAAAGCCCAGATCGTCTTTCTGCTCTCCACACTCACCGAAGAAAACTTTGAGAGGAACCAGATTGAAATCCGCTCGGTATGTCATTTTAGACTTGAACTTGAACCAAAACTAATCTGTTGACGCGCTCAGTTGTCAGAGCAGCATGGCGTAGACACCTACCTTCACTTCATCCGCCGCCTCATCGTACACTCCCAATCCCGCCTGTCTCCTTCCGCTACTCCTTCCGCCTTTGAACTATCCAACTCCCTCACATTCCGGCTTCTCGTCCAAGAAACTCAGCGTTTGGCGCGTGACCCGCTTTTAGCGGCTCGTTTTCGCGAAGGCATTGACAAAGGCGAGGGCGAACTCTTCCGCCAGTTCGATCTTGTGCGATTCTCGGATCGAGTTGGCTTGAGGCCGCTGGAAAGAATTGTTCTTGCGGCCTCAGTCGTAGCCTCTCCTACGCGGAAGGAGCTCGCCACCCAAGCTTCGAACATCATACGTGTCGAGTTCGACAATGCAATCCTGGCCTTCTGCCACAATCCCTGCTTTGACAACTCCGACCTGAATTCTACTCAACTCTCCAAACTCATGTCCAATCTTCTTTCCGACCCACCCTCTGACGCGCCTGTTCTTGATGCCACACAGCGGCAAGCGCTCATTGTCGCAGCCCAATCCAAATATGGCAAAGATGTGCTGCTTCCTATCCTCCAGCGTATCCTTCAAAACCTGAGGTTAGTTGTTCATGACCTCCCCTGCTGTGCTCTCCTAATTGACCTAGTTTACCTGTCGGGGCAACATTCATACACACTCTTGTTCAACTGGGTCCCGAGGTCACTAACGAAACTGAAATTGTGCGAGCAGTTCTTTCGCGCTTCAATATCTCGGAGTCGAATCCTCCGCGAGATGCTTTAGTGGTGGACACAATTTCAACGTTGAGTCGTCTGGCGTCAGAGGGGGGCAGCTTGTGTGATGTTGGTGCACTGGTCCGGGCTCTAAGCAGCTTTGTGCGTCATCTCAAAGCTCACCCGCTCACTATTGATCTTCCACAGTCTGCTGGCCTGAACTGGGCAAATGTCATCAAATCCTTCGATTGGCCGGATCGGCTTGGGGTTGATACAGCTACGCTCAAGCTACTTATTGCCATCTTGGTCAATAGCCCGCGGGATGCAGAGCCCCACGCCGTTGCGGGTTTCTGGACAACTTGGTCCAACTCGCTGTACCAATTACGACTTCTGGACGCTTTGCTTTCCTTACCTGCTGATACTTTCAACTTCGTGCAGCTCCCCGGAAAGCGGATCGTTACTGTTGACGATGTTTCTATCGCCAGCCCTACGATCAAGTCATTGGCTGCCAATGTCCAAGGACATACCTGGAACTCCCTCGAGTTGTTCGAAGTTTTAGTGCGCCTTGCGGACTCGGAGTCGTTGGAAATTCGGAGCTGTGTGAGGGAAATGCTGGATAAAGCTATAAAGATCAGCGCGGAGTTGGTACACATGGGTCTTCTGCAGGTCCCAGTAAGTGCGACTCGGTTCCACACCGAAAATTACTCAAGTGTGACAGGATCTGCCTTGGAACGAAATACGACGAGAATACTCCCGCCGCCTTTTGGGTATGTTTCTTGCGGGACACCCAAACCATCAACTTGTCTTCATGCGGATATGGCAAATCGAGCCAACATATCTTACCG